CACTTCAGTATAGACCGGGGGTCCGTGTCTAAGCCATTAGATTTTCGTTTGGAAATGGAGAATCAGTACCGGGTGCAGGCAGAGATAGGACCGTGTGAGGGCCTTTGGATCAGGGCTGCGTGAGATCGTGGACCCACTGTTTGCGGTCTCCTCGAGACGGAGCAGAGGTAGAGCGGGGCTCACCTGGTTTAGGCGTATGCGGGTGTCGGGTTAGACCCGGTCAAATACGGGTTTAATCCTTGTTTAGAGATGATTTCACCTCCTCTGGTGCCCAGTGCACTCCATGCAACGGAGCGTATACAGCGTCCCCGCTGCCCGTGATGTACAGCCTGCAGAAACAACGGGAATTCAACAAAAAGCAAATTGATTTTCGGCTTACAACAAAGTGTTGTTGTTTTTTTTTTTAAATAACGTTACTCTTAATTTACAATTTGTGGCTATTTTACCCAATTTTCATGGACATCAGTGATGGCAACATTGACTGTCACGGGTTAGTTAGCTTACTACTACTCAATGCTACTATTAGACCAAATATATTATTATTATGAATTAAATTAACTGAAGAGTGTCTTAAAAAGGTAAAGTAATCTGACCCGGGGCATGTGAGAGCTCAGATGTTTGGACTTGAGGCTCGTTGAGTTCAGTTCTGCTGAAAAACAAACTCTATTAGCTCTTAGCTTAGTTTAGTTTAGCTTAGCTTAGCTTAGCTTAGTTTAGCTTCGGACGGTGAAATGTGGCACCTCTCTTTGACTGTAGCTCTCCCGCTGGAAACGTTACAAAAGCCCAACACTGATGTAGTGTAATATTCAAAATAGACACTTTGTAAGTGTTTAATGTTAACACTGTGAATCAACAACTACGCATTTTATGTCAACACTGTGAATCAACAACTATTTATTTTACTCTACAGCACTGTCATAGTTGAAATAATTCTTGACTATGTTCAAACATATATGGATTTTCTTCACTTTACTCACAACAACACCAACACCATGAATTTCACACTTTTGAATTTGCTGTGTACAGAGTTATTTTCAGTGCACCCAACTTACTTAGCATTTAGGTGAGGTGTTTCAGCAAAGTCACTCTTCCCCATGTTTTGCTATCACAGCCTGTCATAGTCATAAATCTTAAAGGTTGTATGGAGGATTTTTTTTTGTTTCAAATTGTCAATGATAGCATTATAGAGGTGTAGTAGCCTTGTAATTATGATGACCAAAAAAAAGAGAATAAAAATTCATCAACTCTGGACGTGGTGGGGCCAGCTAAACATTTGCCAATAGATAACGACATTGCCTCGTTATCTGTTAGCTGACAGGCTGTCAATCAAACTCCCTACATTTCTAGCGTAACTGACTTGCCTGCGCGCCGCCGGTACGTGGTTTGCGTACGCCTGTCACGCAGTCCACAGACGCAAGCCGCACAGACGCTGTTTACTCCACCAACGCAACAGTTCTTAGCGGCTTTTTTTTACCTATATCTTCCTCGCAGTTAGCACAAAGTTTGTTGCAATGGCAGACAAGAATCCAGGAGCAGTTAGCCGCAAAAGAAAGTTCGTTTTTGAGACTGCTGAAAGAAGAAGACAAGGGGAAAAGCAGTGAAGCCAAACTAAGGTGATTCTTGAAGATTCATTCCAGCGATGGCGCAACTGAAGCAGACGCAGAGTCTAAAGACTGACGCACTGGTCGCCAAATTACTCCTGGACAGGTCACTTCTGCTTATTATAAAAACGTACTTTATTTCCAAGAGCTAGACAAACGTTTTTCAGGACACGAAAGCGATATTCTATGTCTGAAAACTTAATTTTCAAGGCAAAGAAAGAGTCTGCTTGCTGCTGCGTGTTGTAGCTAGTTCATTCGCACTGAATCTCCGCGCAACCTTCTCTGCACCCCTTTCCTGCTCCTGTCCCCGCTGCCCGTTCCGCTCTTCCCCCTGCTCCTCACTTCTCCGGGCACGGAATCTCCGCGTACCGCTCCCCTCTCCTCTCCCTGTTCCCTGCTCCGCTCTTCTCCCTGCTCCTCACTTCTCGTCCGTGCACGAAATGTCCGCGCACCCGCTCCCCCCGCTCCTCACTTCTCCGCCTTGCCTAACCAACACTGTAGTTAGTTGTTTACAAGTCATGTGCAGCGCGCTGTAAACAAACCTGTTTCTGGCGTAAGGAGGAGGCGGGAGGAGGCGTTTCTACGTAGGGAGCTGTAGGGGAGGGGGGGTGGTTTCACGCATGCGCAACATTTGAAAAAGGACAAACAGTCGCTGGATTTCTCGTTCCTTGGAAAATCCTCTATACAACCTTTAAGAGCCAAAATTTAAAACTGAAAATTAATGCTAGTACACTGAGTCGTTATTTGGATGTACAGTTACAAAATATGTCACATTTATGAACCTGATGATAGAAAAAATTGTTTTTGTGAACGTTAAGTATTGTTTTGTGTCCATAGATAAGTACTTAGAATCAGGTACTGAAGTGATTTATTAAGTGCCATTATTCCGCCTCTGTAGTCAGTGCACTCTAATTGTGTTTTGTTTAGTTATGTCAGACAGATTTGACCTGCTGTTTCACTGTTGTTAAACAATTTGAACAGTATTTTGACCATGTCTCATGCTGTCTCCTTGGCTAAGGCACAACCCTCCCACTGGAAACACAGGGATGCTACTTTGTATTATGGTGAGAGACAGGCCTCTATGCCCCCTAACCCAACACGGAGGTTTAATTTTAATCTATTAGCTTGTGACTAATGACTACTTAAGAGACGCGCTCTAAGTGGCTCTGGCTTATCAAATCTTAACCCTGTTTAGGCCTCTCCTGCATTGATATTCTGTAGCTCTGGATTCAGACATGCTTTTGATCCATGTTTGTTCAAAGAGTGGCCATTCAGCTGTTTTCCATATTGTTGACTCACACCAAAGAAGATTTTTATATTTGTATGTCTTGCAGGGGTTTTTCTTTTAGTAACATATACACTCTAGTTTGAGTGTCAAGTTCAATAGGCTGTGTGTTCTCCATATATGTTATCTGAGTAAACTACCATGTAGAATGTAAAATAGCACACATAATTTAAGCGCAATGAATATTCAGCACTGAAATAACCCAAGTGGCCTATTTGGCGCTAGAAGTGGCCAATTAAAACATTTGCAAGTCAAATTATTATATTACACATAACTATGTTACAATATTGCCAATTTGGAAAATTATGTTGTTATTGTTATATTGTGATTCAGTGTGTTTCTGTTTAATGCATGCTACTCTATGTTCACACAGAAAATGCAGTTTTCTTTTCCACGGTCCACACCCGCTCATTCCGCTCAGTCAGCCTTTAGCTTAAGTAAGTGACAGGAAGATTTATCCAATCACAACGAAGTACAAACTGTCAGAAGAAGCAGAGGACATAAATTGTCCCTTAAGGTTATAAAAAGCAAGTAATGAGCATGATAAACTAGAAACAGCTCTCTGTAACTTTTCTGGTGGAGGGTCCACCATCTGCTTGTGTCAGTGTTATTGCTTTACCTATCTATTGTAACAATTAATTTACTTTTATTTCTAAAAATAAAAAGTAGCTTTGTAAAAGCATTTGTCCACTGATGTTGGTGGTTTGAATCATGCTTTTGACATAAACATAATTGCCTGAGTGGTCAGATCCACTGACCCACCAGTTGGTGGCGCGCTTCCAGCTCTCAAAGATGAATGCTCTGGTTGTGTCCTTGGCCAAGGCACATAACCCACCTGGCCCCTAGTGTCTGTGTACGCTGGTGTATGAATGTTTGTTTGAATGGTTGAGTGGTTCCTTGCTGTAAAGCTCTTTGACTGCCTAAAATGTGACCATTTAAAAATACATATATATTGAAAAACCTGCATTTTTTTACTGTGAGCATAGTCAGCTCTCCACAGATTTAACCTGTAACTTTGCCATGGAGAAAGATACTTTTAATTTTGTTATAGCTCCATGGAGACATGCAGGTGATCCACCATTAGAAAAATTACAAATACTGCACCTATAAAGATGTTGTGATTCTATATTTTCTTACTATAATGCTCACATAATACATTATAGTACAGCTGCAGGGGGAGGTCTGCAACTGTGGATCCTCTGCCCACCCACCCATTTACTATCCAGCCCCTTAAGACCAACACTTAAACCCAATAATACAATAACATACACTAAACCTAACATCTCAGCTATTAGTGCATATGCCACTCTACTTTTTTTTTTTTATTCTATACTGACTATAAATAGATTAATTTTATGAACTGCTTTTGTATTTTTATTTTTATATATATATATGTTATGCTTTATTTTGTATTTTTATTTATGTTATTTTAGTTATCTGTACTGTGGCAGTGGCTGAATGTAATAAACTAATAAAAGTAGTATAAAGTGCTGTGCTTAAGTATACATTTTAGTTATCTGTACTTCTGTACTAGTACTTTACTTCCTTTTTTTTAGTGGATACTTTTTATTTTTACTTCATTACATTTGAGAGTGGGTATCTGTACTTTCTACTCAACTACATTTTTGAACTGGACTGCAAAATATGTATTTTTTATTATTGTTTGAGACCTGCTGAAAAGGCTGAGGGTTTATCTTTCAACACATTCATAATTGGAGCAAATAAAAGTATAACAAATAAACTAAATAAAAACTGCTAGAATAACAAGATTGATTCTACACTATATTTGAAGCTTTATTAGATCTCACACTCTGCACATAATACTTTTACTTTTTACTCTTTAAGTAGATTTTTTAAACTGGTACTTTAATACTAAAGTATATTTTTTCATGTGATACGTTTACTTTTACTTGAGTTTTTTTTTTTTGCTCCAATATCTGTCCTTCTACTTAAGTAACAAAACTGGGTACTTCTTCACCACAGATACTGTGTCTCTTTATTTAATTTCTCCTTGTGGGACAAAAAAGTGTATCTTAACTTAACTTCATTAGGTCAGTATTGGTTATGTGTAAGCCCAGTGGTCTCCTGACTGTCCCTTCCTCTCTGTTCATAAGGAGTACCATGCTCAGTTGGAGGAGATGCGTGTCACCGTGCGGCAGTTGGAGGAAGACCTGTCTGCCGCACGTCGCCGTAGTGACCTGTACGAGGCAGAGCTCAAAGACTCACGGCACAACAGTGAGGAACTGAAGAGGAAAGCTACAGAGCTACAGCACCGCATGCAGAAGGTCAGTACTGTGACAACAACAAGAGCCACTTGTGTAGAACAGGGAGGGTGTGCAGGGAGGAGGGCGGAGAGAGGGCAGAGGGTGAAGGGACGTGCATATACTTTATATAATTGTGAAGTGTTAGAGTTGTAACTACAGTTGTTTTATCTATTTTTTTAACATTCCAGGCAGAGCAATGACATTTCCATAGAAACAGGTGGCAGACCCCCAACCAAAATGTTTCATAGTGCACCTTTAATAAGACTATGAATTGTATGTATTTAGAAAAGGGTTTATATAGGCCTAAACTACAGAATTGTCAAATATATACGTAAAAGACAGGATATTTTGTGATTTGTAGAGGACATTTATCTTTCTTATTATGTGCACTCTTTGTGATTTACTAAATGTGACCATTCAAATTGTGACTTTGTTTTGACTCCAACATTTGTAGAGAACATCTAAGAAATATAACTCATTAACATCATCAGTTACAAGTCAAAATTTTAAAACATTTGGTAGCAATTTAGGAAACAAGCCGGGCTGCCTAGATATGATAATTAAATGATTGCTAATTTGATCTTTTTATTCAAGAAGAGTTTATAGATAATGAGGCTTGTTTTAACTAGTCAGTTTCATAACACATCCAGTTTCACCTCTTTGTGAAAATCATTGTGCATATAAGACACATGTTATTGAATAAAAACCACAGAATAGCTGGCAGATTTGAATGCTTTGGATCCTAGAAGATGATATAGTGTGAATATATAAATTATGCAGTTGAAAAATGTGCTTGTTGGTACGCCTTTCATGCTAAAATATTTAACTGGGGCAATGGATAATTCGGAAGGATAATGATTTCTAGACCCATTCCAGTGCTCTTATAGACTTCTTGCTTAGAGCTGTTTTAACTAAATTTACTGGTTAAAACAAGCTAGTTTACTCATCAATTTTATCATAAAGGCAACACTATGAATTAACACAACTTAATGTATGTATTTTCAGGCAAAAGAACAAGGAAAGTTGGAGGCAGAGGAAGTCATTTCCAAATTGGAGAAGGTACAAAGCGAGATTATAATCACAACGTTTGACTGTCTACAGCCCATTTAACTATTGTTTTGCTCATTTCTAGACAAACGCTGAGCAGCAGACTAAAATCCAGGACCTCCAAGAGAAGCTGACCAAGGTAGGCTGCTTTTGTTGTTTGAGTAGATGAATAATAAAAAATCACGCTTTATAAAACTCACTCGGAAAGCTCTAAAAGCTCTAACCTCAATGACCTCTTTTTTTGTTTAAACAAGCCGCTAGAATACAAACAACACATTTCCATTTACAACTTAATTATTACCAATTACTAGCCTTTTCCCTAGTTTAAAAGATAATTTCTGCCCATGGAGTTTTTGCCTTGAAATACGTTTGAATCCATTGTGCCGAGCTTTTCAGATACTCAAAGATGACTAAGCCCACATTTTGGATAAGCTTGACTCATTGCTATTTCGCATGAAGTGATTTATTTAAGCAGATTCACAGATGCTATTGCTATTTGCATCTACAAAACCTGTGCGAACTGTGTGAAGAGCAAAATGACACTCTGTGCTTAGAGAAAATAGCAAGGTTTTGTAGGATTTTTTTTATTCAATGCTGTGATTAGATGTATCAACATTTACAGGGATACTGCTTTGTTCTTTTTGCTGTAGCTCCAACAGTAAAATATAAACTTGACATAATACTTCATGCAGCCACAAAGAAGTTTAATATGAGATAACATTATTTTATGTTAAGAGTGATCTTTCTTTCTGGTAGGACTATAGAAACATAAACATAAGTTATTCAGTTTTCACAATGTGCGAGGCTAACACCATTGTGAATATGCTACTTTTTAATATTAAAGGCTTTGAAAAGGCCTTTGGTACTGTTACTTATGAAGAATTAATATTTAAAAGTGTTTAATTGCAGTTATTTCTTCATATAGTCTGCACATAGTGACAACACCAAAGCGTCATGGTCTATATAGTTCCCTGTGATTCATTATAATGTGATAGCCCACAATGTTATTGTGATACTTTTGACGATACAGTATCACAATATTTTGTTTATTGTTACATCTCTATTCTCTTCTCAATTTGTGAACAAAGAACACTGCTCGGTAAGGCCTTACTTCTTTATAAAATCTGATACTGCTTGACTTAATACTTGATGCAGTGTTAATTTCATCAACTACAATTTACAGCTACTCATATTTTGCTTACTTGAACTAAATTAAAAGAAGTAAACTACAGCTTAGACTAAAATAGATGCTTTTTTTGACATTAAGTATTGATATATAGGATAATAAAAAAGTAAACATAAATGAACGAAAAGGATGAGATTAGATGCCCAAAATCAATTTTTCAATCCCAGAGTCCCAAACCAGACATACACAAACTTAACGCCCAAGGAACACATTAAAATAATTTAACCAATTGTTGTTGTTTTTTAAATCGTGGTTGAAAAATACATTTTCTGGTTGACTTAAACTTTGAAAGTTATCGACTAAGTTGGTGACTAAAACTAGACACTAAAGATATAGAGTAAATCTTGTCAGAATGAGCCCCGCTTAATGCTTGTGCAGGCTTTGAAGGCGAGTGCAGAGGCCACAGAGCTGCTGCAGTCTGTGAGAGCGTCCAAAGAGCGGATTGAGAGAGACATGGAGCGTCTGCAGAACAAAGAGGACTCCAGTGACAGCCTCAGACGGCGGCTCCGAGAGACAGAGGTACAACTGTGATGCTACAGTTAAATCATTTAATTAATTATTAATAATAATTAATAATTACTGTATATGCCTTTTTTCAGAATTTGATTTAATAACATTTTTCAAATATCAGCATTGTTAGGATAATTACTTAAATAAAGACAAAGAGTTGAGTAAAACACAAACACACATACACACAAATCGTCAAAACAACTACCAGATAACCTAGTCCCAATAACAATGTACAATGTACCAGACTTGAGAAGAGAGGAGATAGAAATTGATCAATCAAGTGTGAAAATATCATTCTGGAACAGATGGAAAATGAACAGACTCAATAAAATAAAATAAAATAGGGATCCCACATTTTCTTAAAAGTTTTCAATGAGTCCTCAATCTTACATTTTCTATTTTTGACAAAATATAGAATGGCTATCATCCAGGCATGGACTGTGGGTGGAGCAGGAGACTTCCATTTAAGAAGAATAATTTTTTGCCTACTTTGGCATAGAGGGTTCAAGTAGTAGACTTAGACAAACTTTATTGAGCCACAAGGGACATTATTTGGACACAGTAGCTCACAGCATATTATAATAACAAAGAAAAACATATGAATGGTATTCTAAATACGTAGCAGAAATAGCAAGAGATTGGTCAAATAAGACATAATTATATAAATGTTTATGTACAAGTAAAAATAAAATATAGACATATATATCTGTTATATACCAGAGGTCGTAAAGAAAACAGTGCAAAGATGAAGTAATGATTGACAGGACACAGGGTTTTCTGTTATATAAATGAGTTGTTGTACACTTTTATGGAGTATGGTATGAATGCAGTCCTGTATCTCTCACTGTTTGAGGGGCGCTGTAGGAGCTTGTTGGAGAATGCAGCAGTTTGTCCAGTTTCCTCCTGTCCCTCATTGTGACAAATATCTCCAGCTCACAGCCTATCATGTGACCAACTTTACAGATCAGTTTGTCAATCTGTCCAATATGCCTTAGTAAATCTTGAAACTCAACAGTGGAAACCAGTGACAAGGCTAAAATTGTACAAAATAAAGACAACCATGTTTAAACTTCTTTTTATAAAAACAGGTTAAGTAAGATGATACATTTAGTTTGTCATATTTGTATCATAGGTAGTCCTATTGGGATATGTATAACACAGCTCATTTTATTAAATATCTCCTCTGCTTTGCTTGTCTGTAGGATGGAAGGAAGACTTTGGAGAACCAGGTGAAGAGGCTGGAGATCGTGGAGCGTCGTGAGGCTAAACTCAAAGATGAGATCCAAACCAAAGGCCAGCAGATTCAGCAGATGGCAGACAAGATCATGGTAACTCACCTCTGCTTTTTTTTCAGACACTGGATGACTTTTAAATGCAACAGGAGTCTTATGCTTTTTCTTTCAGTGTCCCTAAACCAGAGTTTCCTTCAAGAGATCCACAAATGCTGTTGGGACTTTCCTCATTAAATGATGATTAAATTAAAAGTGCTTTAAAAATATTTTGGCAGTGATTAGTGGCTTATAGTCACAACAATTGTCAGTCCAAAACCCACAAAATAACTCAACATGCTCTAATTGTAAAATGTAATTTATGATCTCAGTAGTTTCATTATTAAAGCAGACCTATTATGCCAAATACATTTTTCAGAGCTTTTAACCATGTTATAGTTGTTTCCCCTCACCATTTACTCACCCAAAGTTGTATTTGGAGTGATTCGTGCATGTTTGAGCAATATTTATTCACTTATTTCCTGTTGCCATATTGCCAATCAATCTCCGTTTTCATCACCACAGGCATGCCCACTGCTCTGTGCTTTCTTCTTTCTGCAATTTTACTTTCTTAATCAATGATACATGCAGTATTCAGCAGTGTTGCATAATCATTTTGGTACAAATGAAAAAAAAAAAAATATGATGATGTGTGAGAAGATGCTGACTCTTTGTTGTGATGTTTACAGCAACATCAGCTCCCATTGCACACCTCAGTTTTCTAACATGGACGTCAGCAGACCTGTTTCTTTTATTACGTTGTTTTAGATGAACATTGCAAATTATAGCATAATCATCCACATGTATTGTATTATAGATTATAACTAGAGGAGAAACAAGCACAGTAGGTCTTCTTTAATTTTTCAAGTCAGATTAATTCATCTAGTGACCTCCACTCTCTAAGATCTATCAAATTGTTGACGGTGTATTCACCCTCACTTTGTCCCTTGTCTGTTTGCCTTTTGTTTCGGAGTAATTAAAAACATTCACTTCCAACTTATCCAACCACAACCATAAACCCCTCATGTGCGGCCACTCTTTACTCTTTAGTTAAATCTGGCTAAATAAATGATGTGAGTTTAATGGAATTTAAATGTCTTCTGATGTAAATTTGCTGTGACTCAGTGTATTAAAAGCTCATTATCGCTGCATTTTCCATGTTGCTGACACACACAGGAGCTGATCCAAAACTGGTTATTAGAGTCACATGGGCCTCCATGTGAAATGTCATTTAGCAATCCAACAACAAGCACGTTAATGTTTGGTTTTAGGACACGTGTTTTAAAAATGTAACCTGCATGGCTTCTTAAAATGTGTAAAGGTTATGGTGCAAACAACAAAGCAAAAGTGGATGTACATACATTAATAAGTGTTCAAAAATCAGGGCAAAAAAAAAGTTTAAAGTTACAAAATTTAATATTTATAGACTTTGTACCAAGGATCCTTAAAGGTGCATTGTGTAACTTTTCTGGTGTAGTATCCATCAATTGCTTTTCCACACTGAGATGTTACTTCTTTGTCTGCAGTGTTTCAAAGTATGGCATTAAACCTTTCTATGCTCATGGAGACCAAACCAGACCAAGTTACCAGTCAGATCTGTGGAGAAGCAACCCCGCACAATCAGAATGCCTGTTTTTACATATTTTTGAGATATAAAAGCATCTTTAATTTATTAAATGCAAGGTAGAGCTGTTTAGTGTCATACTATGGAACAATGACATATCCATAGAAACAGGCACCAGAAAAGTTACACAGTCCACCTTTAACTGTGCATAACTGTGACATTATTTTATTTTATTATAATTTTTTTCAGTTTAATATAGATCCCATTAGCATATGTTTTGCCTTGGATGTGCAACCTCTTTTCTAATAAGCTAACTCAAATTGATGTGAACTCTACTAACTCCTAACCTTAAACGTCTCATCCCTTTACGCAAAATTGACTCTTGTGAACTCTAAGCCTTGTTATAATGTTGTTACCTCATCAAAAACATACATGGAGTTGTGTTTTGTTTCATTCACACATGTTTGAGTAACACTGCTTTATTAGTCTACCTACATCTCCAAGGCTTAAAATGCTCTGTTCCACCTTGCGATGTCATGAAGTTAAGTTAACAGCTGTCTTTTTACTTTTTGTTTGTAGAGAGTTGAAATTCCTGGCCTGAAATTATTCAGATGATTTCAGTGAAGGTGTATGGAGTTTAAAAACACAGTTGAGCACTTTCTCTATGACCACACAACATCACAAGATTCAGTGTTTTTTGTTTGAGAGAAGAACTCACCCTAACTATGCAGGATTTCTGTGTTAAACATGTGTTAAAACAACATTATAACATAGATCAGAAAATCGTGTAATATAGTCCCTTTAACCATAACTGTGTTCCTGACCTTAATCATAAACCTGTTCCTAAACATCATCACTATGAATGACCAATCACAGTAGACCGTCCCTCTGGAGCAAACTGTCCAGCATTTTCTGTCAGAAAATCTTAACTTCAAAGTGGTAAGTGTGTTGCTTTGGCCACAGGGAAAGTCAACCTCAACAGCTGTCTAAAGGGCTGCATGTTTTCCTAATATCTGGCAGTGTTTCTATAAATAAGCCCATGTGTTTGATGTTTATGCAGGAGCTGGAGGAGAACCTGAGGGAAACACAGTCCACGGCTCAAAGACTGGAGACCCACTTGAAGCAGAAGGAGAAGCTCTATGAAGACAAGATAAAGGTGCTGTTTCATAACATACACATGGATGCTCATTAAATGCATATCACATCACAAAACATATAAATAGTCTTTTTTCTGCCCTATCCCAGTCTCAATTAAGCAATAGAGGCATATGCTGCAATGCACAAGTCAACACACTGCCTGTGTTATCCACTGAGTGCTCTGGTTTTTAACATCAACCTAAAAATGTGCAATAGGCCACTGCCTTCAGCTAGGTCCTCCTGAAGAGATTCAGATTCACCTTCTGTGGCACCTCCCATTCCATTGCACTGTGTTTCCCCACTGCTCCTGACTGGTTGCTCCAGTAGAGTCCTACCGTTTAGGTATACTTTTATGAATCAATTCGGAATCTTTGCAAAGAGTCAGTGAAATGGAAGACTGATTATTCTTTCCACTCCTAATAGATAGGGTGTATTCGTTTTGTCAACAGATTGAGGAAGTGTTGTTATGTGCTAAGTTTGGTTTGCCTTGAGTTTTGTTCGGCCTATAGCTGGTTCCTCACACACCTTGTGTCGTGGTGTTAAATGAAGCTCTGGTGGTTGTGTGGAGCAGGTGCTGGAGGCCCAGATGAAGGCGGACATGGCCGACAAAGAGATGCTTGAGTCCAGTCAGAGCAAATATGAGGAGGAGGTGCGCGAGAAGTGCAGCATCATCAGCGAACAGAAGGCGGTAAGCGGTCGGCAGCTTGGCAATGACACACTTTCAAATCTTATCACACTGACATACATTCCCCTAATAACACTGTGAATGCCAACTGCAGATTTATTGGAGTGCAATTTAACACTATATGTAATGTTAATAGACTAACAGACCAGAGGCTCAAGCTAATGCTAACGTCTGCTGTGTGTAAACAAAACATTTGTCATTAGTTGGTTTACCACTGAAACAGATGAGCAGCTATTAGCTATAAGTCACAAAAGAGTTAGCCGACAGCTAGTGTAGCGTAGCTAGTAAATGATGCACTACATGTTTACATTTCTGAAAAACTAACAACTAATGGCTAATGATGATGGCTGCCTCTTGCAAATAAACTACACATTATGCATGTTTTGGTATTGGATTAAATAAGTAGTCAGTCTAACAATTTTTGTATATGGTAAGCTTCGTCTTTAGGGTGTGACAAAAGTGACTCTATATTATAGAATTGTAAATAAATCAATCCGTAAATAAATACTAAGTGTGTCCATAGACAGCAACAAAGTTCTGGCAGAGCAAATGACCATAGTCCACCTTAGGCACATTTTTGTGATATAAGCAAACATATCCTAAGATGTTTGAATAGAAGAATATATTGGTGTTATTTTTTATTAATTTTTTTATTTTTTTCATATTTTTTAGACCATAAATGCCATGGATTCAAAGATGAACAATCTGGAGCAGAGGATTGCTGAGCTGACAGAAGCCAACAAACTGGCAGCAAACAGCAGCATCTACACACAGAAAAATATGTAAGTGCTGAATGCAAATATGACATTTACCAACTACTGTCACAGGCCGGCTGCAGCAGAATTTCTGCTAAATCCTGTTTGATTTCATGAGACCCCTGACGATGCAGTATGGTCAATAAACATTCATTTTCATTGCAAAAGCATTTAGTGTGCAGAACCTGACTTACCAAAGTCATGTGAAGGTCAGTCTCACCTCTATAAATGATATAATAAACACAATAGCTGTTTGTCTGGGGGCTGTTCATGTCCCACACAGAGTCAGACTGAATCACGTCTCTTAAAGATATGTTTGCTGCTGTTGTCAGGAAAGCCCAGGAGGAGATGATCTCAGAGCTCCGGCAGCAGAAGTTTTACCTGGAGTCTCAGGCTGGAAAGCTGGAGGCCCAAAACGCCAAACTGGAGGAACATCTGGAGAAGATGAGCCAGCAGGAACAGAGCAACAAGAGCCGCGTAATGGAGCTGGAGACACGGCTCAGAGAGGTGAGAGGAATTGGAATTTCTCTTGAAACATGTTATGTGCTATGAAAGTGCATGACAGGTAAGGTATAGTAATGTATAATAATGCATAGTAAACTGTAAGACTCCAACTACTTACTGAATTCATCATGGCTTAATAATTATGCATTAATTAAGTAATTAACCATCTATAATTATATTCACAGATTTTAATCTGGCCAAGTGAATTTATCACATAGACAGTGTTATTAAATAAAATCGTACGTATAGTACACATAGAATTTTTCCATTTGGAAAGTACTATTTGTAAAAGTTTGTGTTTTTGTGTGTGTGCGTGTTTGTGTGTTTTTGTTTTTTTTTTGCTTTTATTTAATAGTTTTTCCAGCTCATCCAAGCTGCTTCTTCAGTTCTGGTCAATTGACAGAATTGTGCAGTGTACAGAACAGAATTTTTCCTTTGCTACTCTTTCTAAATATTTTCATTGAAGAAGACTACAAATAGTAAGGCACATTAGAAATAATTTGATGGGTTGACAGAAAATTGATGAAGCTCTCCATATGCACTCACTCATTCATTGGCAAGAGAGGTGTCTTAAACAATGAAAGTTTTCCATTCCAGTTAAAAGCCGCAGCATAAACTCAGCTCAACCACTGCGTCACATACAGTGACTGTTTTGTCCTGTTTAAAATCCACTTCGGTCCTACTGCTGGTATGATCTTGCATTACTCCATCAGTGTAATATGTGTGTGGTGTGTTTAGATCGGTCTGGAACACGAGGAGCAAAAGCTGGAGCTGAAGCGGCAGGTAACAGAGCTGACCCTGTCGCTCCAGGAGAGAGAGGGGCAGGTGACATCGCTCCAGGCCACACGTCACGCTCTGGAGGGGCAGCTCCAACACGCCAAGACTGAGTTGGAAGAGACCACTGCTGAGGCCGAGGAGGAGATCACTGTGCTCAGGGTGAGGCAGGCACTGGGACAGGGTACAGCTTAAAAGGTGCACTATGTAGCTTTTTGGTTGGGGTCCGTCACCTTGTTTCTATGGAGATGTTGTTTCTCTGCCTGTAATGTTCCACTACATGACATTAAACAGCTTTATCTTACATTTATTCAGTTACAGCTGGTTTTATATCTCAAAAATACCTAGAAAAACTGACATTCAGGCTGTGAGTGGGGTTGCCTCTCCACAGATCTGACTTGTAACTTGGTCTGGTTTTGCCTCCATGAAGATAGAAAAGTTTAATGCCGTACTATGAAACATTCCAGACAAAGCAATAACATCTCCAAGGAGAAAAGCATTTGATGGACCCTCCAAAGAAAAGTTACACAATGCACCTTTAATATGTTTAAATAAGACTCTGACATCTGTTATGTTTTACTGCTGTAGGCACACCGAGATGAGATCCAGCGCAAGTATGACGCACTGAGGGACAGCTGTGCGGTAAGTCAGATGCTTTACAGATAATAGCTCAATGAAAAAGTACATGCTCACTTTGGCATTACTTGGAGTACATTAATCCAGATTCTGTTAGCTTGTCTTCATGTTATGTAATATCCCGTCATTTCTTCACTGCACATTAAAATGCTAATTATCACTTATGAAGAGTTTCAGAGGTGCTTGTCTCCATGGAGATGTTATAGCTTTGCCAAGAAAGTTCTACAGGCATTTAACCTTTCTATATTGCATTTATTTGATTCCAGGTGTTTATATTGCTCATTAACATGCATTTTTACAGTGAGCGGGCCTACCTCTCCACAGATCTGACCTAGCAGAGTCATCTGCTTATCTCTATGAAGATAGCTATGTTTAAAGCCTATTGAGGCTAAGCAATAAACATCTCCTTGGAGACAAGCAAGTGGCAGATTTGCTAGCAGAAAAATGACAAAGTACATCTTAAAACTGAATACATACTAATTTATTGCACATTTAGTGAACACAGAATATTTGAAAATGTATTAATAGTAGGCTTAGGCCTTTAGGGACTAGTTGGAGGTTGGCAAGGGTTCTTTCTTTATTTCTAATTCAAAAATAACTAAAGATAGATTAACTTCTTATTAAAGGTTGGTTCAGGCAAGGCAGTGAGTCATATACTAAGGGTCTATATTACACAAAATTCACTAATATGATCTTTAAGCCATGCTAGATGTTGTTTCCTCATCAAAAACATACCTTGAGCTGTATTCTGTTTTATTCACACCTTTGAGTAATCCTTTGTTATTAATCCGTTTACATATCTAAAGGTCAAAATGCTCTCTTCCACCTTGTAATGTCATGTAGTGGTAGTTTTCAAGTTATCAGCTACCGTTTACCTTTTGTTTGAGAGAAGAACTCAACCTAAATATGTAGGATTTCTGTGTTAAACATGTGAATGAAACAAAACACAACTCCAGGTATGTTCGTGATGAAGAAACAACATTATAACATAGATCAGAGTAATGCAGGCCTTTAAATAAACTAAAACTATCCTGTCATCGAAGGGTTTTTTTTTTTTTCCACAAATGGCAAACCATATATCATCAGCTTCACTGTAATCCAAATAGAATTGATTGGAGAGTAAATAATTGTTACGCTGCTCGTTTCACAGCTGTTCTCAATAATCTGAACACTGTTGGGCCTGAATGACTGCGTGGAGATCACTCTTCAGTTTACTCTCAGCATTTCTGTCGTGAACACAAACAAATGCGAGTGCTACAATTATCAACACTGATCCTGCTGGAACAGACTGCCCATGGCCTCAGTCTCCCATCTCTATCAAAAAAGAAGGGAAAAAAAATCACATGCTCATTCCAAGATTATTAGGATCTTTTTATTCGTCTTTTCTTTTCACTTCTCACTCTTCCTTATGCCAGTAACACTGCTTGAAACTGATGTTCAAATGTAGCAACTCTTAACAAAATGGCAGAGTGACCATGTTTAATATTTGATAGTATGAAAGTGGTGTGAGCATGAATGCTGGTGATGGTCAAAGGGGCCAATTGCGCAGACTGGCTCAGGGCAGCTGTGGCTACAGTAGTGACTTAGCACCACCAGGTATTCAGTGAATGAATAATGCTCAGAAATTGTCTTTGAGCATCTGGAAAAGAGCTGTATAAGTAAGGAGTTTGTTGCAAAAGTAGTTGTAGTGATAATACAAAGGTTATTATAAGGTGTTGTCCTACTAATAGTAAGCTTATTGCATTTGCACTGTTTAGGAGTACTAGTAAGTATTTTCACAATCATGTTCAAGAAGGTATGAGGTAGTGGCAGTAGAGTTTGTAATACATGCAGGACTGTCAGAGTAACTATTACTAGCAAGTATTATTTAGGAAATCCACTAAAACTAATACTTAGTTAAATACCTTTTTTGACTTCTAATCATGTACCAATATTTTGCTGTAACTCTTTAATACCCTAAATAGTGTAAATATCTGTTGTTTTGTCTTTACTTTGGCCAGGGTTTGAGGTCCTGCCACTCACAAACTGTTTTTGCGTATGCTACTGTTATCACCTGGAGACTGATGAAACCTCTATGGCTAAGATCCTGCAATAGCTCAGGGTGTCATTATTATTTAAGCACTTTGTCTGTCCTAAAAAGGGGCATATGAATTAAATGTGTTATTATTAAGAACATACTGTTTTTGTATTTAGAAATGAACCATTCTACCTATGGTCAAATGGCCATGTTTAACCTGATTTACTATTGTCCAAAAGTCTTCCAATACTGTGATAGGAATGGGATACAAACCAAATGCAAGTATTTCTGAATTTATGTAAAACAACATTAGCTTTTAAGGTTAAGGTTTAAAGGTGCACTGTGCAACTTTTTGGTTGGGGGTACATCACCTGCTTGTTTCTATGGAGATGTCATTGCTCTGCCTGAAATGTTCCCCAGTATGACATTAAACAGCTCTAACTTACATGTATTCAATTACATGTGGTTTTATAGCTCAAAAATACCTAGAAAAACAGGCATTCTGACTGTGAGCGGGGTTGCCTCTCCACAGATCTGACCTGTAACTTGGTCTGGTTTGGTTTCCATGAAGATAGAAAGGTTTAATGCCATACTGTGAAAAATTCCAGACAAATAACATCTCCATGGAGAAAAGCATTTGACGGACCCTCCACCGGAAAAGTTACACAACGCACTTTTAAAAAAAGTTTGTCACACACGATGTCACAGTATTTTTAATAACATCCGGCCCTGATACTGCATTTCTTCCTCTTACAGGCTTTAATTTTCTTGACAAACTGTTGTGAGTGACATGCATTGAGTTGCAGATGATCCGGACATGAGTTGGTTTCTTTTTGAGTGGCTCTATAGATCACTCTGACAGATGATTATAGTGAGCACAGACGCACATCTCTGCTCCTACTTTCCTCCGCCTGACTTAAACTACTGAGAGGCTGCTGTCTGTCTGCCTGCCCTCAGAACTGCACTGATACAGAATATGTATTGAACTTAACGGTACCATTTCCATAGGGTCTTGTCAACTGTCAACCACTAGAGGGTCTCTAAAAGCTCCAAAAGACTGCAGTAGCTACTGACATTCCAATAGTTACTGAGACATTGCTTAGAATTTAAATGTATCTCTATCATATTAAGATGTTGATGTGGATCATCTAAACTGGGATTTTTGACACTCTAATAGACTTTTTCCAAAGGGCACCCAAAAACAGCCATGAAGATGAGAAGGAGTAAAAATTATATGATGTTATGATATGGACATTTACTGTATTTAAAATGTAAATTGCACTTTTACTTACATTTTCTGAGTTATTAATTTCACCTCCCTTCAGTGTTGAGCTTGTCCTTTTTGGTCAGCAGGACAGGATTCTATAAAGCTTCAATATTTCTGCCATTTTCTGGTATTATCAAAAGTACACGTTGTGATTTTTACTTTGTAAAACATAGTTAGAAATACAATTTTGACAGCTGTGTTTCATTATTTCAGCCTTACAACAATACAGTTTACATGGTGTCCCTTCAATAATTGATCATGACCTCAAAAATTTTCCCATTTTTGTTGTGGATAAGTTTTGAGAGAAAAAGTGGATCTTATTCCTATACTATGTGCTGTAGCTGACTCTGTCTGATTAAAGGAACACATATGCTGATGAACGATTAGGCACTTGATGTTTTATGAAAGAAAAGTAAGTCCGACCTCATGCAAGAATGATTGCAGCATTATATCACTGACCCAGATATGGGAATCATGTAATAATGTGCAAACTTGAGACTGACTGCGTGGGAAGCTAGGTCTAGATCAACTTCAGACTAAAGTATACTATATGCAACATGTTTTTGATGAGGGAACAACATTGTAACATGGTAAAAACACACATTCTATAACAATTAACAATGTTTAATATCAATCACATTGTTAATTACTCATGTACTATTACCTATTACAAATTAATTTAAGCAAAATGTAGACTATTCTAACTTGACTTAAAGGTGTACTATGTAACTGCCTGTCTCTATGGAAATGTTATTATGTGTGGAGAGGCAATCCCAGTCCCAGTGGGAATGCATGTGTTTCAAGGTATGTTCAAGTAATAAAACACCTGTAATGGAATAAGTGTAACATGGATGCCATACTGTGGAATATTCCAGTCAATGTACTTACATTTCCATAGAGAGCGTGTTAAGTTAATTGGTTGTTATATGGTGGAACTGAGTGTAATGAGATCTTTATAAGGACACGCTCTGAATATATAAGATTACTCCAACAGTCTTGAAATGAGAAGGTCCAGGTACTGGTGGTTTTCGGATTCTATACTTGATAATGTCATACTCTCAGATGGAGGGCAAGAGCCAGATTTCCCTATTGGATGCATTGTATTTTACCATGACATATCCAAAAGGTAAATTAATTGTATCTATATTAATTAATATCGTTCTCTAGAATGCTGTAATGTCACCTGAAACCCAGCAATATTTTTCATCATATCAAAGCATGGTCCTCAAAAAGCTGATTTAGAATATTATGGGCCTATGAACTCTATGTAAGACTCTACTATTATAAAAACTTGGACTGACCTTTTGAATGTTTGTATTTCCAGGTGATCACAGACCTGGAGGAGCAACTGACCTCACTGTCCCAGGAGAATGCCGAGTTAAACCGTCAGAACTTTTACCTGTCCAAACAGCTGGATGACGCCACGGATGAGAGAGAGGCTCATCTGCAACTCAGCCAAGAGGTGGACCAGCTCAGGAGAGAGGTGGCTGACCGTGAAATGCACCTGAACAACCAGAAACAGGTGTGTTTTATTGTAATATATTTTACTTATTTAACATTACATATTTTTGTTACACATTTGTCAGCCAGTCACAGCCATACTCATTGAAATTTAGCCTCCTGCAGTTTAGACTTAGATTTACACAAACTATACTGATCCACAAGGGAAATTATTTGGACACAGTAGCTCACACATCAAAATATAATATAATAACAAAGAGGAAAAATTATGAATTGTAATAATAAAATCTAAATAAGTGAGAAAGAGACTGGTATTATTTTCAAGGAAATGCCACCTACAACGGTCCTCAGAACTGTTGGCTTCCTCAATATCTCTCTCTTCCTCTTTGCTTCTACTTCAACCCAAAACCTGAACAATAGGCAAAATCCTCCTCCTCCAGCTAAGTGGTCCACCTGACCAAGTCTAGCTAAAGATTTGGACATAGGTCTCCAGACACTGCACATGTTGTCCCAGTTGCCCTGAGGGATGGGTAATTTTCCTTCTTACAAGGATAAGTATACGGATCCTGAGTCTGAAATAAAGAGATGATGATATACTTTTTATCTTTTCTGATGTAGGATCGCCACCTACTTATCTACATGAAGAAGTCATTGCTTTGCCTAGACTGTTCCATAATTTATTAAACTTTCTATCTTCATTGGAATAAGCATCTGATCCCACAAGGCCAAATTACAGGTCAGATTTGTGAAGAGGCGACTCCCAATCACAGTAATATTTTTAGCAATAAAATCTCCTGTAACTGGATACTGGACAATCTCTATCGAGAAATCCTGTGGTGGACCCCACTAGAAAAGTTACTTTGAGCACCTCTAGTCATTTGTCTTTGTACACATTGGATAGTTACTGGTCTTATCAACAGTAATATTTGGAAAACATAGTTCACCATAACTTTAAATGGTAAATGGTAAACACATTTTTATATAGCTCTTTTCCACCTTCAGGGCACCCAAATCACTTTTCATCATATTCATACACCAGACACTGGGAGCAACATGGATTAAATGTCCTGCCCAAAGACACAAGACAGTATTCATCTGTGGGAGTTGGTATTGCAACCTGTGGGTCAATGGATCTGACCGCTCAGCCAATAATGTTCAATGATTTGAACCGCCAACACCAACTGAGCTACTGTTGCTTTACTTATAAACATTATTACTCTGAGTTCTGCGATGACAGCTCCACCTCAGCACTTGAAATTCAATTTGAATTATCCCAAATATAGAAGTTGTCATTTTGTTACTATTTCCAACCTGAGCCTTGAGTCAGACACTAAGTTTACTCCCACTCATTTTCAGGCATTTGCACACAATATCGATAGCAGTGACACATGACCTAGACAAACTGATGCTCTCGGTGTTCAACGTAAATCCAGAAATCCTCAGGAAAGCTCTGGATCCTTCTGCTGAGGAGGAAGAGGAGGCTGGGCTCAGATTGATGCATTGTGGGAGGATACATGTGTGGGTGTCCAGTAGCCCGCGCTGGGTCGTTGTGTAACCAGCCTAAGTCATAGACGAGGGACGAGTGGGCGGCATGTGTCATCGCTTCACTCCCAGGTCGAGATAGTGTGGACTTCAGAGGCTGCTGTGCTGGAGGGGCTATATTTGGACATGTTTATGGTGGTTCAACACTCTGCAATGTTAGAAATTAAAGCTGTTTTGTGTGGGCATCAAAAGAGGAAGCAGGAAATTTGCATAATGGTCTGTGTTTGTCAGAACATGTAAAAATAAAACTAAATTCCTTCTGTAACCAAAGCTACAATTGATTTTGCAAGTCAACTTTCCTCCTAAATGAGGAATGTAGTTTTTGGCAATGTAGTAAGCTTTAAAGGTACAATATATGGAATATGTGTTCCCAGATATGAGGTAATGATGTTCAAATCAAATATTACTACAATGTTGTAATGTTGATCCTTAATTACAAAAACAATAGACTCAGTGGCCAAGTGTTTAGTTGTTTATGTTATAATTTGGTATTTTGAACCTCAATAAAAGCTTATGTTGTTGTTGGAGGGTGGATATATGCAATTATTGTGTATATTTGTCCATTGCAGAGCTATGTTTTGCATGTTTTGTGTGAGTGTGAAAAACGGGGACCTTGAATTTGCATAAGGGTTTGTCAGAACATGTGAAAATAAAAAAACAAAAACAAAGGGAGGCTGAGTCTGGAGCATTCTGTGCAAGTAAACAATACTGCAGCTATCTTTAACTACACATCACACTAGCAGCTGTAGTAGAGATGGTGATAGAAGGGATATACTTGGATATTTGTACTGGCCCAGTGTTGTACAAATTTGCATAATTTAGTTTTTTAAAAGAAAACTGAAAGCTAGAAGGGTCTGGATCATTACAGTCATTTGTGATTGCAGCTAAAGTAGTCTTTGCCAGCTTTAAATGTATTTTGTAAAAGTTAAAATATATAGTTGCAGTATACTTTATTTGAATGTTTACATAATCATGCCAATATTTTCAGCAAACATTTTTCTCTTATCATTCTGCGTTAGTGCATTTTGTAAAAAAAATAACTTTTAAAAAAATGATGAACTATGTCCGTGGGTGGCACTAGTAGTTCTGTTGCTATAGCTACTAAAATGTAGAGCAGGTACTGACAAATAGCAGAAAATAGTGTTCATTTTTACCAGAAGTAAAGATTTTAAATGTATCTGTCCTGTTCAGTATGTGGAGTATTTGCCTTCTGATCTAAAAGCCTGTGGTACAATCCCTTCTCTCATTAGAGCACACTGCTGTGCCTTGGACAAAATAATAAACTTGATTAGTCCTGAGGCTACCAGATAGCGGCACATAATAATCCTCTTATGTAGAATGGATAGGGATAGGATAAGTTCTCATACCAAATCAAATTCTCTCTGCACACATATGGAAAATTGGGATTTGTTAATTATCTTTTTGAGAAGTTGTAATGAAAATAATAATGCTACTCTGAAAATTGTTGTCCAGTTAACTAAATTACATCTTCGCTCAATATATCCAAACATGGTTTACATAAGGAGACAATAAAAATAAATGTAATACATTTTGAGACAATGCTACTCCTTTCCCCAATTCAAAGCAAAATATAAAGCAGTGATGGTGAAATATATGGCGGAGTCCTGAGAAATGTTGTGTATTTAACTTATATGTATATGTGTATTATATGTATGAGTAACAGCAATTTAGCATAAGGTAGTATCATCATCTCTATAATTATTAAAAAGTAAAAAACAAAATTATATATATATGTTGGAATGGTAAGATGTCATACTGCATTTGGTGTAAATATTGAATGGGGGTGAGAGCAAATAAGTATTTTTACTTTACTTTCACTCCCTTTTGAGCATGCAGTGTGTTTTCCTTTCTTTTGTGAGTAATAGTATTTGTTATAATGCATATATGTAAATTTCTTACACATTTTTTTAAGCCAAAAGTGTCAACTGAAACTCATAGTTATGTCAAAATCTCTTCTTGTCTCATTCTTGTGGACCCAGTCTCATGTCCTTACTCATCTTGTGTGAAATGTCTCTTATTCCATACCTATTAAAGGACAACACATATTGTAACACCTTTCTTATACCATACCCATTAACTTGATACTTATCTTGACTCTTGCTTCAGAACCTGGAGACCCTGAAGACCACATGCACCATGCTAGAGGAGCAGGTGATGGAACTGGAGTCCCTGAACGATGAGATGCTGGAGAAGGAGCGTCAGTGGGAGGCCTGGAGGTCCACTCTGGAGGAGGAGAAGAGCCAGGCTGAGAGACGTGTGCGTGACGTACAGAGACTGCTGGACAATGAGAAACAGAACAGGTGACTCATCTGTATAATAAGAGGGGGTCGCTAATGTTAATATTTTTCTCCTTTTCTCTTAAAAGTGTGCTATGTAACTTTTTGGTTGGGGGTCCGTCACCTGCTTGTTTCTATGGATATGTCACTGCTCTACCTGGAATGTTCCACACAATGACTTTAAACAGCTCTGCATTACATTTATTAAATTACAGTTAATTTTATAGCTAAAAAATATTCAGAAAAATAGGGATTCTGTGAGAAAAAATTACAATGTTTGATAACATACTTCAAGCTACTCTTATTTTTACAACAGATAGATACATAACTGACTGACAAATAATATTACAATGTTAGTAAGGTATTATTGTTCCAAGAAACACTCGCTCAGGCAAGACTGAAAGAAATCTGTAGAGGCCTACAGTGTTTGTCACAAATTCTGCAATATATTGTCATAGGTTTATTTACAGGACAGGGAACAGGTTTGGGACATACATTTGGATGTATTATTATATTGACTCATAAAGTCTGTTTTGGATCAAGAAAACCAGACCAGAGGTAAGAAGTGCTTGTGTTTGGTTTGTTTACTTCGGGATTAACACTCGAGCATTGCGTTGGGACATAATATGAACTCAGTGTCTGTTTTGTAGAAAATCACATTTTAAGTTTCCAACAAGGTAAATAGCTTGGTAACTTATGTTTTTGCTGATTTACTCTCTAGATTGTTCGTCTGGAATTTTGGGGGTGTTGCAATGAATGAATTGGAGTTCCTGCAACATCCACACGGTTGCGTTTGGACATCAGAGTGAATTCCTCTCCCACAAGTTTATGTCCCAGTTTATTTTAAAGCCAGTGCAGACTGTCTTGGCGTGTTTAAATAAGTTGGGAATCAGATGCTTGTTAGAGATGCTACCAAAGCAATGCTAAACTCTTCTTGGTGTCAGGTGTAATGTGAGGTTGTTCCTAGGTCCTATGGAGTTTGTCTTTGTGTTGTGACTGTAGAGCTGTGCACGTGGGTTTGGGGCCACTGTGCAGGTGTTTATAAGGTGAGCTGCTGCTGCGCTGCGCCCATGGACGGTAAACTTTTTTATACAGTCCATGGCTGTGCCGTCATAACACACTCACTATGAGATTCTGGTTATGGGCATAGACCTTATAAAAATGTGTATATATACAGTCATACAGGGTATGATCCTCAATCATACCCTTAGACCCTTAGAGGATCTGGAGGTCAGATTTCTCTCAGACTTTGAAGGGAGCCAGTGGGCTGTTTTCAGATCGCCCCAAGCAGCTCAGTTGTGTACTTTGAAACGCAGGATATTAAGAAACTGACAGATTAGGCTGTTTTCTTGTGATTTATGTTATTTATAGTCAACATTTATGATTTAAAGACTAATATTGCCGAACGAATGTTTACAAATTTGCGTGATTGATAGGGAGTGCGGTGCCCCATCTCCCATTATGGACCAGCCGGCGCTGTTGATATGGTTGCTAACTAGTCTGATTTCTCAAAACTGAATAAATGCATGTTTTATACTGAACATATTCACTCAATTATTTATTTTTTTATTGATGCCTTTGGAGGTCACTAATGTAATATTTTTCTCTTATTCACTCTCTCCCTGTCTAGCTGTAAATGTCTAATTCTTATTGAGGTAAAAAAAAGTTTAATAATAATAATAATAATAATAATAATAATAATAATAATATAATAATAATAATAATAAATATCTTACATAATTTGAACATATGGCACTAAAAGGCAGGAGATATTTCACATTGTTTTTGCATTTGTGTTTGTGTCTCTTAAACATGCAGAAATGCAAAGTCGATAACTTTGGAATACACCTTTTTTTCTTTAACCATTCTCATTTTTACAAGTAGCTATGGTTTCTAGTGTGATTTCTCAAAAGGGATGACATTTATTTTTTTATATTTAACAGATTCACTCAGTTATTTATTTTTCAACTGACTCACCAAATGGCCCAGTTGTTTGTTTATCATTTTACTTTTAACTTATTTCAAAGAATATGTTGTACTTACTTAATATAATATAATGGTAATATCTCCATCTCTCTCCAGGCTCCGTGCTGAACAGCGCAGCTCTGAGTCCCGTCAGGCTGTGGAGCAGGCGGTGAAGGAGCATAAGTCTGAGATCTTGGCTTTGCAGCAGGCACTAAAGGACCAGAAACTGAAGGCTGAAAGTCTCGCTGACACTGTGAGAATTTAAACTTTCATTATTTTATTTTTTTATTTTTTATTTTTATCATTTTGAAGGTATGTACACCCAGCACACTAACAAAATAAACATTACAAGACATAATAAAAAGATGAGTCTAACACACATACAAACAGAAAATACAAACAAACATACAAACAAAAAAAAGCAAAAACAAAAAAGGGGAAGTGGGTGGGATGGGGTACGGGGGGTTTAAAACCTACTTTGTTTTTACTGTTTTCCATCTTGGAATGTGTTACCTCCCTGAGCCAAAACAAAATAACATTTTAGGGCTGTCGCATCATATTTACAAAGGTCCAACCTGCTTTTCCTTTTTAGGCAAATTCACAGTTTCTTTTATCTTGTATATTTCATTATCTATTGATTTATTTATCTTTTAATCATTATTCTATTTAATTTATTTAATTCTATTTAATCATTATTAACCCTTCAGGCTCTGATCTTCAGAGTATTCATTACTAAACATAAGTCATTTCCACAGCTGAACGACCTAGAGAAGAAGCACGCCATGTTGGAAATGAACGCGCGCAGTTTACAACAAAAGCTTGAAAGTGAGAGGGATCTCAAACAGAGACTACTAGAAGAGGTAATGTTGAATTATTAGAGATATGTTCCAAGAAATGGCTCACTCAGATGTTCTGTAATGTGTTTTCAGTTTTAGAAGTGCACTGTGTAACTTTTCTGGTGGAGGGTCCATCACCTGCTTGTTTCTATGGATGTCATTTTCACAGCTCTACCTTTTATTTATTTATGTACAGGCTTTATAGCTCAAAAATACCTAGAAAAACAGGCACTCTGACTGTAGGGTGTGTGGGTTGCCTCTCCACAGATCTGATCTGGTACTTGGTCTGGTTTAGTCTCCATGAAAATAGAACGGTTTAATGCCATACTTTGAAATTTTCTGGACAAAGCAATAACATCTCCACGGAGAAAAGCATTTCATGGACCCTCCACCAAAAAAGTTACACAATGTGCCTTTAATTTTCAGTTTCAGTCAGTCTTCACAGAGCTGTTCACAATGTGCTGCTGATTTCTAAGTGTTTACTGTGTGTTGTGACCATTACCTGACAAAGAAAAACACTTAAGACCACACAGGTCCCTAATTAGTAGCTAATTAACACAGAGGTACATAGAGGTGTATTTCTAGACATCTCTGCACAGAACATGACATGGTATTATAGCTAAAATCAATATTGCCATATAGTGAATACTGAGGTCTAGTCACTAATACAAATTTAATTTTTTTTAATTTAATTTTCAGCATTTGTGAATTTACCTCTTAGATATTTCACAGAAAAGTACAATGTTATCAATAGGAAAATCTGTCTCTTGACCCATATGACATCATCACATTGTAGAATCTGAAAAACACCAATAGAATTTAACTAATAATATCAAACCAATCTGAGGAGTTTGTCTCCTGCCTTACTCTGGGAGCTTGTTTGATCTCAAGAATCTCAGATGGCAAAAACACATCTGTCTCTTTTCTTTCAATGAATATAGGTCTGTTTTTCTCTTAGCAAGAGAAGCTGCAGCAGCAGATGGATGCCCAGAAGACACACATCTTTCGTCTGACACAGGGTCTTCAGGATGCTCTGGACCAGACTGACCTCCTCAAAACTGAGAGGACAGACCTGGAGTACCAGCTCGAGAATATACAGGTCTCACACTTTTACATGTTGTTTCTAAGTAGTCTGTAGTTAATTAGCTTATTTTCTTCGGTCATTTGGAATCATCATTAATCATATTACCAGTGATTGAACACAAAACTTTACGCATAACACTAAAGTTATTCCAAAGACTGAAGGGGTTTAGGCTGAAGAGTAACACTTATTTTGCCCTAAACTCTTTTTACAAATCATTATCTCTGATTGTCACACAAGTGATTGTGAAACAATGACATAAACATTTTTTTGGAGATGGACTTCAATGTTTTGCTCTTGTTGTCTGTTAAATAGCTACACATGACCTGCTGACCTACTCAAATCTTATTGTACAAAAACATCTAAATATGTGAAGTTGAGAAAGCTAATGGTCACTGGCTCCTGCATTAAATTTCAGTCTTTTTTCATGATTTTGTAAACTGCAGTCTTGTTGTTCTCCTTATGTCCCAGTGGTTTGTTTCAAAGTTACCTGCTTCCCCTTTAGCTCTCCCTTTAAACCACCTTACAGACCTCCCTTTGACCCTGCCCGTAGCCCTCCTCCCCTCCTCTGTCCCGCGTGTGCCCTTTGTGTAAATGAATTATTTGAGGTGAAATTGATGGCAGTAGTGATGTTCACTAGCTCCACCTGCAGGCCGTGTACTCCCATGAGAAGGTCAAAATGGAGGGCACCATCACGCAGCAAACCAAACTGATCGACTTCCTCCAGGCTCAGGCCCACGGCGGCTCCAAGAAGAAGAAGGTCAGGGGCTCTTCTGTTGTTATGGACAGTAAGAAAGATAGTGCTGTTGGAGGAAAAAAGATACTTAAGTGCCTAGGAGTAAAGAATAAGATACTTTATTTATTTGAGGAATGTAAGATCAGAAAATTATCTGTGGACATATTGAATTTTATCCTTCACTAAGCCTTTACCTTAAAGATGCATTGTGCAATCAAATGCTTTTCTTCATGGAAATTTTATTGCTTTGTTTGGAATGTTTCACAGTATAGTTGAGACCAAACCAGACCAAGTTTCAGGTCAGATCTGTAGAGAGGCAACCCCGCACACAGTCAAGATGCCTGTTTTTCTAACAATTTTTGAGCTATAAAACCCTCTGTAATTGAATAAATGTAAGGGAGAGCTGTTTAATGTCATACTATGGAACATTCCAGGCAGAGCAATGATATCTCTATAGAAACAAGCAGACCCTCAACCAAAAAGTTACCTTAAACATTTCAAATATATGTAAAACAAAAGTAAATCCAAACAAAGATCACATGTATATTTTGTATGCTTCTCTCTAGGGTCTGTTTGGTCGCCGTAGAGAGGACCTCATAGCTGCGATGGCAGCCCAGGCTCAGGCCCAGGGGCAGGGCCAGGCCTCGGCAACGCCCCCTCCTGTCCCACTGCAGTACAGCGACATGAAGTCTGCCCTGGACAAAGAGCGCGCCCGCTGCTCTGAGCTGGAGGACGCACTGCAGAAGATGAGGGCTGAGCTTAGATCTCTCAGAGAGGAAGGTGAGAGTAGTGTTTTATACCAGGTTCTATACAGGTTTTTTATTTAGAGTGACTTTACGATCTATATGAAGTAGGTGTGTTGATGTTTAAAGAGGAGAAAAGTATAGTTTTTAAGCTAGTCAGGCAGTTGCTGGGCCAGTTCTAACTCTTTTCTTCATACTACGGGACTATCAAGGTAATCATGTATTAAACTAAAAATGTTTACTCTCAATAGCTCTCCAGTACAAAGACCACAGCCCAAACCCATCATCCCGTCAGCAGATGATGATGTCCTCAATGGTGAAGTCTCCTGAACATCAGCAGGGCCCCAGTCTGAACCCATCAGGCTCAGGCCGCAGGAAGGACACAGCCACTCCAGAGGGTCAGTCTGAGACAACCACAACCAAAGGCATTTACACTTTTTCATTTTAAGCACCTGTTAAAAACTGTATGACTTTTTCTCTGTACGGGCATCATTTTGTGAAAAAGAACAAAGACCCTCAGATTATGTCACTATTTTATATATTTGTTACTATGTATTTATTTACTCAATATCCCCAGTTTGCCCAAGTCTAAACAAAGTATGTTCATGTTAACGAATACCTAGACTCCCTAAAATTTAGAATAAATACTGCATGCTCAATTGCCCTCGAAGCGAACAGGCCTAGATCACTGATGTATATTTTCTCTTCCGCACATCTCTCAGAAAGAAGGAGAGTCACTTTTGAAAGTAAGTCGTCCCAAATTCATGGTTTGAGCACAGTTTGGTCTCTTCTCCTTTTGCCTCATCCACATCTCCGAAAGGCCAGATTTTAAAAGCTCTGCACTCAAAACGTCCAATCACTCCAGAAAGGAAGTCATTTGTTTCTCTTTTGTAGTGCATTGTTTAAGAAATCTGAAGCTTTTTATATATAATTTGCTGAAGCTTGGTAAACCTGATTTGCAGATTGTTTTCTGCTCACAAGCACGTAAAATTGATGTAGGCTGCATTGCAACTTTTAAAACCTAAAAAGCTATTACACTTGGTTCAACTCAAGGTCGCTATTGATGCAGTTACATTTGTTTCCTACCTCAAACTGTTGCATGTGTAGCATGTATGAAAAACGTGTTTGCAGGGTTGTTTATAACATCTACATAATGTGACTGAATAAATCTCGTTTTTGATACAGCAGTGGAAGCAATGCACACTCACAATTCCTGTTTGGCAGTGGCTTGTTATGCATTTTACTAATCAACCTCTTATTTCCACTCACTTGAAGACATTGTAACATTAAAGCTGCTATAATGTTAAATGTATTACTTCCTGGTTGTGTCCAGAGTACAGCCGGCGCCTGAAAGACAGTCAGAGGGACAGGGACAGAGAGCGGGTCCACCACAACAACACGGCTCACCGCTTCACTGTGGGGCTCAACATGAGAGCCGCCAAATGCACCGTGTGCTTGGACACTGTTCACTTCGGACGCCAAGCCGCCACCTGCCTCGGTAATGCGCATTTTAGATCACTAAAGTTCATTCTAGCAGTTTCATCCTACTTGTCTAGATGTTAATTCTGCTGGATGTAATTCCAAAATATTTAGTATCTATATTTGTTACCTCTAAAAGCTCCCATATTAAATGGGAAACATAAAGACTTCTCAAAAAACATAAACATAAAGACATCTCAAAAAACAAAACGTGTCTGATATTTTTCTGTCTTAAACACGTGACAAACAGAAGTAGTTGATTTAAAATTTTGCCGCCACCCACTTATTCTTCACTTTCCTTATGTATCCCTAGCATTCTAATTATTTTGCAATGAGTTTGTGTGCACTTTCCACAGCTGTCAACTTAGTTTTGCTGTCACTTTAATGCTAACACTAACAACTAGCATGCTGACAGCGCACCAGCCTGGTTCATGGAAGATAAAAATATTATAGAATTACATGCAGACAGCATAGTCTAATTTTGTCTCTAAGAACTGCTTTTACAACATATCTGTACTGGGGCAAGACAAACTGTACTTAACCTCACAGTGAGAATGATTTACTCCTCACTGGTGTTAATAAAAGGCATCTGACACTCAATTTAACCATTCAAATGGGACTGTGAGAGACAAATAGATGTGGAACAACATCTAGTATGACATAATATAAGACATTTAAGAATTAGCTCCCCTTTGTTTGTTTTACTCATTTAAAGTTTTCCCTCTTGTAGAATGCCATGCGTTGTGCCATCCAAAGTGCTCCCCCTGCCTCCCTGCCACCTGTGGGATGTCCAGTGACTGCTCCCTGCACCTGTCGGATGGCCCCAGTCGGGACAAGGGCAGCTCTCCATGCCCGCAACTTAAAGAAGCCGGGGGACACATGCACCTGGAGGGGTGGATGAAATTGCCCAGGTCAGAACCACACCCAAACAATGTCTAGCCATATCGGCCTTATAGAAAAAAAGACTGCATCGATCTCCACTGTTTTTTTTTTTTTTTGCTTTTTTTTTTTTTGTTTTTTTTTGTTTTTACGGTAACATGTTTTTATAGTAACATTTTTTTTTCTTCTGGTGTTTAGTTAAGCAGATCTTATCCTGATTTTAGAGTTTGATTTATTATTTGGGTACTTACTGTGTACATTTTAGGTCAGCTGCCTGGTAAAAGTCATACCTATTACAGTCACAAATTTTAAAATGAAATTTATTTATGAATATTTTCAATTCATTTTACAGGAACGGAAAACGAGGTCAGGGCTGGGAGAGGAAATATGTGATCCTGGATGGCACTAAAATTTCTATCTACGACATTGAGCCTAGAGAAGGTTATACACATTTATCAGTGCAATATTCTTTTTATAGTTCTTATGCCCTAACAAACATTTTATTATTGAATACATTTCAGATGCGGTGAAGCCACTGGAGGAGTTTGACCTGTGTCTGTGTGATGGAGAAGTGATGGTCCATGGAGCTGTGGGAGCCTCAGAGCTTCCCAATACAGCAAAGTCAGGTAAGACTTTAGGTTTGGAGTTAGTTCATTAGCATTTTGGAGAATCAGAGAAGATATAGAGGTGCTTATGTTAGGAAAATAAATTGTTTTGGTTTGTGATTTGACTGAAAACCTGCTTCCATTATTCACATAACTTGCATTATAATAAAAAAATAGATGAACTGAGATCAGAATCTTTTGTTTGTCAGATGTTCCTTATGTTCTGAAGCTGGAGTCTCGCTGCCACACCCCCTGCTGGCCGGGACAGGCAGTGTACTTCATGGCCCCCAGTTTCCCAGACAAACAGCGCTGGGTGGCAGTGATGGAGTCTGTGGTGGCCAGTGGAAGAGCCTCCAGAGAGAAGGCAGAGGCTGACGCAGTGAGTATTTAATCATAATCATAATACAAACATTTACTGATGTACTGCCTGTAAATTAAAGCAAAAACAAATTACACTTACTAATTGTTCACTACAGAAATTTTCTCTTATATTTTTACAAGAAGTAGGACCATGACTATTGCTGGGTTTCAGATGACATCTCAACATTCTCTTGGCCAATCATATTTAAAGGTGCATTGTGCAGGTTTTCTTGTGGAGGGTTCATCAAATGCTTTTCTCCATGGAAATGTTATTGCTTTGTCAGAAATATTTCACAGTGTGACTTTTAACCTTTCTATCTTCATGGAGACCAAACCAGACCAAGTTACAGGTCAGATCTATGGAGAGGCAACCCCACTCAGAGTCAGAAAGACTGTTTTTCTAGGTATTTTTGAGCTACAGGACTGTCTGTAATGGAATAAATGTAAGGTAGAGCTGTTTGATGTCATACTGTGGAACATTTCAGGCAGAGCAATGACATATCCATAGAAACAAGCAGGTGGCAAACCCCCAATCAAAAAGTTACACAGTGCACCTTTAATAGATATTAGTCTCAGCTAAAATTACAAATGTTATTAGTTTTGTTGTTATATAGTAATGTCAAGGGTCAAGTTTGATCACCAGTAGAAATGATGAGGTTCAACATTTGCAAATTTTGATATTTCTAACGAAAATATTATTTAATGAATATGAAAAACTGAAGTATAACATTTAGAATCTGAAAACCACCAATATCGTTGAAGTTGAAGAGCAAAAAAACATATTTTTAAAGATGCATTGTGTAACTTTTCTGCTGGAGGGTCTGTCACCTGCTTGTTTCTATGAATTTGTCATTGCTCTGTCTGGAATTTTCCACAGTACAGTCCCTGACAAAAGTCTTGTCGCTTATCCATTTTGTAGAAACAAAAGCTTATAACCTGACTTTAAATTAATCGATTGGTTTTAGAAATGTCTCATATGAAAGCTAAAACCCTCCCAAATTATGCTCAATATACTAAAATAAATTTGCTTCACTGAAGAAAGATTGATCATTTAATGAACACAGAAAGGTCAGATTTTGACAAGACATAAGTCTTGTTGCCTTGTCATATGATGCACCCAATCCTAGATTACAGCCTCACCTGTGATCAGTTACTGATCAATCAGTTAGTGGGTGTGTATAAAAAGAATCCCAGCACACCAGACCTTCACATCAACTGCAACTTGACCTCTGACAACATGCCTAAGATCCACCCTGAGACCAAAGCATTAATTATCAAGAGACTGAAGACCAGATCCACTGCTGAGGTGGCTGACACCTTCAATGTGTCTCAGCGTCAAGTACAAAGAACAAGAAAAAGATCTGAAATGACTGGAGATGTTTTTGACAAGCCCAGGTCCGGCAGACCCCACAAGACAACTGCTCGGGAGGACCGTTCGTTGATTTAAAAATCCAAGGCCAGCCCCTTTTCCACTGCAGCAGAGCTCCACCAGGCCTGGTCACCTCAAGTCCCTGTGTCAACCAGAACAGTTTGTAGAATTCTGTCTCGAAATGGCCTCCATGGTCGAATCAGTGCACAGAAACCAGCACTAAACAAAAGGCAATTAAAAAACCGTGTGGCATTTGCCAAGGCCCACAGCCTGCTAAAAGGATGGACACTGGAAAAGTGGCAGAAGGTGGATTGCTCAGATGAATCCTCGGTTGAATTACATCACAGCCTCCGCAAATATTGCAGGAGACCTACTGGAGCCCGCATGGATCCAAGATTCACCCAGAAAACGGTTAAGTTTGGTGGCGGAAAAATCATGGTCTGGGGTTACATCCAGTATGGGGGTGTGCGAGACATTTGCAGGGTGGAAGGCAATATCAATAGCCTAAAATATCAAGATGTATTAGCTACCTCTTACATTCCCAACCATAAAAGGGGTCAAATTTTGCAGCAGGATGGTGCTCCATCGCATACTTCTATCTCTACATCAGAGTTTCTCAAGGCGAAGAAGATCAAGGTGCTCCAGGACTGGCCAGCCCAGTCACCAGACATGAACATCATTGAGCATGTCTGGGGTAGAATGAAAGAGGAAGCATGGAAGGCAAAACCAAAGAACCTTGATGAACTCTGGGAGGCATGTAAGACTGCTTTCTTTGCTATTCCTGATGACTTCAACAAATTGTATGAATCATTGTGGAACCGCATGGATGCAGTCCTTCAAGCTCATGGAAGTCATACAAGATATTAAATATAGATCTCACAGCACCAGTACTTAATTCACTGACATTATGCAACATATTTTTGTATTTGAAGTAAATTATTTGTTCAATTTTCTGTAGGCGACAAAACTTTTGTCTTGCCAAAATCTGACCTTTCTGTGTTCATTAAATGATCAATCTTTCTTCAGTGAAGCAAATTTATTTTAGTATATTGAGCATAATTTTGGAGGGTTTTAGCTTTCATATGAGACATTTCTAAAACCAATCGATTAATTTTTTAATTTAAAGACTTTTTTCAGGGACTGTATGACATGAAACAGAGGGGTTGCCTCTCCACAGATATGAACTTGTAACTTATAACTTGGTCTGGTCTGGTCTGAAACATTCCAGACAAAGTAATAACATCTCCATGGAGAAAAGCATTTGACGGACCCTCCCCCCAGAAAAGTTACCCAATGTACCTTTAAATATTCACGGTCAAGTCAAAACCATCCAAGTTCAATCAGATTATGCGTGCTACCTCTTTCATGTCATTAATTGTACTCTCTCTTCTCTCTCGCTGCTGTCTGTTGCTTTGCCATCCTACGCCATTGTTTGTCCATATATGGGCATGTTTTATTAATTTGCTCATTCGGATCACCTCATTGGGTCTCATTGAATTAACAGGCCACTGCTGTGTTCCAAAGACCACTGCCTCTGTCTCCTCTGGTCAAGGTAAAAAATAAACAAGATGTGGCTGCTCTCTCACTGCACATGCTCCATCTGTCTGCTGCATGCCACCTCACACATTTCTTTTGATTTAGGGTAGTTTAAATGTATTGTCAAAACATCTGTGTTCTATCCTGGTTTGTCACTGTTCACCAAATAGTTGTGACTTCGAATTCTGCATTGACACTGTTAGAACTGACAGTTTTGGTGTACTTTTCTTACCCCAAATGCCCCATAATCCCCTGCTGACGCTCGGACTCAAGTCATCTGCTCAAAATCAAAAGAACAAAATATAATGAAAACTGCTTCAATTATGATGTGTTGTAATTTATAGAAGAAGAAAGAAGAAAATGTCAAAATGACCCAACAAATGAAGATGCATTTTACATATTCATCTTGCCTTATTAAAGCTTGACTTGGTTCCAGCTCTGTCAGACCCTCCTGTCCCCCTTTGAGCTCTGGGATTACCTTCAAGTCACGACCCCACTCACCTTTCCCCTTTGACCTTTCTTTGTGACCTTTCATTTCCAGAAGCTCTTGGGGAACTCTCTACTGAAGCTGGAAGGAGACGACAGACTGGACATTAACTGCACCCTCCCTCTCACTGATCAGGTACGACGAAAGAAATATAGACGTCCGCCCACTTCATGCTCATTATTATTAATGTACGACATTATATTGTGTTAATAAAGGTTTGCAATATCTAACTTTTATTGCGGAAGGTCTGCCACCAGCTTGTTTCCAGAAATATGTTATTGCATTGGCTGGAATGTTCCACAGCATGGCATTAAACTTACCTATCATGCGTTTATTCCATTAATAGGTGTTTCATTGTTAAAATAAATCCCTTGAAAAACATGCTATTTCACTGTGACCCCCCTCTTCACAGATCTGACCTGTAACTTGGCCTGGTTGCTTCATCTGGCTGTCTCCATGGATATACATACATTTAATACATGTGGAACATTCCAGATAAAGCAATACATTTCCATGGAGACAAGCAGGCAGTAGTTACATGTGTTCAGCCATGAGATAGACCAATATACGGGGGCAATATTTTATTACCACTTGATGTCTGAATAAACGATACACCGGCAATTATTTCTTAAATGTCACATCACTCAATCCAAGCTGTTCTGACAAAAAAGGATATTTAAAAAAAATACATGCAGTGCTAGCTTGGAGAGCCAGCTCTAATATGTGGGTGCTATAAAAAATCATTTATTCACAATGCATTTATTTCAAACTAAAACAAGACATGAGCCTGTTTTGAATCTGTAAATATCTCAATGACGTGCGTGCTGTTTTGTCAGATTTCAGTCCTACTCATCATCTAACAGACATCTATGGGCTGCTCGGGGCTCACAGCCAGGACCTGCTCTCACCACATTGTGTTCAGCAGAATCATTTGTTCTTTCTTCTCTCCATTTTTGGGATGTTTTTTCAGATTGTCCTTGTGGGATCGGAAGAGGGACTGTACGCTCTCAACGTCATTAAGAACTCCCTGACCCACATTCCCGGCCTGGGCTCCGTCTTCCAGATCCATGTGGTCAAAGAGCTGGAGAAACTGCTCATGATTGTTGGTCAGATGTCATGTGCTTTTGTGCTTCTTTTAATGTTCATTGTTTTTATTTAATCTTTATTTTATTAAGCAGAACATTATTATGCTGAGATAGTTGGGCCAAAACAAAGATATAATAACTTTAACAAGAATAACTGTTTTCAAGATGTAGCCATACACTGCAAAAAAAACAATAGCTGCATCTAGCCATTGTTAAAATGAAATTGGATTTGAGTTACTTTGATTAGACTACATAGACATTTATGATTATTATTTAGCTTCAAATAAGAAAATGAGTTTCCAAATGCCCACTGGCAAATAAAGCTTGAAATGAGATGTATTGTAATTCTGATGAATCAAATACTAATCAAAACACCCCACAAGTTAATACATCTTTACTGTTAAAAACTACTGAAATGAATATTGATATCTGAAAGTGAGATTATCCGCCTTAGGCCCAGTTCAGACCTGGGGTATATCTGGTGGAACTTGGAAAACCAAATATTTTCTTATGTGATACTGTCTGTAACCACAGAGAATACACATGTGGTTGAGAATGAGGAGAGATACTCAGTTAATTGTCAGACTCCCCGCTTTGTGTAGGTCCCAAACATGGCTAAAATGTTGCATCAGTGTAAATAAAAATATCAATATGAAGTTAAAAATTTTCAACTTATATTTAAGAAAAACTCCAGTCCAAATCTGCTGTCTTTCTCATTTTTTTCTGTTAAAAATAGAAAGAAAAAAGTAAAAAAAAAAAAAAAACTAAACCATTTACAAGAACAGTGGTTGCAAAAATGCAACCAAAAATATAGTGCTATGTACTGTAAAATAATAATAAAACAATTCTTCATAAGAAATTGGGAAGTTACAAGAAATCTGTTCTAATTGGGGCGATATACCTGATCCACGTGTTACAAAGACAATAAAATTCGTTTCTTTGGATGTTTATTGTGTAAGTTAGCTTTTCCATCTTAAATATTTCAAATCTTATATGAATCCAGCCATCCAGTAAAGGCAGGATTGGCCATTTTATGTAATATTCTTAGCTTGTAATCACTTTTCCGGTCCAAGAAAATAACCCAACCTAAATACAGAATTTCAGAATCAAATGTTGTGTTCACTCCAAATTTAATCTTGTGTGGATTTCACTCCAATAGATTTTTAATTTGGAGCAAACCCAGAATATGTGGTAATGATTCCCTGCTTTGCAGATATTTCATGGTTGATTTTTATAATGCATCTTGAGCAATCCATAACTAAACAAATTGTGTTGTCTTTCAGGAGACGAGAGAGCCCTGTGTTTGGTGGAGATCAAACGTGTGAAGCAGTCCCTGTCTCAGTCGCACCTGCCCAGTCAGTCTGAGCTCAGCCCCTACATCTTTGAGACTGTCAAAGGCTGCCACCTGTTTGCTGCTGGGAGGGTAAGCCAGGATACTGTTGATACTGTGTATAAGTCTGTTGACGTTCAGTGGTTGAAGGTAACAGAGTACTGACTTAAGTCGAATCTTAAAGGTGCAGTGTGTAAATTTTCTGGTGGAGGGTCCATTACCTGCTTGTTTCTGTGGATGTGACATTGCTCTCCCTTACATTTATTCAGTTACAGTTTTTATTTTATAACTCTAAAATACCTAGAAAAACAGTGATTCTGACAATAAGCGGGGTAGCCTCTCCACAGATCTGACCTTTAACTTGGTTTGGTCTCCATGATGATAGAAAGGTTTAATACTATATTCACTAGCGAGGACCACGCCAACAACGACATAGTGCGAAGAAGTTTATTGATAATGTACGAAGTGAGGCAGAGATGGCTGGGTTGAGACTATGGGTGGGGGCTCCGTCTCAATCTACAATTGGCCCAGCCGGAACGGGACCCCGCTTATAGGGGTCTTATGACTGAAAGACAAAATAGGGGATGGGAGGGTGAGATCAAGTTAGCTGAGACAAACTGGGGTGATGGGAAAGGCTGCTACATATAGGCTTCTGGGAAATTAAAGGGGATGGTCGAGGTGAGTTGTGGTTCGCTGGTGAGAGGAGAGGGTGGCTGAGGCGTGGTCCTGCTCCTGAATCTCAGTTAATTGTATTAACTACATTTGTGAAACATTCCAGACCAGGCAATAATGTCTCCATGGAGAAAAGCATTTGACGCACCCTCCACCAGAAAAACTACATAAAGTTACACAATGCACCTTTAGTTACATTTTTCTGTGGATACTTTTCACTTTTACTTCACTACATTTGAGTGCAAGTATCTGTACTCTCTACTTCACTACATTTTTGTAACTAGACTGAAAAGTAAAAAGTACTTTTCAAATTATTGTAGGCGTTATTTTGCCGTGTTTGTCATGTTGACTTTCTTATTCCAACTTTGGCTTTGAGCGATACAAAATTCATAAGAAAAATGTATTCATTATTATTAATTGATTAGTTGCTATCATTTTTAATCAATATCACTACATTTTAACAAGTACTTTTACTTTTTACTCCTAAACTACTTTTTTAAACAGGTACTTTAATACTTTGACTTAAGTCGATTTTTTCATGTGATACTTTACCTTTGTATCGGTACTTTTAATTAAGTAACAAAATGGAGTACTTCATCCACTACTGTTGACTTTATAATGATTAGCTGTGTTGTTTGATTCACAGGTAGACAATGGGTCATGTATATGTGCCGCCATGCCCAACAAAATCACCATCCTGCGCTACAATGACAATCTCAACAAGTACTGCATCCGAAAGGTATTTACCATGGACTTTGTGAATTTGTAGGTTTTGTAGGTGTATTTTTTCATGTTTTTGTAAAGCATTCAAAAGTTCTGCATTTAATTTCCTGGTATTGGGTGATCCTTGTTGAATTTGAATAATTAAATTAACTTAATACAATTTCATTTCTAGCTACGCCATAATAAAGTTGAAAGATTTAATGAGGGTCTGAATCCACTGTACTAACATAATTGTACTAATTATAACAACACTTATAGTAATATTGTCAGCTAGTTGAGTTGCTAAAAACAATTATATGAAAGCCTTGGTAAATTAGTGTCAAAACAGATTGGACAGTGTTTGTTATGTCCTTTCATTTAAAGGCCCTGTGAGTTTTAAGTCATGTTAGAATGTTATTACCTCATCAAAATATACCCACAGAGTTGTGTTTTTCAATCACACATATTTTAGTAATCCTGCATTATTAGTCTGTCTACAACTCCAAAGCTCAAAATGGTCTGTTCCACCTTGTGATGTCATGGTGTGGTCATATTCAAATTAACAGCTACCTTTTACCTTCTTTTTAGTAGAGGTTGGCAATTTCAGAAATGACTCAAATTGTTCTAGTGAAAGTGTGTGGAAAAAAGAAGTGGAGTACTTCCTGTATTACCACATGACATCACAATGTGGAACAGATTGTTTTCCGTTTGAGAGAAGAACTTTTTGGTGAGGAAACAACATTATAACATAGATCTGACCTTAAGTTAACATGGGCCCTTTAAAAAATATGTATATATGTAATATGATATTAGTATAATATTTTGGCAGAAAATTTCAGTCCATACAATGTACTGATAGTTTCTGAAATGGCATTTTGACATTGACTTGATCTGATAGCAGTGTTCTATCTTTTCAGTCCTGTCTTTTGAGGAGTCTATAGTAAGAAACTCTTTGAAACCACACAGATTTAAAAAGCTGACCTTAAACTTGTGCCTTTCAGACAGCATCTCAGTATTGATTTTTCTGTCTCAAAGAGTCAACTGATTCTTATAACTCACTCTAAATGTTAAACTATCTTCTTCAAATCCCTTCTAACCTCACACGCTGCAGTTATGTAACAAAAAAATCATTGTACAAAATAACCTTTTCTGTCGCCAGTTTAAAATATGTATGTTTTCTGATAGACCATTTCGGACAGTCTGTTTCACGTACAGAATGAGTGCTATGATGTACTCTACTTTTTGTAAGTGATTTCCAAACTTTTTTTTTTCCTTTCAGTGATTCATATTTTAGCAGTTTAGCTGTATAGTTCTTGTAGTCTCCTAACCCTACGTTTGGACCTCTTTTATGAAGTCATTTGAAACCCACTATGAAACTAGCTTCCCTCTATTATTGTTTGTTACAGTGAAATTCTGCCTTTTGGCATCAGGTTTGTCCTCACAATTATAAATATACAGACACAGTAGTATAATAATGTGATTGTATGATGTACAGTATAAATTTGTGATAAAAGCATCAGCTCAACTTCAAGAGTCCTGATTAGACCTCAGCTCTCAGCATAGCATACTGATGTTGTGTTGTTGGGCAAGACATTTCTGTCATGGTTAAGGACATGGCTTAGCACTATCAGATGTAATGCATTTTGAAAATCTTATATATAAAGTTATAATAGTGTTCCCTCTTTATTATCTTACTGTTACTTATTTTTATATTGTTGTTTATCTGAGGCTGGAGTGCTCAGAAAATTCCTGTATTCACCTATCCCTTACCCTCGCCAACTGCTCTATATTATAACAAAGAGAGGGTTCAGAATCTCATGGCTTTTTTTTACAAGCCTAAGCCTGAAGATTAGATCAATATCACAGTTTACAATGGACAAAATGTAAAATTGTATTCTATTTCTGTTATAGTTTATTAAATACATGAAAAACATGATAGGTGTTCTATGAAGTGGGACCAAAGCCATAAATAAATAAATAAATAAACTTCACCCACAACATTTAAATAAAGCTGCTAAACTGGGCAGTAGTGGGAGGACTAAACACTAGAGTGAAAGATTAGGGTCAGGGGTCAGGGGTCAGGGGATAGAAGAAACAGTATGATTGGTTGAACAGGTATACACACTTCAAGCTCCTCCCCTGCAGCCTGGTGTTTGCAAAGCCAGAAACACCTGGCAGTCTTCTGTGATGTTACCAACTACTGCAACTGCATATTAACACCATATACACAGTTTAGCAGTGAAAAAAGTGGATTTAGTGTTTAGTTCCATTTTAAGTTCCTTATTTCTCAGTCCTCTCTGTGTGTATCATTGCTCACAGGAAATCGAGACACTGGAGCCGTGCAGCTGCATCCATCTGACGTCCTACAGCATCATCATCGGCACCAACAAGTTTTACGAGATCGAGATGAAGCAGTTTGTTCTGGAGGGTGAGACCAGCACACTCCATAAAACATCCAGGCCCAAAACACCAACGAAACATGGGGTCATTCTCAAACAATGTTCTCTCAAATCTGCACCGTTTACAGTCTAGTTTTCAAAGTGGAGCACCATTTTAGAGACAACTTGCAGAGAAATATAGTGGACTGATTATAGCTAGTTCCCCAGAGACTATATATTTTGTACATTTGTTACATAAGTCAAACATTAGAAGGACTGAAACCAGCAATATTCAGAAACATTTGCTTTGCCAGTAAGTTTACACCAACTTCAAGCATGAACTTAGCGTTAATGTATTCAGACTAAACCTGAAAAACAAGAGTGGGCGAAATAAAGTTTTCAAAGCCAATTCTGTCTCAGAGATAAACATGTCTAGACTGTATTTTCTCACAACCAATGCTGAGTTAGCAGAAGAAAACTGACTTATGGGTCTATGGATGGCATTAATATTTACTACATAGGCTACTGCAAGCACACTCTCTTACTTACCACTAGGGGGGCCTCTGTACGTGGTGTTGCCTGTTTAATTCCCCTTTTGCTGCTGTTTTGTAAAATGTTTAAATGATTAAATTATTTGATTTCAGACATAGTGTTTATCCCAGTGTCGTGTGCTCATTTCAGACTTCTTGGACAAGAACGATGTGTCTCTAGCCTCGGCGGTGTTCGCTGCCTCCACTCACAGCTTCCCCATCTCCATCCTGCAGGTGGCCAGCAGCCTGCAGAAGGAGGAGTACCTGCTCTGCTTTCATGGTCCGTCACCGTGACAACACATCTTAGCTTTGGCTTTGTGAATGAAACCTTAAGCATTGACATTTTTGCCATTCATTCAAGTAGCTTCTTCAGTTCTGATGCAGCTTTGATAGGTCCTATTTAACATTTTTTGACGCTAACTATTCAGAGGTGCACTGTGTAACTTTTCTGGTGGAGGGTTTGCCAAATACTTCCAAGGAGAGGTTACTGGTTTTGTCTGAAATGTTTTACAGTATGGTACTAAACCTTTCTTCTTTGTAGAGAGCAAACCAGATTAGTTACAGGTCAGATCTGTGGAGAGGTTACTCCACTCACAATCAGAATGCCTGATTTTCAAGTCATCTGTAATTGAATAAATGTAAGGTAGAGCTGTTTAATGTCATACTGTTGAACATTCCAGGCAGAGCACTTCCATATCCATAGAAACAAGCAGTTGACAGACCCTCAACCAAAAAGTTACATAATGCACCTTTAAGAATCAATAATGGCTTACAAAAAGTGTGCTTAGTTTAGTAACGCTCAATTGGAAATAAAGTGACTTATGAATAAAAATGAGTGTCTTGTTTGTATTTGCAGAGTTTGGTTTGTTTGTGGACTCTTACGGTCGCAGAAGCCGCACTGAGGAGATCAAATGGAGCCGAGTGCCACTGTCATTCGGTAAATAAAAAAATCTGTTTGCTATTTACTGTAGATTGTACAATGAGATGATGTCCTTTTCCCAAATAGAATACAGATACAGCCAAAACCAAAGTCCATAGCATACTGCTGATTGGCAATAGTCATTACTGCCTCGCTCTGTAGACCATAATGTAAACTCAAACTAAAACTACTGTGTTGCAGCCTACAGAGAGCCGTATCTGTTTGTGACGTACTTCAACTCTTTGGATGTGATCGAGGTCCAGGGACACTCCAGTCTTGGGTAAGAGTATTAGAAATGAGGCAGGACCTTCATTTTTCTGAATGAATAAAATAATCATATTAAACTGCACACTGGCCCATCCCCATTCAAAACATGTTCTTTGTAGCTGTGAAACGTTCACACTTTCACATAGACATACTAGTCCTTCTCAAATAATTAGAATATCATGAAAAAGTTCAATAGTTTTTGTCACTCATTTCAGGAAGTCAAACTCATATATTATATAGACTCATGATACATAGAGTGAAATATTTTTTATGATTATGGCTTACAGATACTGGAAAACCAAAAATTAAACATAAATTATAGTCCTTTATAAGATCAATTTAAAAAGTGATATTTTAAACAGAAATGTCAGGTTTCTGAAAAGTATGTTCAATTTTATGCACTCAGTATTTGGTTATAATAATATTCTATCACATTCTGAATGGACTTGTAGGCTAGATGTATTTTTCAGATCAAATTCATTAAATATTGTCTGATAAAACAGAAACTTGAAATACAAATTACAAATATCAGTAAATCCTAAATAACAATAAAGCTGTTGTTTCGTTCAGTCCCACAGTGCTGGCTCACCTGGACATCCCAAACCCGCGCTACCTGGGCCCTGCCATCTCCTCTGGGGCCATCTACCTGGCCTCTTCGTACCAGAACAAGCTGAGGGTGATCTGCTGTAAGGGCAGCCTGGTGCGGGAGAGCGGGGAGCTGCAGCGGACCGGCTCCAGCAGAGGGTCAGGAATACTTATGCATATTCTCTATTTGAATGAAGTTGGTATCAAAAATATTTAGCTATCATCAGATTTTTGAGGGGAAAAAAATCTGATGATAATAATAATTTCAGTTCATATCCAGAAGCATTAAACTTTGAGAGATTACTCAAATATAAATTGCTATAGTATAAGTAATAAATGAGGCATCACATCCCTTTGAAAATCCCTTTGCAAAACCCAGTGGAGATAGCCTATTTTGTTCTCTACAGAAGACTTTTACATAACAGATTTTCATTCAACCCCAGTACATTGAATTTCATGTCTGTCATTCTTGTCAGTCGTCAAACTCACAGCAAAATATATCTAAAGTCTCCCACTGTTTCTCTGCAGGAGTCCCAGTAAGCGAGGGCCTCCCACATACACGGAGCACATCACCAAACGCCTTTCCTCCGGTCCGGGGAGCCACGAGGGGCTGCACCGCGAGCCCAGCACCCCTCACCGCTACAGGGAGGGACGCACCGAGTTCAGGCGGGACAAGTCTCCAGCACGGCCCTTGGAGAGGGAGAAGAGCCCAGGCAGGGTGCTGGACAGCCGCAGAGAGAGGTCCCCAGGGCGCTTTGGGGAGAGCACCAGACTGCACGCTGGATCAGTGCGCACACAACTGGCCCCGGTCAACAAGGTGAGTGGCAACATGGTGATGACGGAGATTTTACTTAGGATTTTAGATTCCACAAACCTGACCGGCAAGATGAATTCTCAGAACATTTATGAGCTCACAAACATCCAGAGAATCCTGTTGAGATTGCCTGGGCCACCAGTGGTTCAGTCCAATCGCAGGAAGCTTTGTGGTTTGGGCAGAAGCCCAAATCAACCAGAACTGAAATGGCAACACGGATGAATGGACTTCAGCCCATTTTAGCATTTTTTTTTTCTTTTTTTAATGTGCAGATTGAAGCGCTTTGTACATTTGTGGACAGGAAAGATGTCTGTGCTTGGTTTAAAAATCAAAAGATTACATTTCTGCAATTAAATTCTTCCTCATGACGCCTCTGCAGATCACTTTCAGCGAGAGCCACTCCAGATTGATGTATAGAATTCACTTTAGAGTGCTGCACGTCAGTCTGGTGTGAAACAGGTTAATATGCCACAGCATTTGAAGAATGTTTATAACCTTAAAATAAAAGTAAAATCACAAAAATCTTGACATAGAAATTGTACTTTGTTAAACCAGACTGGCTCCACCTAGTGCCTCCGTGACTAGGTCAGGAATTGAAATACACTAGACGGTTTGCCAAAACCCCGGAAGTGCGAGTTCGAGTACCAGCCAGTCAGCGAAGAGCCATACATTCTGTGTTGGCTACAATTCCCGAGATCGATGATTTAAAACCGGAAAAAAGAGAATGTAAAGAGAATAATAAAGATAATTTTATCAAGGGGAAAAACGTTATTGTCCCTCTTCCTTGGGATTTGGGAAAAGCTTAATATACCACTTAGCCCCTTTAGAGGCGTATTACATATGACACGACCAAATAGCAGTGATTGGTTAAATGAAAAAAGTACCCGTCTACTGTCAAGTGAACTAATTCTAACACTGAGAGGTCAGCCACATTCTAAGAAGTGAAACCGGCCGATGAATCAGGCTAGCACATTGTGCCATCCCTCTGCCAATGCCCAGAGATGTTCTTGAGGGTGGATTATATTTTCATCAAGATGGAGGAACGTTATACCAAAGTTAAACCATTTTCTTATTGTTAGCCACAAATGAACAAGGAGATTCCCTTTTTAGTGTCAATGATAAGAATCGGGAGCTTATCGTAAGGGCAATTGTTAGGACAAACAAACATTATGTAAAACTGGTCAACATTAGATTTTAAGATAATTCACTTATTCATTGTTTGTTTGGTTTTTGTCTTACAGGTGTGGGACCAGTCTTCAGTTTGAGCCAGCTCACACAGCGCCTCCTGGTGGTGGGGAATAGAAGCACACTGTTGTTCACTGACTGTCCTCATGGCCTGTACATAGCCTTAGCTCTCATAAAACTAGCCCATTCCAAGTGCACAGAGACGCCTCCTCCGACAATCCACGTGATACTTCTCTGGGTCGTCCCAAAGGAAACCGGTCACAGGGAAATCATGCTCTCCAGGTTAACAGATCTTTATTATATATATTGTACATACGCATATTGAAGTGAGAGTTTTTTAGACAAAGGGAAAAGTCGGCCGGGAAAGCCATGTATATTTTTTTTAACAAATTTCTAAAGATGTTGCTGGGAGATTCGTGTTGCTGGTAATTGAGTATTCAGATTAGTTAGATGATATATATAGAGTAAGATGCGGCATTTTGCACAAAGAGATTGGATTTGAACAGAGCCAGTCTTGTCTTTGGATCAGATGTTCGGTCCTCTCCACTGAAAAGCCTTTGATATAAACCTGCTATATCGCTTTATATTAACACAGGGTTCCTGCATACGCTTATCTCAAAACAAATATTTGAAGTACGCATTTTCAACTTGAGGGAATAATTAAAATGTTACTTACTCTAAATTGAGTCATATTGCTTTATCACAATATGAATGAGACAATGGCCCTCTTAGTTTATCATGTGGAGTAATAAGTACTAAACTTGAAATTCCGTTAATAAACTAGATTTAAAATGTTTTTGGCAATTACTACCCCAAATGTGCAATAGTAGTAGTTGTAGTAGTAGTACTAGTAGTAGTAGTAACATAACTGAACCACAACTACAACTTGAGACACAAACCAGCTTGTTCCAGATTTAAATTTATATAGTAAAGGTGCAAACTTTTTTGGTTGAGGGTCCTTCAACTGCTTGTTTCTATGGATATGTCATTGCTCTGCCTGGAATGTTCCACAGTACGACATTAAACAGTTTGTGTATTTATTCAATTACAGGTAGCTTTATTGCTCAAAAATACCTAGAAAAACAGGAATTCTGACACAGATCTGACCTGTAACTTGGTCTGGTTTGGTCTCTGTGAAGCTAGACAACATTTTAAACAAAGCAATAATATCTCGATGAAGAAAAGCAGATGACGGACTCCCAACCAAAAAAGTTACACAATGCACCTTTAAAGATCACATATTGTCCTTGAGCCAACTATATAATTAAAACGTACGACACCAGTGGGTCATTATGTTATTATTGACACATTTAAAATTTCAATATTCATCTAAAATGACTTAATTGAAGAAATAATCCACAGACTGCTGCTTTAGAAAGACGTGGTGCCCAATGGGAGCTGACATGGCTGTAAACATCATCACGAACAGAGTCGATGTTACGGATTTTTTAGGACCAATGTGTAAATGGCTCATATCGCGCACGCCACAGAAAGCCTCCCTCTGTAGAGAGATGCACAGGCATCTGCGCAGACACCTGTCCCAGGTCCTCTGGAGCGATGTCTAAATAACATGTAATCGTTCTTATGTGGCTTCTTTTGCATCCTGTCTGAAGTGGAGATGTGGATTTACATACTTGTACACACTAAAGGAAAGCAGTGAGAGGTTTGTCTGTCTGTGACACACGGACAGTTTCTTCGAGTCAGTGCCTCATTGATACAGCTGGAATGATTTAATAAAATGATACGCACTCAAAAGAAACACAGATACAGTGTTTAAACAAAATATTAGGTTTATTAAAGCTGAGTCCTTGCAAGGCACGCCCACATCGCCCCATGATGACATATCGCCACCAACAGATCTGTAACACCAGCAACTCCTCATATCACATTAGCAAGCAGCGGATTTATTTTATTTTTTTTCATTTATACCAAAATGACTATACCATCACTGATTGAGAAAATAAAATTGTACAGAGCAGTGGGCGTGTACCTGTGGCGGTGAACACAGGGTATGATCGGCAGTAGGCATTTAGAAAATAAATTTAAATTAGATTAAACATGCATGAATTGTCTCCAAATACAACTTTGAAAGAGTAAATGAGAAGAGGGGATACAGCTGTAGCATGATTAAAAGAAAAATCGATTTTGCATAATAGGTGTCCTTTAATATACTTCTATTGACTGCCCTTTGAGCCGCTTGCAGGAACCCTGTGGCACTCCTTGTCTAGCCATAACTTTGTAAAAAAAAGCAATGTTTTAAGCAATGTTTCTGCTCCAAGTGTTCCTTGTGTTGTTCGGGCAAACCCAAGAGCGGTTGCAGATCTGCGTGCTGGACGTTCCTAGTGCGTGGGGCTGGAGCTGCTCTGTCTCTCTTTCTGCTGCTGCTGATGGTGCTGATGGTGCTGATGGTGCGTACGTGTCCCGTCCGTGTGCAGTGAAATACCTGTATGTGAAATACCTGTGTGTGGTCTCCTCTTTGGGCCGTCCCACCGTGAGCATGACCAATGTAGAGCAGCACTTCTCAGCCCACCTCCTTTACTCTTGGTTGTTCTGTTGTATTATTCACTTGGATTTGCATTTACAATTACTAAGCATCGATGTTGAGTAATTTAAAAATATTCTTGATTTTTAGACCTGTATCTCAGTACATGCATTAAACTATTAAAATGACCCAGTGTCCGTGTTGTGCTTGAGATGATTGTGGCCAGCAGTTTTTTAGGTAATGGCCAATTAGTGATGCCAAACTATTTTGTAACATTTGGATATGTTTTTATTATTGAGTTGATATGCTGCCTGCTTGCCTGAAATGTTCCACAGTATGGCATTAATTGTTATGTATATAGCATTTCTGTAACTACAGATTTGTTTTTCTGTTTTTTTGTAGTTCTTTTTGCATGCTTAATGCATCTCACAATGGGCAGTCCACCTTTCCACAGATCTGTCACCAGTAACTTGAATCACTTACTCGTCTCCATGGAGATAAATTCTCTAATGCCATAAGGTGGGACATCCTAGGTGAGGGGTCTCCAACCTGTAGCTCAGGAGCTACCAGCAGCTCCCAACCAGTTTCAGGGTAGCAAGTAGTAGAATAACTCAAATTTGATGAATTAAATGCCTGTTATTATTGTAAATCTATCATTTTGATGCCTGACTTTGTGCACTCATAAATAAATAACGGTTTATGTTCTATGTTTTATCTAACTGTACCCCATTTTAGTCTTGCAATGGCTCTTATGTATACTTTATTTTTTGCGACCGCTAAAATTAGTAGCTCTATGGAATTTTTGTTTTGTAATGGTAGCTCACCAGAGGAAAAAGGCTGGAGACCTCTGTCCTGGGTAAAGCGATAAAATCTCTATGTCGGGGGTGGGCAAACTTTTTGATTCGTGGGCCACAAAGGGTTCTAAAATTTGATGGAAGGGCCGGACCAGGAGCAGATGGATGGAGTTTTTTGGTAATCCACCCCATTTAAAAAAATTACATGGGATATGTAGAAAACATCTCACTTTATTGAAATATCCCATAATTGAAAATCATTAAAGCATTACATATACAAAATATCTGTCTTTCAGGTCCCACAGTATTTACTATTTTTTTAAAAGGCTTTTAGAAGATCATCATCATCATTATTAATTATTCAAGTTTGGCAGGCCAGATTAAAAAGATTCAAAGGCTGCAGTTTGTCCACCCCGCTCTATGGAGACGACTGTAAATTGTAGTTTTCTTCCTCAACACCCTCTTGTGGCCATATGAAGTACTGCAGGTGGGAAACTAAAACAATAATTAGCATTTTCAGACGAGGTAATACTAGATAGATACGTTTTTATATCCCGCCCCCATTAATATAAGAGAAGACAGTACACTTTCACAAGTTCATCTATTTTATTTCTCCTTTAAATCTACAACAATGTAATGTTCTTTAAAGTAAATCCAACAAAACAAAATATTCAGACCGAACAAGGAGCACTTGTTACAGGAGTCGCTATGTACAGCTACACACTCCTCTGCGGATACGAGGAGGTGGAAAGTGCTTGACTCAAAACAGAAGGAAAACCAAAAGGGAGAAAGACGATTTGGAGGAATTTAAACCAACCACAATAAGCACGAGTTATCCCTTAAAGAGAGAGAGAGAGAGATACTCGTAAAGAAAACAGCATGGCACCAGCCTCCAAAACGCGCCAGTTCAAATGCTTCCGGAATTTCGCGCGTGATTCAAAGCGCGTGTGATACTGGGCCATGAATGCAGGGACGCGTCAGGAAGTGTGGGAAAAAAGAAATGAAAAATTAAAAAAAAATTAAATAAAAACAAAAGAGCTGAATTTGGAGGAAAATAACACAAGAGAATGGTTCATTTGTGGTCTTTAGCTAAAACAACAGCGCCCTCTGCTGAAACAATACATAAACAGCACCAAACGTAATTGAAACATAATGAGATGAATGTAATCAGTGGCAGTGTCTTCTCGTGCAAAATGATAGTTCACATTATGGATTTTTGATAGGAAAAGTGAGTGTGGATTGGAAAAGTGTTTAAAAATAAATTGTTTGAATGAATGGTTCTTCAAAAATTAAACTTATCAAAAATGAAAGAACATTTTGAAAGAATCATGTTAGGACAGTTTTACGCTTGGCTTTGGTTTTTGTGGCATCAGTCATCTTTCAAGAACTAATAGAAAAATAAAATCAAAACACTACTCAATCATTTATCCAGCTAGAATTTGAAGGTTCATTAAAATGGATGAGTAATGACAAAATATAATAGCAATTTTATTGTACTGAGGTTTTATTTTTGTTTTGTTTAAGCCACAAAATCACTCTGAGCCATGCACAAAATGTAGTCCAATCTATGTAAGATTATCAATTTGCTATTGCATCTGGAAAATTTATTTCATAATTTGTTGTTGATATGTATCCAAATCAATAGAGTACATATATTATTATTACACGTTTGTATTGTCTTCATAGTTTGACCAAAATAGTTAGTGTAAACCATAATATGTATTTATATAGTTTAATACTATTCATCAACAACGCAATTTTAAAATTCATCCATAATCTTGATGTTTTTGTGGTTCCTAAATATACCCCACTGCAAAAATTCTTACATTTGCGATTGTGACATAACATTAAGTATATAGGTGATGACAACATGTATTGCTATGATCATTTGCAGACAGAGGTAGAGTTTGGAGTGCATCTGAATGGGCTTGTTATGACTGTGATCATTAGTGACGCTTGTGTGATGCTTCTGTCAGTGCATAGCTTATCCACTTTCTCTCATTTTAACTAAACTTTAGCGTCACTGGGCGCTGTCATTTGGACCCAGCAGTGTAACTTTTAATTATTTTCCTCTTCGTAAACACTGATTATCTTGTGGCAATGAATTGTCTGAATTTTTTTTCTTTCAAAACAGCAATTCAAAAATGAAAACTTCAATAAATAAAATCATCAAAGTAAGGATCGCATTTCAAAGGGACAAACCACTGCAGCATCAAAACAGGAAACACCCTGCGTCTCTATTAAAAAACAAAAACATCTGTCATTTTCAACAGGTCGCAAAATATATATAGTATTTTCTGCAATAACAACTTAAGAAAACAGAAATAAAAAAAAAACAAAAAACTTTTTGGTGACTAATTTAGTGAGCCACTATTCAAGGATTCTATACACTTTCTTAAATGCTATATAGGTATCTGAATATATTATTTTATTCATTTATTTTACAAAAAAAGAGAGAGAGCTAGGGGTGTGCAAGGAGGTCGATGAACGGACATCAGCGGCAGAGGTGCTGGAAGTGAATCATGGTATTTTTTCGAAACATTTACAGACTTTTGCGGAAAAAATAAGCCAAGAGAAAAGCCCTTTCTGCAGCCGCCGCCCTGCTCTACGATTCAGTCAATCAGAGAGATTACAAGTGAGGCCACAAATCACCAGACTTCAGGTTTAATTAAATGCAAAGACAATTTTAAGACGGCGATCTCTTAATAAGCAAATTCTGCAGTGATTCAATATGATTAAAACTATAATTTGGAAAATGATGTCACTTCTCGAGAATTATTGTTTGTCATCTATTTTATTTAGAGATACTATTCTTATGTTAGTGTAAACTGCTACGACTTAGTTGAAAAAATATCTGTGGACCTAACTGTGATTGAACTGTGATGGACTGAAACGCGAACATTGTTTAGCTCCCAGTGCCTGCTGGGTAAATCCAAAAGGGTAGGATTGAATGACGGGGGAAACAAGAGGATGAGCCAAGAGACTTCAATGCGTCATGTGACCACTGACTCTCAGCAGGTCTCAAAAGACTTTTTTGCTGATTTTTTTAAATCTCAAGTTTATGAATCAGTTCACCCAAATGTTAAAAAAAAAAGTTTAAAAAAATAAAAATCTAATATTAACATAATCATTTAGAAGATCTTCATACTTTTTTGGCCAGAGAACGTTCAAGTCAAAACATCAAAACTATTTTGTATAATTAAATTAATATATGCTTGGAAATATACTTCATCATGTGGTTATATTAATGTGATCTTTCTGATAACTTAATTTAACAACATACACCATGGACCAAAAGCCAACAGCACTATCTGGATGGACAATGTCACAGGTTCTATTACTGACCCAAACTTCTTTTTTAAATATAGTGCTACTTTTTATAGTGCTGATTAAAGTCTACTGTGCTTTTCTCATTTGGGTGAACTGACCAATGGGCTTCTTCCTCTGTGTCAATCTGGCTGCTGATTGGTCGATTGTGTTTTTTTTGGATTGTTCAGAGATGAAATGTCTCAGTACTACAACAGCAGCACAGTGTTCGACCTCCTCCCGCTCCAAGGCACCGTCCCGCCACTGTCCAGCGCTCCGAAATATAAGCCTCTATTTACACATTCAAGTTTTATTTTCGCAGCACACATTTTTTTTTTTTTTTTTTCGAGTTCATGGGACATTCTAGGTTTCTCGGGGAGTCCTCAGTTGGAGCTGGCCGCGATGGGCGTGTCCAGGTCCAGTTCTCGAGAGGCGGGGCCTAGCTGCAAGTTGCCGTAGCAGGTTTTGCAGACGCGGGTGGGCTCAAAAAGCTGCTGACTTGGCACCGGGATCTTCTGGTCGCAGCAGCTGGCACAGAACACGTTACCACAGTTCCTGAAAGAGATGAGAGCTGTCTGGGTTTGTCTGTTTATTTATTTGGACCCTCTTTAACTAGATCCAAGGGCCAGCTAGCAGACTTAGGGTCCATTTACACACAGTGAACATTCACACACTATTATATGAGTCTAGATGCAATTGATTCCACACTAGGTTAACTTAAAGGTGCACTATGTGACTTTTTGGTTGGGGGTCCATTACCTGCTTGTTTTTATGGATATGACATTGCTCTGCCTGGAATGTTCCACAGTATGACATTAAACAGCTCTACTTTACAATTATCCTATTACTGGTGGTTTTATAGCTCAAAAATATCTAGAAAAGCAGGTATTCTGACAGTAAGCCTCTCCACAGATCTGACTTGTAACTTTGTCTGTTTCCCTGGTTATATGATTGCTCTGCCTGGAATGTTCCACAGTATGACATTGAACCTGTCTATCTAGCATTTTTTAAATTACCATGTGCTTTTATTTCTCAAAACTGCCTTGATGCACATGTATTCTTACTAGATCCAAGTCACCCCTAGCCAAGCTAGTGCCGTTGCTCAATTTAATTTCTCTCCAGCGACTAGGTCAGGAATCAGAATACACTAGATGGTTTGCAAGAACCCCGGAAGTGCAAGTACATTCTGTGTTGGAAACGATTCTCGAGATAGAGGATTTAAAGCTGGAACAAAGAGAATGTTTGGTGAATTTTATCAAGGGGAAAGACGTTATTGTCCTTCTTCCTACGGGATTTGGGAAAAGCTTAATATACCAGTTAGTCCCGTTAGCGGTGCATTACATACATCGCAACTAAAAGGCAGTGATTGGTTAAATAAAAAAAGTATCTATCTACCGTCGAGCGAACGGATCCTAATGCTGCAAGGTCAAATGGTTTCCACAAAGTAAAAGTGGCTGAAGAATCAGGCTAAGTGACCATGTCCTAGTGGAGTCACCTTGTCTCCATGAAGATGGAGAAGTTTAACACCATACTTCATTCCAAGCAAAGCAATAACTCCGCAAGACCCTCCATCAAAGTTTTAAAGTGCAGCTTTAAACATTGAGACTAGCAGTTTTCTGAATTACTAAATGTCAATCTTCACTATACAGGACTATCATAATTAAATACAAAGAAATAATTAGAACCTTGTATCCTACAGCATTTTTCATTCACTTATTACAGTAAACAGCCCACTACTTTCTGCTTGATGGGTGCACTACAAACAGCAAAATGCTGACAGGAATAGGACAAAAGTTAATATATATTTTTTTATCACACGTATTATTTCAATACATTTTCAGAAGTAAGAAATATTCATTAATTTGGGAGTCAGTCCACTAAAATACAATAAAATGGAAACTTCAACCCATTTACATTTACAAATATGTCCTCATGCTGCTGTGTTAAGGCCATGCTCTGTGCTGGTTTAATGCAGCCAAAAAAACACAAACACCAACAAACTGTGAGGGCCATGCTGCTACTGCTACTGCTACTGCTGCTGCTGCTGCTGCTGCTGCTGCTGCTGCTGCTGCTGGGATGGGAGACAGGGGGCGCTGTGAGGCTGCATGCTGCTCCGGCACTCCTGGGATTAACAGGATCCAACACTGTCTTCACCAAACAACATTCAAATTATATGTATGTCTCTCTGATTCCCACATAAAACTACACAACTCTGTACTTGAAAGGAAGGAAAGGTCTCAAGAATGACCACTTTCTGTATGCTCAAAAGTGATTTACATTACTACTGCCACTTAGCACAGTCTCAGAAACCACAATCGCATACTCACACATTTATACCTTTTGGTTTATGGGCACTAACCACTTGGTCACCGCTAGTAAGACTAATAAAGCTCCCATCCCAGCCAAGAGAATAGCATGGCATATCAAATCAATCACTCTAAATTACTTCATAAAACTTCTAATTACCTACAAAAGATCCAAACTTACTTTTATTATAGACCAAACACCAATTTGTTAGCTAGTCAGCGCATACTTCGTAATTGCATTTCAATTTATTATATGCGGTTGCATTGTTAATACCAGGAGTCAACAGGGCTGTAGTGAAACAGATGAGAAGTGTGTGAGCTGAATTTGGGTAAAGCTACTATTTTCACTCAGTCAAATTTCTCCAGTCAACAAAGCGCATGATCATAGCCAGTTCAAACTATTTGAAAACACAACTACAGAGAGATAAAAGTGAGTCAAAGCAGATTGGAGGGGCTGGGACGACAGAGGCACACTGGGTTAGGAGGGCGGGGCAGGAGCCAAATCTCACCAGACCTCCTGGACACGCTCTCTGTCGCTGTGGAGGAGAGGGGCACACAGCAGGTCACAGCTAACTTCAAATAAACAGCTAAAGACTACAGTAACAACACAGGACGAACACAGATTGGACAAAAATGTTTGGGTAGTAATTCATGTCAGAAGTCATGTTCTTCTGAGTGTATTTACATGGAGTCCCTGTTATGACGGACTGTGTGATGAATGTACCTGCAGTGATGTTTCCTGGTGGCGAGCCAGAACCTGCTCTCACAGCCGTAACACTGCGCCGCTAAATGGTCTGGGTACCAGCGAGTCACCTACAGCACAGAGCCAAGGGTTAAGCCTGCTGTGTCTGTGAGTTTAAACAGTGGACAGACAGTAGGGGGCGCTCACCTCAGCATCCTGCTTATCTACCTGCTCCCAGCTGGCCTCAGAGAAGAGCTCCGTGCTGCAGCGGGACAGACAGTTGGGGTCCAGGTTGAACTCGGAATCTGTCATCGAGGTCTGTCAAGAAGTAATATATTCTTAGCACCACAGACACACATACACAGTATCAGCGCAGAGGACAGTAGCCTCAAGCGACTCTTACCAGCTCATCCCCCAGGTCCCCGTTGGTCCGGTGCAGGCCCAGGTGCTGCTGGTTTTCCAGTCGGGACCACAGCTCCTGGACCTGTTTCTTAAGGGTCTCCACCTCCAGCTGGTGTCCGGCCTCGATCTGCCTGAGCCGCTGCTGGATGGCATCTGTGTGCAGTGTGAGGCCATCGTCGTCCAGGTGGCTCCGAGATGGCTGCTCGGGGCTGGTAGGTGCGCGTGCTGCCCCCGTGTGGTAGCACCGGTGCGGGACACCCCGCGCAGTGAGGGTCAGGGAGCTGCAGCTGGCCACAGACACCTGTCGGCTCAGAGGGGCACGCTCGCCTTTGCCCCAGTGGGATGCTGCACACACATCTCCTTCTGAGCTCTCCCCGTTACAGACACCGTTACGGGGATCGCCGCTCACACACTGGAAGGCACTGACAGAGGGGCGCTTAGCCCCCCCGTTTAAAGTCCTGAAGCCATGCTCCGCCTCCTGCTCCGTCCTGGGGCCGGACACTCGGGCAGTGCAGAGTGGCTCCAGACGGCTGTTTGCCTCCTCTGTCAAAGTCTCTGTGGAGCTCTCCATCAGAGAGGCCCTCTTGTCTAGCTCCACAGCGCCCCCTGTATCAGAGCTTTGGCAGTGCTCCTCCTCAGATGTCCCATTACTAAAGCCATTCTCTACAGTCTTTCTGTGCTCCACTGAATCACTTGACCCAGCTACAGACTCACGCTCCACGCGCTCCACCACCCTCTTCACCAGCTCTCGAGCCACAAGAGCCACTTCCGGGTCTGTCGCAGGGCACTGCTCCTCATCCTCCTCTTCAGATGAGACGCCATTTTGTGGCGGGTGTCCATTAGTGACCACCTCCTTGGTCCCATTCACATTAAGCTCAGGCTGGACCTCTGAAGGTGTCTCTGAAGACATGTCCTGGTCAGGGGTGTGATTGACAGCATGGACATCCTCTCTGGGCTCTGACCCGGCCTCTTCTTTTGTGGCCTCCTGTAGAATGTTCTCCATCTGACCCTCACTAACGGCCACTGACAGCTCTGCTTTTTCGTCCCCTTTGTCATAGCAGGGGCCTTCCACAGGGCAGGGCTGTGGGCTGTCATCCCTCTCAGAGTCCACTATGTCTGAGTACGGCCCCACTCCATTGGCCAGGGTCTCCTGGTCTGGCCCTGCCATGAGCTCCAGGGAGCGTCTGTGGTCCTGCCACTTCTCGTTCAGACTGGGGTCACTGGAGCGTCTGTTGGCGGGCAGAGGGCTGCCCATCTCACATGCACTTGGGAGGTTGTCAAATGAGCGAGTCTTTGTGCGTCTGTGAGGAGACAAAACATCATATTAGATATTCAGGCAAAATGACAGAGACTATAATTAAATGTGCCACTGACAAAATGTTTAGTCAACCATCAATCAAATGACACTTTCTTTATACTGAATGTGAAAACAGTAAATAATAATCATGTCTAAGAGACTTAAGATCTCTGGCCCACAGGGGGTATTGGCTCTCACCTGCCCAGGGGCGCCTCCTCCCCATTGCATCCTGGGAGGGGATAAGGGGCGCAGGAGTCATCTGAGGGGGTGGTGGGGGAAGAGCTGGGCAGGTACACTGCTGTCCACAGCATCAGATTTCGGACATGACACACCGGGTGTAGCACCTGCATGAACAAGTGGAGGTCACACGACGTATCGTAACAATCTAAAAGCATAATTTTGGGAGTGCATGTTGATGTGTTTTAACTATTGGAGAACCAACAAGAAGCAAAACAACAACAGCAATGTAACTATGAATTTCAAAACTGACCAGCAAAACACATCTGTGAAAGTGCGTTCTTCACCATAAACCAATAAAATACATTGTCCTCACTTATTCACAGTAATCTCACCTAATACTCCTGCTTGCTGCCTGCCAAATTAGAGAAATCTGACAGTTACCTGTTGAAGTGAAGACATACTAAATGCCGCTAAGTCTCTGTAGTAATATTGTACTGAACCATCATCTTCAATTTTAGGGCTCATAGTTAATGTTTTTTATGTTATTATTGTTCCTGTTGTATAAGTAAATTGAAAGAGTAAGTTACAGCACTTGAAACAAAGGCTTTCATATTGAAACACATATTGTCCCAAATAAATAATGTATTGGTTTGACAGTGGATTGAGACCAGATGATGTCCACACCCCACACTGGCACGCTAACACAATAACAGAGACACCACAATGTGCTGGTGGATGGTGCAAGGCCTGCAAATCAAGTCGAGACAGTAATTAGTAACAGCAGATCTATAAAGATACTTGGATTAAATATATCCCCCCAGGGTTTGTCTTTCTCCTTTGATCTAAAAAAACAAATCTCTATTTATGGGCTTCAATTTCCTGTTTATAGGCAAAATCAGGATTTTTAACCATTCAAAAGTTAGATTTTATTTTGAATTGTGTACTCCTATGGCAATGGTGCTTGAATGTAGTCACTTTATAACTGTCAAATGCCAATGCTGGTCCAATTAGGATGTTTGAATTTTAATGTGCAAATGAGCAACAGAGACAAATAATTTCTTTGACTATATTTCTATTTATTACTCTACTTGTACAAATACATTTATATGATTATGCCTTATTTGCTGACTGCCTCACCTCACCTCTCACCAACACTTCACACTACACAGCTCTGTCTGATAAAGTCCAAAATAGTGTCAAAAAAGTCTAAAAATGTGTGTCAAAGTTGATCCCACAGTTGTACGTACAGTTTCGGAGTGTGAAGAATAGAGCATGTTCCGGAGCGTGCGATTGGCTGGTCTCAGGAGGGACCAGATGGAGCAGGTCCTCTCTTGTACGTGTCTATCCTCGCGTTCTTTGCCGCTGTTACACAGAAAAGTCCCAAACAGGCAGGAATACGAGTGCTGCACCAGTTTGACCTGAAATCACAACACAGAAGAATTTATTTATGGGAATTTAAACCCCTTAATATAAAGAGTGAGCCCATACTGCGCTGTTTTCTGATCTGTTATAATGCTGTTTCCTCATCATAAACACAAATACATAACACACAGACCTTGCATATATAGACTGAGTTCTCTCAAACAGAAAACACTCTGTTCCACCTTGTGATGTCATATCAGGAAGTGCTCCACTGGGTTTTTAAACTCCATATACCTTGACTAGAATCATTTGGATAATTCCAGCCATGGAGTTGCCAATCTCTACTAAACAAAAGCTAAATGGTAGCTTTTAATATTCTGAACTTTGGAGATGTAGACAGACAAAACAAAATACAACTCCAGGTATGTAACAACATTCAAACATAGCTTTAAGCACACAAGAGTAAATTTTGCATGACATAGGACCTTTGAATGAACATTTAATGAGACCTATAGCCTTTTAAACCTCTTACTGAATTGGCCTCAGGAGGTATATGTCTTTGCTAGTTTTGGAAGGGGTTTATGTAATATGAAGTCACACAAAATACTCTTATTAAACTTTTTTAATATTTTGGAATAGGACTTACATCTTGTTAATGCATTTTTACAATACCATTAGTCTCCCCACAGTATCACAATAGATCTGATTATGAGGAGAATACTGTGCTATTGCGGGATATTTTTGCAATGTACTTAAACATCATGAGCACTATTGAGCATGTTTCCTGGCTTAATCGCCTAAAAGGTTCAAATCAACTTTCCTTGTATGATTAGAATATGTTTTCTACATCCTAATGCAGACAGCAGATGTGAAACACACCAGAAAAGCCTCGTTGAACTCGAAGGAGCAGGGAAACTGCCTCTGGAGCTGGTGCACACAGTCTAACCACTGGAGGAACACAGGGCAGCGCTCGTTCAGGTCCTCAGAGTTCTCCCCATGTCCACAACGATCTGCAAACTTATGACCAAAGTCCAGCCAATCTGTCTCCACCAGGACCTGGAAACCCTGTGGAAACACGGAGTTATATATTATATGTTATAATGCAAGGATCAGTTTTTCTGATAGGTCTAATTATTACTACTTTTCAGTATCATTTTGGGTAGATCTGCTCCTACTACAAAAAAATACTATTTCCAATTCTGCTTTTATCCTGCTACTTTATTTACTGTACTATTAGAATGGCAGCAAAATGTGAATCTACTCAATAGCAGCACCACTACTCTTAATAGTTCTAATACAACTACATACTTCTAGACCAACTTGCTACAAAAGTACCGCCATCAATACTGACTAGCTTCAACTTTTTATGCTGCAACAATACATAATTTCTATGTAGTAGAACTCACTACTACTCCACAAACTTCAGCTTCCACAACCACAACCACCTCTACTTCAATTACTGAACTTCTACCATGTTATCCAGCAGTATATTATACTGATAAATTGAGTGTTATTTGGTCTCCCAGTTAGTACCATGCTAACTGGCACTACTCATTTCAACTAGCTTTTACACACACACACTTTCTTCTCTTCTCCTTTCTCTTTACTTTTTAAATTTTCCTTTTTCACTATTATTATTATCTTGTAATTGTTTGCCTTTATTTAATTTCTGATCATATCTGGGTTTGACATTTATTATTAAAATGGTGGTTTTGAAAATAAGAAAAATGTAAAAGGAAAAAATTGTGTTTTGTAAATTTTGTATGAATATATTGTGATTTCTCAATACAAATATTTATAAAACAGTTTTACCTCTATGGTGCGGTAGTAGGGGTCCAGGAGCAGTTTGGACAAAGCCACAATCTGAGGAGTCCGGTCCCATCCATCAGAGCAGTGCACCAGGACGGGTCTCTGGTCTCTGTCAACGGCGTTCACCACCAACAGAGACGCCTTCAGCAGCAGGGACAGGTGCTGCAGCCACTTAGTGCTCTCCAGGGCAGACAGCCAACTGAGGGACAGTAAGAAATCATTTATGTGAGGTTTTAATGCAAATTAAACATTGCTGAAATTAGAGATGCATTGATACTGATACTGGTATCAAATATTTGCCTCTATGAAAACTTGGTGGTTCGGCTCCAAAACATAAGTTCTGCAGATATTCTGGTTGAGGCTATGACTTGATGTAATAAGGCTATATTTTGCCCAGAATGTCTCATTATGTTTGAGCTTTTAACATACAAGTTGATCTGTAGTTACTTGAGAGGTAAATAAGACACATTTTGTCATACAATATTTTTTGTTTTTAGGAAAATAAAGTCAGTTTTTGTTCCTGCACTGGGATCTGTAGATACTTAAAGCCATGGCAAGATACAAAAACACTGCTGTCTTTGTTACTAGGGTCAGTTCTCACAGCTCAGTGAAGCACTAAATACAGTAAAATATATATATATATATATATATATATATATATATATATATATATATATATATATATATATATATATATTATATATATATATAATATATATTATATATTTATATATTTATATATTTATTATTATGTCACTATTAAAAAGCTATATATTTTCTAAGAAATGGAAAAACATTTACTAATACATTTTACTTTACTCAAATTATTTGACTGCATTGTGAATAAAACTGTACCGTGGTTTTGGATTATTGTAAAAGAATAATAGTATTATAGTGTTGTTAATTTATGAAGACTCAGTTTCAAACAATGCCACTACACTTTTAACATGTATTTTCCTTCCCCCTCAGCCAAACATAACAAGAAGTGGCACTAGTGGAAAAAGTCTGTCTATGGCCGTGAATCGCCACAATGCTCAAGGCCTGAATAATTCACAGTCCACCACTCTTCACTGTGACATAGCTCCGCCCCATGTTTCCATGTCTTTGGTGAGGTGGTGGAGGCGGCAGGAGAAGCCTTTTATCAGATGAATGCAGAAGTAGGTTAAAGAAGAGGATGTTTTGTTTGTGCAGGTGTCTCTTATGTGAGTTACATAATGTTTTATAGGCTGACCTGTCTTAGTGAGAAGTTAATATTTCACTCTTGGCCTGGATAAGATTCTTGCACTTTGGCCACTAATAGGATGTAGTAACTTTAAATGTTGGTATTTTATATAGCAGTATAGTAGGAAAGCTTACTTTTAAAAATGTATTTTAACAAAAGCTATGATGATTTGGCCTCTCTTTGGCACAATAATGATTCATTCATTTGTGTTTTTGAATTGCCATTTCTGTTAGAGGGTCCTTCATGGAAATATTATTGCTTTGCATGGAAACGTTCATAGTACGGTATTAAATTTCTAACATGCACTTATCTAATTGTTTTTATTGTTTAAAAAGACCATTAATGCTTTCTTATGGATCTGACTTGTAACTTGGTGGTGTCTTCCACTTATTTCCATGGATATAGATATGTTAAATGTCATACCGTGGAACATTCCAGGCAAAGGAATAGCAACTCCATGGAGACAAGGAAAAGACACATCCTCCAATGCAAATGTTACATAGCGCACCTTTAAACAGTTATATTTCACATTTAGAGCTGTTTAAAGATGCAATGTGTAACTCCTCTGGTGGAGTGTCCATCAAATGCTTTTCTCCATGGAGATTTTATTGCTTTGTCTGAAATGTTTCACAATATGGCATTTAGCCAAAGCAGACCAAGTTACAGGTCAGATCTGTGGTGAGGCAACCCCGCTCACAGTCAGAATGTTTTTTTGTAGGTATTTTGAGCTGTAAAGCCACCTGTAATTGAATGAATATAAGGTAGAGCTGAAAATGCCATATTGTGGAACATTCCAGGCAGAGCAATAACATCTCCACAGAAACAAGCACATGAGGGATCCCCAACCAAAAAGTGACATAGTACACCTTTAAAATATACTGTAAAGTATATCGTAAGCTGCAAATTATACAGCTTGATTTAATGAGTGCAAAGGAAAGAGTAGATCCTCTAATAAAGCCCGCACAACCCTTAGGCCAAATTGAACCCAGATGCATGGGGCAGGAGAAAACAATAGTGTATTTACAATAGCTTTGTATTAATTAAAAGCTTATACAATCAGGCCTGGGACAGTTAATTGTTTTATTATGTTGTGTAGGAACAGAAGGAGCTGAAGGCTGTGCTGGGGGCAAAATAAAAAAATTAAAAAAAAGGACTTACTTTGCTGGATCAGGCATTTGGGTGCAAAGGAAACGCAGAGATTGGAAACTCTTGCGAATGGAGTGGATGTTAGCCATGCCCATGAAGACCACCTCGCAGTTGGGATAGTACTCTGGAGAGAACAAAAGGTTAATTAACAACCCCTTTTAATTTTAGCAGGGAACAATTGCATTTAGAAGCATTAGACTGTGTAGTACATGTTGACCTAGATTTAGACGGTCTAGAGTTGGTTAGAGGGACAGACCTGGGCACTCGCAGCCTCCCCCTTTAGCGCGGTTGGCCACAGCGGCTGCATACGATCTGGCATCCAGGATCAGTAACTTGTGAGGCTGGATGGCTAACGACTCCACCTCTGTGCTGTTGGTCATTGACGATTCTGAAACATAAAACATATATGTAATAATTAGACAAAACGAGCTGTAATATGTCATGTTTTTATCAATACTCATGATGGAAGACGGCAAAGGAGCATTTTGTAACTTTTGTGGTGGAGGGTCCATCAAATGCTTTTCTCCATGGAGATGTTATAGCTTTGTCTGGAATGTTTCACAGTATAGCATTAAACCTTTCTATCTTCATGGAGACCAAACCAGACCAAGTTACAGGTCAGATCTGTGGAGAGGCAACCCTGATCACAATCAGCGAGCCTGTTTTTGAAGGTATTTTTGATCTATAACATCATATTTAATTGAACAATGTAAGGCAGAACTGTTTAATGTCATACTGTAGAATATTTGAAGAAGAGCAGTGACATATCCATAGAAACAAGCAGGTGATGATCTAAATAGAAAGTACATTTTTACCCTTGCAGGCCTTTAAATATAACTTTTTTTTTTTTTTTTTGCTGTAGGGGTGTCAAAATGATTGAGTTAAGCCATAATTGTTATTATTCAGTTCACAATATAATTGTTTTATGTATAGGATTTGCCATTTTAGAAGCTAAACTAAGTCACTCCAATCGATTTCACCAAAAGTTCTGTAAGTAGCTTGTGACTTTACTTTATCAATCAGAACTTCTGATTTAATAAAGCTGGTCATAAACTAGTTATTGTCATATTGTGATTTTTCTTCTAGCAATATTCACTAACATAAAAAAAATTATCTCATGACATCCCTAGTTCACTGACAACTAAATTAGCAGTTATACCCAAAGTGTCACCCACCCCAACACAAAATGGATAGTTTCTTTCCCTGAACATGAAGAAGAGCAGTATTATGTCATGCACGTTTCAGGTGACAGGAAGCAGCCACACCTCCAGCTCCTCTCACAGATCTGGCCCACAGTGAAATTCCACATATTCTTCAGACTTTATCAGCTGCTCTGCCCATAGGGAGTGCATGCCTTGACAGCCCATTGCACAACTCTGTCTGCTTCAAATCTGCAACCTAACAGCAGAACCAGTTTCTAAAGCTGTGGATTATAGCTTTTTTGTCAACAGAATACATCTTGAGCCATTCGTTGTCAATAAGAACATTTCCTGAATTCAATTTACTTTTGTATAGCCCAATATAAGAAAAGCAGTCACCTCAAAGGACTTCACAGGGCTTTGTTTTGACCATGAGAAAACTATTAGGACATTAGTTTGTAAGTATGATGTGGAAAGGTAAGTGGCTATAGCTGAGTTTTTTGTTTTGCCCCAGTACAGATATATTATAAAAGCAGCACTTAGGTAATAACTAGACAGCTGTGTTTTATCATCTAATGCACCTAATTAGAAACTGTTAGTGGCATTAGTATGATAGTTGTTATTAGCTTTACCATGACAGCAAAACTCCTCTCTGGACTGAAAGTTGTGAGAATAAGTAGGATGCTAGCCACAAACCATTTAAAATGTTAAAACTAGTTATGTTTTTCATCTATTTAAGACAGCAAATCAGGTACACCACCTTTAAAGACTAGAAAATGATGAGAAGAACTTCAGTAAATAATGCATAACTGTAAGGCCTTCAAAAGCTTAGTTTGAACAATAATACAGAAGACCTAAAAAGTCCAACCAGTGAAAGGTTCCTTTGTGACTTAAATGTACATTGTGTAACTTTTCTGGTAGAGGGTCCAACAAATGTTTTTTCTCCAGGGAGATGTATTAAACCTTTTTTTCTTCATGGAGACTAAATTATACCAAGTTAGAGGTCAGATCTGTGGAGTGGCAACTCCACTCACAGTCAGAATGCCTGTTTTTCTAGGTGTTTTTGAGCTATAAAACCGCCCGTAATTGAATAAATCTAAGGTCGAGCTAATTAATGTCATTCTGAGGAACATTTCAGGTAGTGCAGTAACATATCCATAGCAACCAGAAAAGTTACATAATACACCTTCAAACTGTGACTGATTTCTTACCGAAGTCTGTGTCACTGAGTTCAGTGCCGTTGCTATGGACTCCGTTGGTGAGATGTTTCCTGGAGGAGCCGTCCACAGCGCAGGCTTTAGCGATGGACTGCACCAAGTGTTCGTCATCCGCGTTCCTCCAGCCCCACCAGCTCACCTCAGGCTGACCACAACGGGCAATCACCGCACCAGTGCTCAGGTGTCTGTGGGAGAGACAGTTTTATAATGTAAGTTCTTCTTCTATATTAGCCACATTGACTCCTGTGAGCTTTAAACCATGTAAGAATGCTGTTGCGTCATCAAAAACATATCTGGAGTTGTGTTTTGTTTCATTCACAAATATCTGAGCAATCCTTTACTATTTGTCTACATCTTCAAAGCCCAAAATGTTCTGTTCCATCTTCCACCAAAGAGTTAGTCCTCAAGTTAAGAGCTACTTTTTACCTTTTGTTCAGTAGAGACAGGCAGTTCCAAGGTGGAAATCAGCCAAATGATTCTAGTGAAGGTGTTTGAAGTATAAAAACACAGTGGAGCACTTCCTGTATTACCACATGACATCACAAGGTGGAACAGAGTGCTTTCTGTCTGACAGAAAAACTCAGCCTAAATATGCAGGGTTAGTGTGTGAAACATGGGTGAATGAAACAAAAGACAACTCCACATATACATGTTTGTGATGAGGAAACAACATTATAACATAGATCAGAAAATAGCGTAATATGGACAATTTAATCCCCAATAATATCTCAATAATAAAGGTAATAGTCATAAGTAACAGTCATTCTTAACCCTGGTTTTATTATTTAAATGTATTGCTATTCCACAGGTCTTATATTTAGATTTATATATTTAATTTTAGATTATTTGTTTTTTTATTAATTTGTTATGGGCATTATTTGTGTTTTGTTCAAAATCAATAAAATACAAAAAAAAATTTAGAGTCTGCATTGCTGGGTTTTAAGAGTATAACAACTACCCTCCTCCTGATCTCCGGTAATTTTACTGAATACCTTGGATGCTTAGTGACAAATAAAACATTAAAGAAAAAAGAAAAAAATTAATATAGACCAAATAAACCAAAAGGACAAGACTAAAGGAAGTCATTCATTAGTAAATTATAGTTTGTAATGGTTTCCTGAGCCATGGTAAACTGCATTTAATAAACACTAAATAGGTTAACAGCTTAATAGGCATTGTAGATTTATATCAGACACATAAAAGCCACAGGAGGCCTCTAAATACATGAGTGGTTGCTGTTAATTGTTGCTGTTGCACAAACCTGTACACCACAGCGGGAAATCTTTTCCAAGAGCGAAAGCCTGCCACGTTCTCCAGCTCTTTGTCAGTGATCCAGGCCGGGACCAGGAGCTGCTGGGGGTAACTGGGACAGAGCCTGAGCACAGAGCAGAAACAAGTCAGCCTGGCAGCTTTTAACACTACTACTATGGATATACTGACAGTGTGAAAAAGCAACGTTTGGTTATGTCTGTTCCCATGGAGATTTCTTGGTTATGAATATATATATATATATATATATATATATATATATATATATATATATATATATATATATATATATATATATATATATATATATATATACTATATATGTATAGTGGTTAGCTCACATTTCAAAATAACAAAAAAATACATCAGACTTATATATCACATTTTTTGCACTAAGATGTAACAGAAGCTTTAACCTGATTAGTGGCATTGACATTACCTGAACTTGCTGTTGATGTCTGATATCCTCCAGGCGTTTTGCGTGTCGAAGCCCATCCTCTCCACTTCATTTTTGAACCAAGAGGTCACGTGTTCACCTGGGTATAAACAATTACATAATCAATCTATTACCTCTATACTATGTTGAGTTTATACATATATTATTATCAGAAGATTTCTAATTGTGTACAGTGAAATCACTGACAGTGAAACGCTTGCATTCTTACCACAAATGGTCTTAACAGCTAAGTGTGGTATACTAGGTCTAAAGTGCACAGTGGTTTGTAAGAAACCATTACTGTTATTATATTTAGTTTCAAAATTACTACAATAGAATCAATTACAGTTAAAAGAAAATGTAGTAGTTTATATAGCACTAAGCACAACAAAACAGAAGTGCGTGTATTCTCAAAATAATTGTGTGGTTTGGTCACGGTTGCCCATAGTGATCTGAATTAATGACATTGAATGCAGATGTGAGGGATGCAGTTGCCAGGAGACGGGTCTACACAGGGGTCACCTGAGGACACAGGTGTTAGTAATGCCGGCTGTACCTGGTCGGCATAGCTCCCCATGCTGCTCCTTCTCCCCAGCATACACCTCCATGCACCAGGCGTGAAAGGCAAAAGAAAACAGGTCCTCGAGGCGCGCTGGAGGCCGGACCACCGCACTCAGACGCTTCAACCATTCCTGACACTGCTCGAAGGTGGTGAACTGACACCTGACAACAGCAATTACGGTTCTGTTAGACACTCAAGCATAGGCATGTACGTTCATGAGAGTGATTTGCCTCTACTGTAAAGCTATTTGAGCCAGACCGGAAGCAACAATGGTCAATATGAAAGGGTTCTATTATATCCCTAATGCCTTTCAGCAACATTCTCTGGCAGGCATTGAGGATTCATAGAACCACAGTTACATTATTAACACACAAACATATATACATATATACACATTTTGTGGCTCCTTCTAAGGGGATGTCAATAATTTGAAGAGGCCATGCTTGGAGTGAATGTACCTGACAATTTTGCAGTCTTTACAGGTGACATGAAGCTGGAACATATCTCGACACTCAACACTCTCGATAAGCTGAAGAGGAACCTGCAAAAGGGCAAAGATCATATTAACGCCACAGCGGTCACTGGAAATCAAATGCATAACACATGCATTGGCGGTGTAGTGCTCAATGGTAACTGCTAATGACAAGACAAGAAGTAGCACCCTGGTTCTTACAATGTAAAATAACCTTGACAAATTATGGTCTATGAAAATTTATTATTTGCATTTTCCATATAGTCTTATCTATTACAGGCAAATACCATCCAAAGTACAGCAGTGTCAAATGCATGCTTTGATTATCACTAAACCTGTTAATTAGATATAACATAATGCAGAGGAGAGGGAGTGGTGCACGCTGGTATTTGCTCCACAAATACCAATGTCATGCGTCATCAAATTACCTAGCCTCATTACTACTATACAAACTAATATGAAATAGCAAATGAGCAAGAAACTGGATGTATTAGAAGGAAGGTCTTGAGTTTCAGTGTCAATAAAAAAAAGAAAAAAAAAGAAAAATTCTACACTTTAAAAAAACTGTATTCTCAATGGTTTAAAATGATACCTATATTTACAACAGGAAAACATCAAATGTATTTATTGATAAGTTTCTATTCACTTTTTTGATGATGCACAGTAGCCACCTCTCTTAGGAATCACACATATTAACAATAATTATTTGATAGGACATTAGCTATAAGCAAACAGGCTTATTTTACACACTCCACTCCGTGCAGCTCTGTTATACTTACTGACACCTCACAACAACAACTCTGTCCAAAACAAAAGACAACAGTAAAAATCTCAACTTTATACTTTTTAGTTAAAGTAATATTAAGTAGAATGAATTATTGTATATCAATATTAAACCATATAAACCAGTGGCGTACAAGGCTGATCAGTGTCCATCTAAATTCCTGTGCAGCCTGTTAACAGCCCGTCCATTAGCACATCCGCCCACAAATGCTCAGCTGTGAGATACCAAATGTGTTTGACATGATTAATGCACTGAAGAGGTCACACCGGACACTGGACGACACAGCTTGGGAAATGTTCAAATGAGCTACAGTAAGGGAGTCGGCGGTATTCCAAATTAGACATAGGAGTTTTCTTAGATACTAGTACATGTGATTTTGCATTGCCTACAAGTGGCAACTGTCTCCATCTTAAGAGTTCACATCTCAGTGTGATTGGCTGAATCCACCTGTCACTCACTCAGCACAACAGTAGCGGACCAATAGGAGGGTGGGTAGTATGAATCAGAATATGATGATTTCACAAAATATCATCACAAGGATCACAATTTGATTTGTATAGTCATACTGCAAAGACCTACCACAGCATCAATTGCAGCTGCCTCAGAAGAGGAAACCTGCCATTGCTCCATTGTTTTTGCAGATGGAGTCTATTTATCAGGGTTAGGACAGAAATCCTGTGAAAGTGCTTATTCATTAGTAGTAAAAATGTCTCTGCTATAAATTAGTGGCATCTTAAAGGTTAGCAGGAATGTGTTCTCTGGAAAGGTTATGGATTGTGTACTTTTGCTATGGTTGAAGCTTTTGATGGAATGCTGGCAGAAACTACTTTAGTAGTACAAAACTTGTCTTCTCAACTTCAAAAGTTGACTGTAGTGTGGTCTGCAGAATAACTGGATATCCCTGTAACACATGATCCTGTCAATGCCCAATGTCCCTGCTCTCATGTGTCAGATCTCAATTCAATGTCTCTTCAAAGAGTTTTTATCAAATTATATTTCATCAAAACCAAGATGCTTCTTTTTTACTTCAACTCTGCAATACTTAAGACACGGCATTGTTTATAATCTGCCTATGTATAATGTCTAAAATGTAGCACCAAAGTATTTACAGCACTAGCTGTTCATCATTATGCTCTCTTCCATTCAATTAGAAAACTGAATTAAATACTGAAAGGAGTCAACCTCTAAATGGCCCATTATGTAGGAACCACTAGTACAAAATGAAAATAATAGTGAAAGGATTCCACTAAACTGGTTTGTCTACTACAGCTACTGCTATGGTAACTCAAACAGTGAGCAAAAGCCACAGTCAATCATTTTAGCGTGGTCCTTTCACCTCAGCCCTGCCACAATACACTCCAGCACTATGCATTCACGCCAGTATTAAAGGCTCATTCACCCTGCTCCAATCAGCACAATGCAGTGTATTCTTGTTTATTTTGGCTGTGGCACTTGAATGTTACTCACATTGACGACAGACTCTTTGAACTTGATGTGGAGGCGGTAGTTGGACATGGCGATGATGGCATCCTCCGCTCGCCCCACGTACTCAGTGAACTCCCCATGCAGCTCCGGAAAGGGCACCTGAGCGCAGACAGATGGAGCACAGAGAGAGATGGAGTACAGAGAGATGGAGCACAGAGAGATGGAGCACAGAGAGATGGAGCACAGAGAGATGGAGCACAGAGAGATGGAGCACAGAGAGATGGAGCACAGAGAGATGGAGCACAGAGAGATGGAGCACAGAGAGATGGAGCACAGAGATGAAGCAAAGAGAAAGATGGAGCAGAGGGAGAGATGGAGCAGAGGGAGAGATGGAGCGCAGAGATGAAGCAAAGAGAAAGATGGAGCACAGAGAGAGATGGAGCATAGAGAGATGGAGTGGAGATAGAAGAGAGATTATTTAATAGTTTGTTCACTAAAGCCTATGAGGCAAAAACTTCCCATTTCCATATTTATATTATATTTTAATTAAAAATCTGAATAATTAGATCACTAAATCAAATTGGAATATAATTTCTGTGGAAAGGAAATGTGTGGGTGGATTAATGATTCTTTTGCCATTTTACCTACTCTTGTAGTTCTGATAAATTACAGAGAAATCATTAGACCATCTTTTATTTAAACAAATAGTAAAGATTAAATCCTTCATAAAACCATTAATTTGCCATCATCTCACACATTGTCTGTTCTTTTGCAAGAATTAAATCAATAGAAAAATGTTAGATTGACTTGTATGTCTATTAGGGCTGTAACTAGCGATTATTTTAGTAGTCAACTAGTCAGTGATTACTTTTTATTAGTCAAGTTTTTAAATACAATATAACCCAAATAAAGATTGAAATATGGTGACAAAAAATATGTAATTGCAGATATCTGTCAAAATACCTGCATACCTTTCTATCTATATATTGTTTCAAACCGTTTTTGGCATATCTATTTAGCACTTATTATTAATTTTACACATTTGTTTTCATTGCTCTTGTACACAGACTCTAGACCACATATTACCAATGATTACCCCATACGTATTGACAACTACAGGTGAACTTTGTACATGAATCACACTGACTGTACAATTTCTTCCAGCACACTGAGCCTCAAACAAACAAACGAAGTCTTACTTTGCTGCTGACCTTTGAAACTCGAGTGTCTGGGCAAAATGAAAGTGAAGTCAGTCACACGGTGATTATGTAACACATTACACAGTGACTCACCACCCACTGTATGGCCAGAGGGGGGACAGTTCAGGGTCTAGCTCTTACATATACTACAGTTTTTAGATTAGCTTGATGACTTAGCATTTTCAAAATGTCATTTAGGATCATTTACAAGCTCTTTTGTCTGTTTTTTCTATGTGGTACAACTGATTCTTGAAATACCTTGTGCAATACAATTGTCTTATATAATTATTATTTTCATTTTATGTATGTTTTTTAGTTTGTTTACTTCTGCAAAGCTTTGTAAAATGTATATTGTTGAGATGGGTCACAGAAGATGAGATTGTACATGAGAAATACTGTATCATCTTGTGAGATTTTTTGTCTATGTATTTACATATGGCAAGGAAAAAAACAAAGATTAAGCTGTGGTAAGTTATACCTCTTGAGAAGCTGTAGTTCCAAAAATCTGTGCAACAATAAGAGCTAAAATGGAAAATAATATACATTTTAAAATATGGGGCCAAAATTGTAAACTGAACCAACTGGACCCAAACTTGTGTCTTGTCTCATCTTATGGAAATTGTGTCTCATCCCGCCTAGCATTGAGATTTTCACTTAAAATCCTAATCATTTTTTACCACACTAACCATAATACACTTGGTCTGATTAAAATGATAAAGCATTTATCACACTGAAATGGACATGTGACAGATTTGTGGACAACTTCACTTGCATACTAGAAGTCATTTTTAATTATAGTCCAGTAAATAGTTTGCATATTTTAGTCAGAAAGGTCAATGATTACCAGCAGCAGACTTACAACTATTACAGTTATGCTTAAAATTCCCTTGGATTTACGCAAGACGATCATGTAACTAAATACACTTTTTTAATGTGCCAGAAGGTACAGGGAAGCAATCTTTTATGAAATATTACACCAACATTGTAATGAAACATATTCTCAGATATCCATCCGGTTCATGCAGGTTAAAGCAAACCAAATGTAATGCAGAGTAACACAAACCTGATTCTAAAAAGGTATTTGTGCTCAAAGTTCATTTTTCACAATTGATAAAAAATAATTTTACATCCGGGTGCAACCAGAAACTTCACAGTTGCTTTTGTTTTTGTTTCTTATTCAATAATTTTTTATTAAATTGCATTTCAAAAGCATATGTTTAATCACAAATTGTATAACATATGTAAATAATGCAGTATTAATCATAACATAGGATAATGTTATAACTATAAATCCATGCTTATCGCCTTGTTATCTTTAAAAAACTGCTATCTCTTTTTAACCAGAGATGTGTTGTCACTAAACAAAAGAGGAAATTGTCCATAAGATAACAATTTCAATTAGCTAATGGACCTGGAAGTGACATCACACTTAACTCTATCTCTTTCTTTTTGAGCCACACAGGAACCTATTCACAGTGACCCACAACTGACATACTCACTTTTGTCAATAATATCCACTAATATTCATGGAAAACTACCGCCTAAACCGCTGGTCTGTTATATATCAGGTTGTCAGGTTCTCTCTCACCTGCATGTTTTCCTCCTCCAGGACGGGCGACTTTTTGGGAAAGATCTGATTGGCCTGGATACACTCCAGACTCTGCTGGGCCTCCTCCTCCTGCAGACACACACAAAAACACAAACTCAAGACCTGAAAAGAAATACTACACAATATGGAACTTTACAGCAACAACAGGCAATAGCATCATGTTACTTATTATATTGTTTTTTTGGATTACACCCAAAAATTTCGACAGGTTATTGTATATTATAACTTGTCAGTGCATAAGTTATTCAGCAAATTTCCCTACAGGGAAAATGAAGTGTACCTTAACCTTAAAGGTGCAACTTTTCTGGTGGGAAAGTCAGTCACCTACTTGTCTCCCTGGAGATGCTAATGCTTTGTCTGGAATTATTTCACAGTATGGCATTAAACCTTTCTATCTTCATGGAGATCAAACCAGAACCAAGTTACAGTTCAGATCTCTGGAGAGGCAACCTCACTCACAGTCAGAATGTCTGTTTTCCTAAGTATTTTTGAACTATAATACTACCTGCAATTGAATACATGTAAAATAAAGCTGTTTATGACAGTAAACATTCCTTTACATTCAAGGCAGAACAATGACATATCCAGAAACAAGAAGGTGACAGACACCCAACCAAAAAGTTACATAGTGTACCTTTAAGAAACAGTAATACTCTGCTTCCTTTGGGTGCATTGTACTAGAAGTCATAGATGAGCATTGCCCATCCCAGAAACTATGGGCTTAAGGCAGACAAGTGGCAGTGATGGGGTGGCTCTTTTCAGTTATGCAAGTCAGTGAACCTATTATCAATCTATTTTAGTGCAATGTTACAATTTACAATGAACACAATGTAAAATAAAGACCTATGTATTATATTTTAATACTGAAAACCTCCATAAAACATAATATATCTTCTTCAAATGCTACCTTTTTATAGTCTTGAGTTTAGTACAAGTAAATCATATGACAACACTGTTAAATGAATGTGACAGGTGAGAACTTGTAGAAAACACAAACCAGATGTTTAACTTATACATCATACTAAAAACTATGAGTATACTGTGAGAGAGAATGGGTTTTTAAAAGAGGCCAATGATTATTGCGGTATAATAACAGGGCTTCTAGTGTGTTCTAAAGCATACCATTCATTCATTCAGTTGTCTCCTTGATCTTATATGTCATTACAAATCATCTGAGGTCACAATGTGTAAATGTTAAGCAATAAGCTGTATTATACATTTAGGTGTTGAGTTTTACATGGTTTGCCAGTCCAGAAAAGGGGTTAAAGATACTAGAATTCCTTTTTTAACATATAATGATCTCGATATTTGCAATATTTTCCAGTTTTTCAAATGTTTTTCTGAACTGGTGAAATTGCAATTTTCTAATAAATAGTGATTAGTCAGTCTGGTTGAAGTCACACTAGTGTCAAAAATTATGGGATACAGCTGAGGCTAGAGACTGGCGAGCTCCTCCTTGTGAAAGAGGAAATGGTGATCATATCTATCCAGTGGTTTCCTACATGCCTCACACTGTTAAATCATACATTAACCACAGCAGACACCATAGCACCAGCATGAGTGAAGAGCATGTGATCTGTCTTAGCTACATGAGCTATGCTTTTGACTCCTGACATACTGTACTGCCCATATTTATTTTTATTTTATTTAGATTTGTATAAATTTTATAGTTTTAACAGTGTTTAGCTTTATGTATTCTTATGTTGTTTATTGTTTTTGTTTAGGATTTACTGTTTTTTACTGTCTTAATTTGTCCAGTTAATAAAATGTGCTATATAAATAAGTGGATTTATTGGACACAGTAATTATATATTCTGCAGTGTAGAGTGTGTAGGCCTGATTGTCAGTCTGTCAAGTATAAAAGTAGAAGTTAAATCTGTAAGTTATTACAAGGGGATTTGAGTAAGTAGTGTTAATACAAATGTTTGTGTATAAGCAGATTTAAAATTCATTAGCAAGTTCACAGAAAATGTAGTCGTAAAACAAGTAGCTACGGGTAGGAAAAGCTTTGTTGTTCCATTCATTGCAGGATTGGTGTAAAGGCCTTGTAATTAAATTTTAGTACTTTCTTAACCCAGACCTCCAAAACTTTACAGTCAATGTGTTATTTACTTTATATGAATGTTGCACTTTACTTCCACTACTACTACTGCTACTCCCTGATCTCTTCTAATGCAGTTTCCTCATCAAAAACCTGCCTAGAGTTATGTTTAGTTTCATTCACACATGTTTAACACACAAACCCTGCATATTTAAGCAGAGGTCTTCTCTCAAACAGAAAACAGTTGGTTCTACCTTGTGATGTCATGTGGTAATACTGTGGTAAGTGCTCCACTGTGTTTTTAGACTCCATACACCTTCACTAGAATCATTTGGATAATTTAATCCCTGGAATTGCCCATCTCTACTGAACTAAAGGTAAAAGAAGCTGTGAATTTGAAAACTACCACTCCATGACATCACAAGGTGGAACAGACCATTTTAAGCTTTGGAGATGTGGACAGACTCAAACATGTATGAATGAAACAAAACGTAACTCCAGGTCTGTTTTTGAGGAGGTAACATTATAAAATGGCTCAATGCTCACAAGAGTCAGTTTTGTATAATACAGGATCTTTAAGTGTGCATGGAGCAGGTCTTCCATTGGTGCACTTAAGATTACTGTACATGTCAATTCCAATTAGTGGCTAAGCGATGGGCCAACAGTAAATAAAACAGCTCAACAATACTTGACAACATCCATTGTGGTTTCTGTGGATAGCTTCTAATCTAATTTTGGTTTCATTTACATACATTTACTCCCCTTACAGTCAGCTGCAGGGTCTTAACATGCCAGTTAAATATTTGAGGTTGTCCTTATGCAATACAGAGGATGTCTCAGAGTTAAGAATGTAAGGCATGGAGACTGGAGCCCAGGGTTTTGACTCAAGGGCAAAGTGGTGCGGAAATATGAGGGTTCAACTGTGCAGACAATGGACTGTTTCATATCAGGGAACAAAGAATGTATCTGAGGGATGGATTTACAGGGTAGGAAATGATAAAAGACTGTTTCAAATTAGATGTATTAAATTAAGCCTTATTTTATAAAATAATTAAATGATCTTCAAAGATAAACAAATATATTATAGATTCTAAGTTAGTTAATGGAGGCCACTGGAGGCAGACTCAAAGTGGAACAAGACACAACTTCAATGGAGAAATTGAGATTATCCACAGAGTACTACAAAATATGAAAAATTAAGAAGGGTTTGTAAAATTAGATTATGATAAACATTTCTAATCTAGTAAATTCAGGATTTCGTATTCATCAAAAATTAATCAAATTTCAGGATTTACTCAATAGATTCTTACTGAAATGTTGACCTCACAATAGTTTTTAATTTTATCTAAAAACACACATACTTTATCAGAAAAATGTTTACTTACTGACATTTATTACCTGGGAATTGAAATCGTTGCTTATTTCTTGTTACACAAACAATCTATTTTTCCTCAAGTCGCCGCCATTCTGGATTTTGAACCTTGTGATGACACAGCATTTTAAAGGGGTTATAGAGTAACTTTTGTTGAAATGCATGTTAAGAGTTCAGTCTAGTCTAGTTCTTTGCCAAAGCATCATTGTTTGTCCCTGACCCCATAAGTCAGGACTTGGCAACACCTGGCTATAGCAAGTGATTCTACTCTAGAAATTCCAACTGCAAAAGAAACAGTTTGTATTGCTAAAAAAGGTAAAAATAGAATGTTAGTAGTAATTCTGAGAACAGTATATCTCCATATTTCAATATATCAAAGGGCACTACAACAGAAATTGTGAAATATTATGATTATTTAAAATTATTTTATTTTTTTTAACTTAATGTTGCATTAAGTAACTTTTTGGTTGGAGGTCCGCGCTTGTCCACCTGCTCGTTTCTATGGATAAATCATTGCTCTGTCTGGGATTTTCCACAGTATGACAATAAACAGTTCTTCTTCACATTTATTCAATTATAGGTGTTTTTAAAGCTCAAACAAACCTAGAAAACCAAGCATTGTAACTGAGCATAGGCCTGTAATGATAACAGATTTTGCTGGATGATTAACTGACCAAGAAATTATTGTGATGAACGATAATATTGACATTTTGAGACCATTTTCAACTAATATAATGACAATGGAATAAAAATGCAAATACACCCTTTCAAGATCAATAAACTTTGCTTTCTAAAGAAATTTTAACACAGGAACTGCAAGACACCCAAAAACAATAAGCCTGAATTAAATGGACTTGATGAACATAATAATAGCCTAATGTAGTCTGGATTACAGCAAGGACTTGTTAACAAAAAATGCATTTGAATAAACCATAGCTGATCCAAACACAACCAAAACAATAAATAAAATGGATTATTAAATCTCTGTAACAAAATTGCCCTTAAAAGTTATTTTAGTGATTGACTTACATTGGAATATTGTGGCCCCTCTCTCTATGGCTGCTGCTGTGAGCCTCAGCATTTTGGTTTTGAAGTGTTCGTATTAACCCGTGACACAGGACCCTATTTCGCTATTTTGTCCGTCAGAAAATCATACTCATAATACAGAGCCTGGCTCCTCACTTAGTCCACTTTTTTATACAGGGATTATCATTATGCGCTGTGCATGCCTCCTGCAGAAAGAGCCCCTGTCCTGGCTGGTATTGTGTTGGTGTCTTGTTGAATTTCAGCGGATTTCGGGCTCTCACATGGGCTAGGCTAGTTGTGTGGATTGGGTATGGGTGTATGTCGGCTGCTGGAGTTTGAGCCATTTCTTCTCGTCGTTTATGCGCTCAGTACATTTGATGCATGTGGACAGTTGAGACATATCCCATTCACTAGTGTTGATTTGGCATCGTGACTTGTTTTGTCACACAGCGATGAAATGTTTTGGTGCTCTGATGGTGTTGTGGCTTCTTGTTAACCGCACAGACAGGGGCGCTATCTGCACTCAGGCTGCGTGCGCATCTGCTGTGTTGATGAAAAAATACAGTCTATGGGCTACAGTCCATGCTCCATGGTCTATACTGACACATTCGAGCATTATTACACTAAGGAAACAAGAGGGACAGAAGCCTTTTGACACTCAGTCTCTTTGGTAGAGAGAGAGAGAGAGAGATGAGGAAAACAAATGAAAATAGAAATTATCACAGCCGGAAAACTTATCGAGCTTGTTAAAAGTTACTGTGCAATTAATTAATTTATTGATGATCATTACAGGCCTAACTGAGCGGGATTGCCTCTCCACAGATCTGACCTGTAACATGGCCTGATTTGGTCTCCATGAAGATAGAAAGCTTTAACCATACTGTGAAACATTCCAGACAAAGCAATAACATCTCCACAGAGAAAAAGCAACTGACGGTCCACCAGTAAAATTACACAATGCACTATTAGCCAGAATAAAGAGTATCTAGCATAGTTTAGAATGGTGCAGAATTGCAGCTCTACCACCAGGCAGACGCTTTGAATGTGAATGTCTGCCCCAGCCTAACCTCTTGTCTGTGTTCACTGTCCACAGACATTTGGAGCCAGACCCATTGAATGCCTCGATCACATGGATTTGCAGTGTTGCATCACGACAGAGTTTTGCATCACAACAGAGTTTGAACCATAAGACCGTTGACCTTTGACACCACTGGGTCATGTGCTTCCTGCTCCACAGCCCTGATTACAACAGGAAATCGATGGACAGTTTCCGATTGGACAAGTGAGACAACAAACACACAGAGAGAAACATGGAGGAGGTTTTACCATGGTGAGGGAGTGTGGGTCACCCGGAAGAGGAACGTCGGCCTGCACCAGTCTGTGGACAACATGAGAAAGAAAGGAAATCAAATTATATCACAACATATTTTATAGGTCCGTAAACTATAATAAATTCAGATGGTGTAGACAAAAATTATCCAAATAAGGTAGGGTAAATATAGTGTCATCTTGTCACAAATAATGACACAGGTTCAGTATTGTTTGGATATGGGAATACTTGCTTCATAGTAGCTAGCATGTGAATAGGTAAAGCTTAATCTGAACAAAAAGTCAGACAAGTAATTTTAGATAACTCAAAATATGTTTTCATAACAGAAATCACCTTCTGGGGAATATGTGCTGTTGTTGTTTTAGGTTTGGCAATAAAGTTGCTTTATTTATTATGATTTAATGCTGAATGGGTCTTTGAATGCAGACATCCTCCAGCTGATCTAACTCTAACTAGGAAATGCTGGGGCTTCCCTGTGCGATCACTGTGTGTACTGTGGGCGACCAAAATGACAATGACAAGGCATCTGAAATTATTTAGAGTGTGGCACTAAACAGGAAGTGGTGGAGAAGTCTTGTATTTCCTCATTTGGCAGTTCAAAAGCAAACCTTATTTGAAGACATAATATGGAGGTTTTGACGGCACTTTAGAACAATGTTGTAAACAGTACGTCAACAAATCTAAGTTTATTGCATTGAAACATTAAAGTATGGGAAGTACAAAGTGGACTGAACATTTCTCATCATACAACATCTAATGCTGTATGGCACTCTTAAGCATGTTTCATTTGTTGCTTGTTGTCGCATTGTCTAATGCATCAAAACCTGGATAATAATCAATACTAAAACTAGTATTGAAATTGGATTCTCAATAATATAGACAGTGGGGGAAAAAGGAAATGTATTGCACTATAATAAAACCAATTTATTTTGTGTTCAAAACTACAGTCTAATGTAAAGAAAAACCTATTACATTATCATTATGGTTTCAAAATTGGTATCAAGTATCAAGCATTTTCCTAAGTACTGAAATCATAGCAATATTCTGACAACTTTCGTTTGCTGCCTATTTTACTGTATATTCAAATGACCTTCTACATGGCAAATTAGAAACATGCTTAAAAGTACTACTTATATATAACCACAATACTTATTGTGTATTCGTAATAAGACTGAAAATCTCACCGTAGACGCTTAGTGAGAAAGCTGGAGTCCTGTTGTGTTCAATGCGGCCGCTTACAAGTCAGACATGGAAATCTGCAAAATCAAACCCCACACATAAATAATGACAAAATGCTGTTTACTCACAAACAAGCAAGAGTACATTTTTGAACAGTCAGCCTCTTCAGAGCCACACAGGGGCTTTTGATTCAGGGGCAAATATAGTCCTGCTGGTCACCGTGGTTTTCATGGGAAGCTCATACAAGTCACAAATTCAAAGAGAGACACACTAACTTAACAGAGGAATAGCAAACAGACTGATATAACCAAGAAAGGGAATGGGCAGTTTACCAGTAACTTCAAACAGGAACTAAACGAATAACCGGATGATAATGCTTTAAAGCTAATATTAAATTGTAGGGAATGGGATATAAAATGGACACAGTTAGGAAATTGCAAAGGCTGTAATTTCTGAAGTACCATAATTTCCTCAACAAACAAAAAAATATTGTGTCTTATTCTGCTAACCCTGTAGTTTAGAGCACTACAAATATGTTCTGCTACGTGATTCTTGTATTGTCTTTTCAGTTCATATTTCAGTCTTTTGTCAATTCTTCAGGATGCATTCTGAATGTGAATGTTAGAATAATTGTATATTATCCCATATTTTCTATGTATTTTATTTGTGTGAATTTGAATAATCTAGTGAAATAAGTCAAATAAGCTTTAATAAAATCTCAATACAATATTTTAACCATTAGACTACTTTGAATGTGGTGTAAAATGTGTAGCCTCGTGTTTACTCAGTTTCCTTAGGTAAAACAAACAGTCATTATGAATAACTAAGTAAACAGAAAGCGTGCAAAACCAGTAATAGATTGAATATAAAATGGTTCCAGGCACAAACTGGATTGAAATATATCTGCATCAGGTGAGGAGGAAATGCACTGAGCTCTTGGCCCCGAGCTAAACGTTGGCCTTAAAAGACTCCTTTCTCAAACAAACCACAGCAGCCCTGCAGCCCAATAATAGGCCCATGGGTCGCCCTCGGAAACCTGATCCAGCCAGGTCAGTGGAGTAGGGCTGATGTTACCACAGAGTCACCACTTCACACAAGATCAGGGTGGTCCCTTATACCTGCCTGTTCTAACCCTGTATCTGCTGGAGAGAACAGCTAGGGTGTCATCACTGAATCATTTAAACCTGACTAAATTTTTTTCCCCTTAAATATTAGACAACTTTACATCTATAATGATTCACACATCAGGGTGTTCCCAGTAACATCATCTCACTGCAAAAGACTGGATATTTGAGACGCTCACGGTCAAAGGTCCACTATCACAGACACACGTCAAGAACAAGTCCACTACATATCACAGTTGCACAATAAGCAAGAACCTGAAACCTATGTTCAACATTCTCATAATGTGATGAGAAAAATATTTCAATGTCATTTATATAAAAAGAAACAGTGTTGTGCTAATAATGATGTTCTAGAAACTGCTGCCTAAAAAAAAACATGTAAACATATGCATTGTTACTGTGAGATTTTGTGAGATTAGAGATTTTTGATGTGAGATTAGAGATTTTTGATCTCTAAAATTAACATTAAAGCAAATAAAACTTGTTCCCAATGTCACACAAGTCTTCAGTCCAACTCTGGAGCAAATTCCTTTACACAGGTGTCAGCGCGGGTCAGAAGAGGCGTGGAGCGCATTACTTGACTTTGAGCGCAGACGGAGCGGTCCCAGTGACGGCTGCCTCCACCTGATAAAGTCTATCTGCAGAACACAGAGCAGTGTTTACCACAGCACTCTGACCCAGGGCTCCAACTAGGAGAGAGAGAGCTAAGCCCCTTAGAGCCTTAACGTTACTCTTGTCCCGTGACAGGATACAAACATCACAGGCTAAAACAAACAGCCTAGCATGCACTTTTGATACACCAACCACATTACAGAGTGATTCAGGTTACAGCTGAAAAGGTGGAGCTGCAGAAAGTAAACAAACTGTACACAGGTCAGATAAGGCAGCTGTCATTCTTGATGTCTTTAAGAAACATGATGTGAATGTGTAATTGTATCACGTGGAGGTTGTAATAAATATTATTATCATCATTTTAAAGCTGAGGCTTAAGTCATATCCAGCTCAGCTTTATCTAAATACTGAGAGATGTTTGATAGAAAAGGTTTAGTTGAGCCGTTACAATGTTTATTGAACCAGAACCTACACTGGCTACATGTTTTGACTGACATTAGACGTTGCAGCGCTTGAGCAGTCTGCAGTAATTAGACAAACATAATATTAAAAATCGAATCTGTTCCATTTCTGCAAAAATACAAACGTATTGTGTTAATTATTGCATGCACGTAACAATATCTTAAAACAACAATAATGCACGATATAAAATAACACTTAATTAGTAAACGATCACGTATCTGGATTATTTACAATGGGGAAAGCAAGGAATGACGAGTACACAACCTAATTTAACTCCCATATTGGCGAGTAATTTTTTGCAGCTAATTCAGAATCCGATCAAGCTAACCCGCTAGCACCTTTTTCATAGTGGGTGTTTTAATCTTGGAAATTTCAAGTGTCGAATGATGCTCCGTTACAATACAGTCGGAAACAATATGCACTTTAATGAATAAAAGTAGGATAAAAGGTTCTCATGTTGGAAACGAGGGCGTAGATAGACTACATATGCTAACACTAGCCAGCGGGGCTAGCGTAGCTCTCGGCTGCTTCTGTTTTTGTTGTTATGAAGATGGAGGGCGGACCCCAAACCCGAGGCCTCTGTCAAAACACACCGAGCAGAGGACTCCACCGGTAGAACACTCACCCGGAAAAGACGCGGCAAAAGCCCCCAGTCGCTGATTCATCCACAATCCGTGCAGCTATTAAGCAGCAAACAAACGTCGATCAAATAAAGAATAGTCATATCCAGCTTCACTGCGTCCCTTTGCAACACCGACCCGTCGCCATCGCCGCGAATCTCCAGCCCGACACCGACGTGACGGCAGCGTGACGTGTGACGCAATCGCGTTAGAGTAGTGCTGTGGGCGGGGGAGGGGCGGGACACCACGTGGTATAGAGATGTAAACACTACACCATGGACACTGTAAACAAACGAGCCTGTAATCCTATAAAGCGCATTCTAGGTTGTTTTTTTCCTCTTCATAAGAGCACAGACAACAATACAAACTATTTAGCAATGAGAACTGCATTTGCCTAAAAAGTAAGATATGGCAATGACGCAGTAATGCACACTTTTAGGCTACTTTAAGGCGTTCCGTCTTATTCGGTGTTAAGAACCTTAATCACGCTAGTATATAACCTATGTAGGCCTGTTTTACCCTATACAGCAATAACAGAGTTGAGTAAATCGCTTATTATGCATGTTTAGGAATAAACAGTGATGAAAGAAAACTCCACACAACAGAGTCTTAAACAATTATGTATTGAATGATGGCTTACATATGCAAATTCTTTTCCAAACTGCTGTCCATAGTTTCATGTTTAATGGCCCAAAACACTTTTTCAGCCCAAAGATACAGTTTATTGGCTCACAGCTGACTTTACAAAGGAAATATGTTCACAGAGATAAACATCTGTCAGGGTTTTACATTTATTGATTCAATCAAGTTCATGTGTGACCAATTACCTTAATTTAGTGACTCATGTCAATTAAAAAATAGAAGCATCTTTGTGTGGGCTCCTTTTAGAAAAAGCTTTGCTTTGAAACAAAAGCCCAACACAATAATCACACTGCACCACAAGGCATTAATCCAGAAGGACAATGCAGAGACGTCTGATATGGCACAAAAACAGTACTTTAAATATTCAGGATAAGGTCTAAACTGTTTAGTTTCTAGAGATAGTGAGAGCCAAATGGATCAGCTGCACCATGCAGAGGTGAAGACTTAAGTGCTGATTAATGTCTCTGTGCAAGAACAACACAAAACACACGTTTCCTTCTGAGGGCGTTGCATGCAAAACAATGAGGTGACTTTACATGAGATAATGTTGTCAGAATAAATACATTTCTTCTTCAGTCAAATGTCCATGTACTGAGTATAAGACAATGAGGTCTCCACAAAAGAAATGCCACTTCTATAACCATACAGTAAATTATGCACAAAGATGGTTGTACAAAAACCAGAGAAAGCTGCAGTGGCTCCAAGAAAAACATAATGAGTATTTTAGAGAGCAAAGTCTATGGATCTAAACCCATCAGCCTCAACCTGTTTCGACCAACATTGGACTTTGACACATCTTTAATCAGTGACAAAACAGTCGAGTTGTGCCTCAAACATACGCACAACTTTTGACAGTCCCTTTAACATATCATTTACACACCACGTTGTTTGTCATAGTCACCACCAATGAGGAGAGCAGACTGTTTCAGTAAAGCTTTAAAAAGCAAGACTACCCTGAGAGAAGGTCTAAAATGTGGGCAAGCCTGCCAGACCAGAACTGGCTTCAATGGGTTTGGTTTTATTAAATCTGTACACTCTATTTCAATATAGTCAGCACAATTTGTTCCAAGACTGTAAGATATTACTATTATTATTTTAGTAATTGTGTAATATATAGCTCTACATAATACAATCCAAGTCTTCGGAACTATGTAGACATGTGCAAGTGTTACTACTGACTTCAACGATAACAGTAAAGGCAAAGACTTGTGGACACTAAGTTAGGTTAATGTTGATATTCGAGATTTCTCCTCACAATTATCAAAGTCTAAGTGCTGTAAGTAGTTCATACACGAGGTATTGAATATCTAGGTAACTGAGTATAAAATCGAGGCAAAATACATAAAGAACAACTTTGCAAGCATGACAAAGAAACTTCTACAGACACAATACACAAGTGGTCAAAGATAATATGGGTTACCTGCAAACTTCTGTGTCATTGTAGATAGTGTTATATTGTGTTATGCAAATGAGGGCTATACTGAACTTCCCTGGACCAACCTGCAGAAATGAGATACTTTGTCTAGTACTATTTAAATAATAATTTTATGGATAAAGTGTGCTCACAGCCATTTTTAACCATTTCCGCAAATCACATTTTATATAAAAAAAAGAAATAAATTATTAAAATATTAATCACAAGAAGTTGGAAAATTACTTTATAGAGCTGATTTTTTGTAGATTCAATGCTCATTTCAAAGAGTGTTCACCCCTGAACTAGATGATCCTCCATTCAAGTCAAGTCTGGATAATACAACTTACAATTGCTAGATACGTAACGTGAATGCCTTGGCAGAGGTCTCTACTATGTTGGTGCTATTTGTTTCAGTGACTTGAACTTATCTGAGTATTCCTCCCCCATTTGCTTATTATATGGGTTGTGTTTATGCATAATAATAATGTAATAATGACTAGTTTGCATGAGGTGCGTCAACAGAATCTGAGGTAAACCAGTGGTGAGTGTCTTGGCCTTCAGAGAGGGTCCGAGAGGTAAGTCTAAAGTAAGATGTAAACTGTGCTCCTGCATTAGTACAGCGACAGCACCAGGAAGGAGGGGGAAAAACACAAATATTTTCCACGCTTCAGTTTCTTCTTTTCTGGATTTTTTTGCAGGATTTTTGTTCATCTTTTTTTCGCTCAAATAGTATCACATGAGACTAACTACAGGAGGATAAAAGGTTCAGGTGAGTACCATGCTACATCAGTTTTTTCAGAGAAGGCTATTGCAGACAAACTCTACAACATGTACAACCACATTTTATACGTGTGAGATACAAATAGTTCAAAACATATCACCAAGAAACTAATTTACATACAAGAAGTTGGATATTTAGAGTCTTAAAGGACTATCCCTCAGTCAGTAATAGGATGTCATGTTACTTGACTTAAACTGTCCAGTCTTACAGACAAAATCTGAAAAATTACTATTCAAAAAGTAGCAAATTTGGTCAATGTCTCTTTTCAAATAGTTTTATATAGTGCTTTTAATGGCTTAAGACGAAGGGGTCTTTTTTAATCTCACCCAGTGGCAATCTACAGAACTTCAGTGTACATTTCATGACACCATAGCTGCAAAAGTCTTCACGTCAAGTCCAAATACGACAGCTAGTGCTGCCACAAATATTTGAAAGAAACAAAGAAAGGAAGAAAGCAAAGTTTTAAAAAAGAAAACAAAACACATTAGAAACATTTTGTCAATTCATAAAGTTCATGTAAGGGATTTTAGCCATGTTTAGCTCTAAATCGCCTTTCCTACATATTTTGAGTCTTGGAGGATAGACGTTACATCTGGAAGCGTGTATTTGAAGACATGATTTGAGATACAATTGAAAATCAAAACTCCCATTCCAGTGTTTCTTCCCGGTTGGCAGCCCTCTCTAACCTGTGGATGATGTTATTAAGGTTAGCCATTTTCTCATTGCGTCTCTGAGTGCTTCGGTTCAGTTTGGGGCTCTGAAAAGGCGGGTTGGCGTCCATGCTTGTCGAAGGCGGGTTGGGTACAGATGGTGAGATTGGCGCCGAAGAAGAAGGAACTGGGGAAACGGACATCATGAGACCCGGAGAGGAAGCTGCAGAGGGGGAGTTGAGAGACACTTCCAGGCTGCTACGGGATGGTTCGGATGATGCCTTGAAGCTAACCGGATCGACAGGAGACTTGCCAGATTCGTCCCCTTCGTATTTACACTGCACGGTTTTTGACGATACATCTTCTTGCCTCTGACCAGCTAACCTCACACTGACTGAATCCTCATGTTCGGTTTTTATTTGGGGGAACTGAACGGCTGTGGAGATGCAGTGGATTCGCTCATCATCGCGATCTTCTTGCTTGACGTGGGGTAGGGCGCTGGCTGGACGTCCCGTGTGGGTGGAGGGATGCTGGGGTCTCCTCTCCTCTCCATCAGAGTGGGGGGAGTAACTCAGGTGGTCGGGGTCGGTGTCATTGTCCTGTAAACCCTCCATTAGAACCTCTCGCCGCATCCGGGACCTGAATAATAAAACACAGAGAAATGAAAGATAAGACAATGGACAAAACAACAATGGATAAAAACACCAGTGATGTTCAATCACCAAAAGTGGGTCATGTGTCATGTGTGGGCCAGAACAATTACACTAATATGACTCAAGTGCAAACAGAAGTGTAGCTATTTCTTCCCTTCAGGCAGTGTCCACCAGCACCAGCATTCTGACCAGAACTGAAGAAGCAGCTTGGAAGAGTTGCAAAATGTATTTGACCAAAAAACTTTTGTCCAGTTAACAGAACTTAATTTCTGCTTAGCTATGGGTCATGTGGCTCATTTATTAGTGAGCCTAATCAATGTTTAATGCTTGTAATTGAGATTTTTATTTATTTATTTCAGAATTTTACAAAATTACTGTAGAAGGTCACTTTTATTTGTATATTTATTTGTAAATTTTTTATAAAAGGTAAGTTTTTAATGTACATTTTTCAAATTGGCTGATTTCCTTAATCAGAAAAAAATTGAATTAATTACTTCACCTCAGAAAACACTAGCCAGGCTGGCGCCATCTAGTGCCTCCACTCAATTTAATTTCTCTCCAACGACTAGGTCAAGAATCAGAATACACTATATACCCCAGAAGTGCGAGTTCGGCCACCAGCCAATCAGCGAAGAGTCATACATTCTGTGTTGGCAATGATCCCCGAGATTAAGGATTTAAAGCCGGAACAAAGAGAATGTTCAGTGAATTTTATCAAGGGGAAAGACATTATTGCCCTTCTTCCTAATGGATTTGGGAAAAGCTTAATATACCAGCTGCACGTATTACATACGTCATGACCAAATAGCAGCGATTGCTTAAATTAAAAGAAGTACCCACCTACCATCGAGCAAACGAATCTTAATGCTGCGAGGTCAAACGGTTTCTACGAAGTGAAACCGGCTGATGAATCAGGCTAAGCAAACACAGACCTACATTTAAATTCATTTATTTATTTACTGGTTATTTATTTTTGCTTATTCCAATTCATAAAAAATGTTGGTTCTTATCTCTTTATCTCAACTCTCTTGCTTTATATAATAGATCTTGGCCATGTTTATTGCCAGTCTTTATTTGATTCAGTTTCAATAAATGTAGCCCCCAATGCCACCAGACTAAGATAAGTGTATTGCACACTGGACCTGTAGTTGTGGAACCAGTTGATGACCGTGTTGGTTTTGAGGTTGAGCTGCGCTGCTAGCATCTCGATGGTGTTTTGGGATGGGTAGGGCTCTAGGAGGTAGGCTTTCCTCAGAGCCTCCTTCTCCTCTGCTCCCAACACCACACGGGGCTTCTTGGCCTGGCTGAAGGGACACAGGTCCAGAGAGCTCAGAGCTGGACTCACGCACTCGGAGCGCGCTGTGGGAGAATCACTGTCTGAACCAGTGCTCAGAAGCCCGTACCGCCGCTTTAAATAGGCTGCAGAGAGGATTTCAGTTTAGCATTAGACAAAAAAGAAATGTTGAAAAATGTTATAGAGTGAGTGAGTTCTAAGTAACTAACTAGCTGAATTATGAATAACTAAATAAGCATGTAGAACCTTTCTTCTCCATCTTCTTCATAGCACGAAGTTTGTCGACATTGTGAGGGTCATTAAGCCACAGCTGCATTCTCACAAACGGCTCTCGTCCCTTCAGACTGAGCTTGTGCCATGGTTTGGGCCGAGACAACAGGTCAGACACAGAGCCCTGAGTCAGGCCCAGGATGGTCTCCCCAAACAGTCGCTGGCCTGTAAACACAACATAGATGTACCGCAATATAGTTAGTAAATATAGCCCATAGTAGAAACCAGAGGTAAGACCAAGTTGTTGTTTTGCAAGTCTCAAGTAAGTCTCAAGTCTTTGACCTGAAGCTTGAGTCAAAGTCAAGTCAAAGACAGGCAAGTTCAAGTCAAGTCTCGAGTCACTGGCCCATAAGTCCAAGTCAAGTCCAAGTCGTCTACTTTGAGATTCAAGTCATTTCAAGTCTTTAAACCAAAGTACCAAATAGAGTCTAGATTTTAGCAATTTATATGAATTTTAAACTAAAATGTACTTTAAAAAAAATCATAGTATATTTATATAAGAGTTGTAGTTTTCTTTTTTAAATGTCTTGACAAGATTTCAGTATAAATCATTATGGTCAGAACAGAAAGAATTCAGATTTAAAAGTGCTTCTCAAGTCTTCTTAAGTCATAAGTCTAAAGTAAGAGTCAAGTCCCAAGTTACTGACCTTCAAGTCCAAGTCAAATCCCAAGTCTTAGTCTGTTTTATCAAGTCAAGTCTCAAGTCCTAAAAATAGTGACTCGAATTCAAGTCATGACTTACAATTCCCCAACTCTGGTAGAAACATATTGTGAGATAGTGGGTATCTGATCTCATCTTTGAATTCACTCATTATTGTTAGATTGTCATTAGCTTTTGAAATAATACATTTCTGGTAGATGTGAAAGAAAAGTTTTGTCAGCTATCATTAGAGATTTAAGAGGATGACTGGCAGCAGTTTTTTTTCTATTATGAATATGAAAAAAAAAATTAACCAATGTCAATCAGTATATAAAAATGTAGAAAGGTGTACTGATATAGCGTGTAAACAGATCTATATCAGGTCTAACTATTCCAGGTCTAAACAGGACTACGCAATAGCTCTAGAAACTGTAAACAAGGACTAGCCTGAAGGAAGTCTAAACTGTAATTTAGCAAATACTTGAACTGCACAGGAGTCCATGTACCACAGTTCTTGATTTTGTCTGTATCATAATGCACAACACGTCTTAATTATTTCATGGTTATCATCCAAATGAGTCAAATTTGATAACACAAATAAATAAAATGTATTTGGATGCCTGTACTAACCCAGGTTGTTGTCTGTGAGCACCTCCTTGACCTTCTTGGTGATGGCGTATGTGTCCAGCTCTGGGGACATGGCCACCAGCTCCTGTATGCCCAGCGGGGTAGAGGAGGGTGGCTGCAAGAGGAGGCTGTGGTCGGGGTGAGGGGGCAGACCCAGGGCCACAGGGGGCTGCTGGTTCTCCTTACTGCTCTCCAGTGACAGGCCCACCGGCTCCAGGGGGCTGTGGGTGTCAGGACTGGGGGGCGGAGAGGGCGAGGAGTGGGCAGTCACCGGGCTTTTCTCTGGAGGAATATGGAATAAAGTGAGATTTAAATGTGTAATGTTCTGTAGATTGAGCTGTCCAAATGGCAATACTTAAAAGTTAAATATTTGATATAGACAAGTTTTGAGAGAAATTGCATGGGGGAAACACTGGGCATTTTCTGTCATACATCTTCAAAGACACATTAGATGAATACATTTAAGCTAAAAAAAAACAAAACAACAAAAAATAAAGAAACAAAAAAACAACAACATTTATTTTTGTAATTCAATATAAAACAGGACAATCTAAAAAGAATATTTTAAAAGAGTATAGTGGTAAATGGTAAATGATCACACTCACATTCATACACCAGTATGCACAGACACTGATGTGTGTGCAGTAAATGTCACTGGTTAACTTGTCTGATTATTCTAGTGCATTTTTTTAAAATCCAACTTTGGTAAAATACTTACACAATACACTTTTAAAAGTCTACTGAAATGTATCTTTTCCAATAGAGGTTGGTTTTCTCCATGAATATTGTCTAGAATGTTTTACAGCATGGTATTAAACATTTCTATCTTCATTCAAACCAAACCAGACCAAGTTATAGATCAGATCTGTCGAGAGACAAAGTCAGAATATCTGTTTTTCTAGGTATTTTTGAGCTATAAAACCACATGTAACTGAATAAATCTGTTTAATGTCATACTGTGGAACATTCCAGGCAGAGCGATGACAAATCCTTACATACAAGCAGGTGACGGACCCCAAACCAAAAAGTTACATAGTGCACCTTTAATAACAAAAAAAAAAAGTTTATGGTGGAAGAGCTGACCCTGAGTGTGTCCCTGGTTTGGGGGCTGATTGAGGCTCTGTCCCAGCTGGTCCAGGAGCCACAGCTGCATTCGGATGAAGGGCTCTCGGCCTTTCTGAGTCAGTTTACTCCAGGGTTTAGGACGGGACAACATGTCGCTCACACTGCCCTGTGACAGACCAAGCACCTGCACAGAAAAAAACAACAACAACATATGAATGTGAATGTTGATTAATCTGATTGTCAGTTATATCAACCAACAGTGGTGGAACTACAAGTAGTACTGTACTTAAGTAACATTTGTAGGTATGTGTACTTTCTACTCCGTTACACTTTTGAACTGGACTGAAAAGTAAAACGTACTTTCCAGATGACGCTATTTTTATCGTGTTTGTGGTAACATCCTCATTAAAAGTTTTGAGTTCAAGCATTGGCTTTAAGCAAACACAAATAAATATTCATAAGGAAATTAAGAGACTGATTTGTATGGGCACTGTTAACCAAAATATGTATAATTTTGAATCAATATGACTACATTTAACAAATTGAAGACACTTCATCAAAATCTATGTGAAATACTTTTACTTTTTACTCTAAAAGTACATGGGTACTTTAATACCTTTACTTAAGTAGATGTTTTTCATGTGAAACATTTACTTTTACTAGAGTAACCTTTTGCCTCTATACCTGTACTCAGTACTTTTTCCACCATTGTCGACCAGTCACTGTTTGACTTTCTGTTGGTTAAATCAACAAGTCATGCAAGGCTACTGTTGTATTATGAATTGTATATGTTTTTCAACAGGAACTATTCCAGGCGAGATTTTCTATGTTCTGTTATGTTATGTCTATATGATCTGTGTTATGTCTGTGTTATCTATGTTTGGAAACACAGTAAAATAACATCACAATTGCAGAACTATAGAAGTTAGTCGACATCAAAAGCTACAACATCAAAAACTTTAAAACAGCATCAGTTTTTTCAACAATGTACACATTTTATTAGATGCCCATGGCACCAGGGATTAGCGTACTGTTGCTGCAGCCCCATAATAATCCACTAGATGGCAGCAACATACAAAAAAATTATGACAGTGTTCCATTGAAACAGTGACTTGATGCATGTTTCATGGAGGTGAACAAACAACACAAACACTATAGTACTGTATTGATCCTGTTAAAATGTCACATTGACTGAAATAATATGTCCAACCACAAACCATCAGGAGCTGCATCCCCTTAATGTCAAATTACTTTAGTTCACTGACATTCAAACAGGAGTAAATTTTACCCATTTAGAGGAAAATGAACAGTTAAAATTTCTACTAATCTTTATTTTCCAATTATTCAATATGAGGGTGTTACTCCTGAGCATTTTTCTTGGAAATATATGGCAAAGCATTAATATGTTAAATATATTGAATCATTTACATCATATATCATGTTTTAGCTTTCCGCTTTTACAGAAATCTCATTTGTTAATCTAAATGAGGAACAGTTAGATAAGGCAAACTCCATGTCTAACCTTCTCCCCAAAGATCCTCTGGCAGATGCCGTTTTTGGCCAGTTTCTCCTTGACCTGGCGGGTGAGTTCGATGGTGTCCACCTCTCGGTACATGTACATCTCGTACTGCTCTGGAGTGAGTGGGGGGACAGTGGGTTTGAGGGCGCGGGGGATGTAGGCTGGGTAATAAGAGAGGCCCCTTGCAACTGGACCAGGAGACTCCCCACTGACAGAAGTGTCCGACTCCACCTTCACCTGTGGATACAACAAACGGCACAGAAGGGTGATCATTTTAGTTTAGCAAAGTTCAGTTTAAAATAACTTAAGGCCCAAGTTGGTCCACTGGGTTAAACAGTATATGTATATATATATATATATATATATATATATATATATATATATATATATATATATATATATATATATATATATATATATATATATATATATATATATATATATATATATATATATATATATATATATATATACACAGAACTAGTTCATTTTTCCAGTAGTCCAAAACCTTATGCATTCTGAGTAGTTAACCACAGTTTATAAGCTTGAAGCTTGTTTCACAACGCTCAGAAACCACTTTGAACTGACGATAAAGCTTACAACAACTAGCATGTTAAAACACACTTCCTGATTATATAATTATGCTTTCTAATTAGATGCATGCAGCTGAGTTATTTTGACCTCAAGTGCTACATATATCTGTACTGGGGCAAGCCAGTTTTGCTCAAATACGTGGGCGCAGGTTCTTTGATGTTAAAGCTTGCAAATTATAGGATAAGATATGAAATATGTTGGAACAAGTTAGGACTGGAAAAATACAGTGGAAGTGCAGTGTTATTTATACCTCCACGGGACGTCCCAGCCCGAGCTCGTCCTCTGCAGCTGACGCCTCCTCACTGTTGGGCAGAGCCTCTCCATTCTCCAGTCGGGGCCAGGGCCGGGACAGAGCAGGAGGTCCAGAGGAGGAGGACGACAGAGATGGAGATACAGAATTATAAGGTCTGGAACTGCTCCCGGTGAGCCCCAAAGCAGCACGCTCATGGGACCAGTGCTGATCGAAGTACGTGCCCGCCTCCCCGATTTCAGACTTGACTTTTCGGATGATGTTTTGGACGAACGCGGCCGGAGAGAGGACACTGAGAGGGGTCTGGGGGCTGCTGATGGAGCTGGCCATACACACAGTGACACATCCGCCCTCCTCCTGTTTGATGGAGATGGGGAGAGTTGGGACCCTGGATCTCTCAGGGGGGCCCAGACGCTCCACCTGTGCCCCAGAGCCCACACTGGGGGCCCGGCCACACACCTCCATCTCCATGAGTGCGTGCTGCTGCGCCTCCATCTCTCTTCGCGCCTGCTCCAGGATGGACTTGATAGTGTCATCTGAGCTGCTGCCAGCGCCATTACTGCTGCGGCTGGACAGGCTGTTCAGGGATGACTTTGTGTCTACAGAAAAGAGATCACAATAGTTACATATAAGCATATTATTTAGAATTTTCAACAATTAAGATGGTATTGATGGGGTTCAGATGACATCACACCATTTTATAGGCCAATTATTGTAATACAGATGAGGGCAGGTAAAATGACTATTGTTTACATGCAGATTTTCTTTGTAATACAGTGTGATCTTGGGTCTAGTCACTAACAAAAATCACCAAGTTCAACATTTGTGAATTCGCTGTTTACATCAGGGGTGTCAAATTCAAATTCAGGGGAACAATTAGAAACTGGGACTAAGTCGTGGGCCAAACTAAATATTTATTGAAACATTTCAGCATCTGCATGTTTTCTCTTCTTTCGAGATATGTAATGTTAAACCTTTTCTTATTAAAATAAATGTTTAATAATAGTTTTGCTTAAACACTGAATCCAGAACAAGCATAATATAAAATAATATGAAAATTATATAATAAAAATATAATATTATATATATATATATATATTATATATATATATATATATATATATATATATATATTATATTATTATATTATTATATTATTATAATATATATATATATAATAATATATCACAGGCCAAATTTGGCCCCCGGACTGAGTTCGACATGTCTGTTTTAGATATTATGATGAAGTTCAATGTAATCAATAGGGAAAACTGTCCCCCATCTGGGGTATGACATCACATTTGAGAAAAAAACACCTACTGTTTCTATTTTTATGACATTTCAAATCATGTTTATGTTTTGCAGAAAAAAAAAATACTGTTACTACAAAATAAATAAATAATAAATAAATAATAATGAGCATGGGTCACTGATATGTTCAATCACTTTAAACCAAGGAGTCCAAAATTTTTTAGGCCGGGAAACCCAAAAATAACTTAGCAACCAATCCTGAGCCCCGAAGGAAAACTGTTGAAAAAGTGGCAACACATTAAAAATCTGGTTAAATTGCAGTATAAATCAGAGTAGCTTTTGGGTGTAATTTTGCCAACAATTATGGTTAAAAAATAATTAGATACAGAGTCATACTTTTTAAGTTATATTTCCAAATGATTTTAAGAGCCCCCTCGCTCAGTGCCTCGTGACCCTCACATTGGGAACTACTGCTTTAAATGTTGAAACAACAGAAAAGTTCTTGAACAGTAAAAAGTGATCATTCAGTGCTTGAGATGGCTGTTTTATACAATTTTTCAAACAGGTTGAACTATGTGACTTCCTCTCATACATCGTCAACAATTCTGACAAGAGAGAAAGTACATGTTGATAAAAATTCTTGATGTCCAAAAACCACAGCGCCTTGTCTATGCCTTGTCACTCCGGGCTGCACTCACCTCCCCTCTGGGACTGGATCTCCTTTTTGGCCTGCTCCAGGATGCTCCGAATGGCATCATCTGACCCAGTTTCAGGAGTTCGGATTCGCGGCGTGATGCTCCCTGCCACAGAGGGTAAAGAGGGGGGGAGAGAGAGGGTAAGAGCAGGGAGAGAGAGGAGAAGGGGAGAGAGAGTGAGTGGGTTGGTGGATCACAGAGCAGTTCCAAGACTTGCTTTTGACTGCTAGATCAATGGTTGCCTTTGAGCGCGTGCTGTCTGAGGCTGCAGTATACGGGAAGCTCAACTTTCAAACGCGCAAGAATCTGGGGAGAAAACAAAGTTGAAAAGTAACGCTACAAACATGGCACAGGAAGCGCCACACGACAGTCACGGCCGGATGAGGTCCTACTAGATTAGAGAGGTTAAAGGCGGAGTCTGTCCACACAATGCAACAACATGGAGAAGTCAATGGAGCTAGGGTGAAAAAAGTGAACTATGAATACAACCTAATTTATAGTAAGAAATCATACCATAACATAGGATGAGTGTTTTACATTGAGATACACAGAGTCAACTTTTTATTTGTTTGTTTCTGAAAGGTTCAAAGATACAGAGTTAGTCTTGCCTCTACTGAGAGTTATTTCAATACATTGATCTATCTGACGTCAGTTGGCCTGCCTGATCTGTAGTTTGTGTAATGTATTTAATAAGCTGTGGTCTATGATCATGTAACACAGTGATGAATTTAGGTTGTTCTGATGTATTGCTCTTGTTATTTAATTATTAGTAGCAGCTATGAAAAATGTATGTTTAAAACAGATGCCGAGCATGTGGATGGATTGTGGACAGAACTGTATAACTGCAAATGTGCTTGGAAAACAGTTCAAACTAAAATTCAGTCATGAAGGGAAATTAGTACTACCCACCTACTATCAGAGACGGCGCTACCATTAGGCACCAGTGGGCGGCTGCCTAGGGCCCCTGAACCTGGAGGGGCTCCCAATCAATTGCCTTCTGTGCCGCCAATGGCTGAGGCCTCAGAACAATTTGATTTTCTCTCGGATTGACATTAAATGAGAGTGATTTACTTTTAAACAATAAAACACCATCAAAATAAAAAAAATCACAATCAAAAACAAGCCACTACAATTTAAAAGGAACCTACATGTTTAAAAAACCCAGATTCAGGGTTATGGTTATGGAGTGAAGCATCGCTGTGAAAGGAGTTAACTTATGGAATAGTCTTGACAAGTACAATCAAGTACAATGATGGCATAAAAAAAAACCAAAAAAAAAGAAAACTTTGTTTGAAAACAAAAGTGTTTGTGCATAATAGTGAAGATTTCTGATTGTAATTGATTAATAATTGTGCCTGAACTAAAATGTACTGATTTGAAATGTTCTAAAGTAACTATCGGTGTTGATGTTTTGTCTTGAAAAGGGAAAAGGGGACAGATAACTCTTCTCTCTGCTCCTTTTCATTCATTTCTTGTATGTTTGATGTTGTGACTCTGTTGACATCTTTTTATACTTTATGAATGAAATAAATAAATATTAAACAGCAAAATAGAATCTGATTGCCAAATCTATTTTGATTGTCAAAGCATCCCCCCTTTCACATTAGAATAGATTAGTCAGCTTAACCCTGATTTGAACATAATGATAGCGTAATCATAATCATATGTAATGGATGTAAACAAAAATGTAATTGTACTAGCAAAAAATAAAACTACTTTCAGCTCTGGTTATCTAGTAGGCTACCTAAATAGTAAGACAAGTTTCCAATGAACTCTAATTCAAATAAAGATGTGCATGTCTCATGAACAATGGGAAAAAACAGACCATAAATATTTTTTTAAAATACAAAAAATACCCCATCAAAACATGACTATTATTATTGCATTATAGTGAATGTCCCAAACACAAGGTCACCTAGGGCCCCCAAAATGCTTAACTCTGCCACTCACTATCTGTACTTATCTATAGAGGTAAAAAGTAACTAATTACAATACAACACTTGTAACTGAGTATAATTCTAGACATGGCATAGTAATTATCTACTTTTAAGATCATAGGAGTGCAGTACAGGTCTCAATTACACCAATGCACAGTTGTTTCTGCTGTCTATACAGACATAAGAATATGTGGACTGTGGTTCAATTTCAAGTTCAATCAATTTCAAGTTCAATCAATTTCAAGTTCAATCATTTTCAACCTGTATAATTAATCATGTTTATTTAAAGGCCGTTTACAAAAATACCATAAAAATAACCCAGAGGAATGAATATTTACACGATTTTTCATGCATGCCTTTTATTTTTACTTAAGAACTCATTTGGCAGCAGTATTTGTACTTTTAATCAGGTACATTTTAATCCATGTACTTGTACTTGTGTACACATCATCACTACTCTTTCCAATACTGCTTACCTATATGGAGAATTAAAACATATACACATATCCCACACATCTTGCTGCTCACCTCTCTGTCGAACTTGGATGGTCCTCAGTGCCAGGATGTTCTGCTCGTCAGACAGAAACTGCTTCATTTTCAGAAAGGGCTCCTTCCCCTTCACCGTCAGCTTCCTCCAGGGTTTGGGTCGGGCCAGGATCTCGCTCACCGACCCCTGCGACAGCCCCAGGACGTAGTGGCCAAAAACCCTCTGTCCAATGTTGTGCTTCAGAAGCTGCTCCTTCACCTGGAAAGCAATCTCCGCTGTGTCCACCTGGTCGTCCTCCCCCGTTGAACTTCCGCTTTCAGATTGGTCACTCGGCAATCCCTGGTCTGCATTGCCCAAGCCCCCACCTCCTCCACCAGGTCCCTACAAGGAGAGATATCAAGATCATTCGATTAAAGGGCCTGTACCTGATTTCAAACCATGAATGAGGAACATGTTTTAGATTGAACCCCTTTTAGCCCTACCCACTCATCCAGTCTGTTAACTCAATGTCTGCCTGTTATTAGCCTTTTGTCACTCTTGAAAATCAGCCATGACAGGAAATCAAGTGTCTGGCATGGTAACTTTCCCATGGTTCTTAGTAACAACGTTTTCAGTAAAAAATTTAAATCAGGTCAGCCCTTTCATTTATACTAACCCAAAACACTTACCAAAGATAAATGCTCTTTACAACATGCATTCTAGGTTAAAGATGTTATATATCATGTTTTTCAGACTATAAATCACAGTTTTTTTAATGTTTTTTTTGGTCATGTGACTTATACTCCGGTGCTTCTTGTATATTAAAATTTTAAGACTGACAGCTGCGAGAGGGAGAGTGAGAAACTAGTGAGGGGCTGTCGGAAAGCGGGGATGGAGAACACAGCTTCACGGCAACCAGGAGGGTGCGCCACGCAACTTTCCTGGAAGTCATCAGATGGATCGACAAAGCCTGGACTTCAGTGACAACCAAAACCATCCGGTCAGGATTCAGAAAGGCTGAAATAATTCTAACTGGAACTGACGCTAAGTCTGACGACAGCTACGCAGAAGAGGAAGCGGTGCTCCGTTTACCTCTGGAGGTCACGAAGTGACACAGAAGTGACACTGAGGATGTAAAATTCAATGGATTTAGTGATTTGGAGTGAGATGGAGAGTTTGGTAAACATGTTATGTTCTGTTGTTTATGCTATTGTTATCTGAAGAACTGTTCATATGTTACACCTGTTGTTCTATTGTTGTTACTATTATCATTATTCTTTGTAATAATAGTAAAGAAGCAACAGACAGGGCTCACCTTTTAATCCAATTACACACATTGTTACAGAGAATCATGGGAAATCAACTGCCTGACACTATTCCAGACATTTGATTCTCTGCCATGTTGCATTTTCAAGAGAAATTAAAAAGCAAAACATAGGCAGAAATTAGAACGAAGAAATATAAGGAAGTGGGCATGGCTAAAAGTAAAACTAAATCATGTTCCTGACTCATGGTTCAAAATCAAATACAGACTCTTCAATCAAGATATTTAGGCCACAATGTAATCGTGACAAATAAAAAATAATTATTGTGACAATTTTCGAAGCAATATTAAACCTTTTTCAAGTAAAACTATAGTCCAAAAAAGTATACATAAATGTCTATTAAGCTATTTATGTCACTTTAACTTAACTTTTAAGGTGCATTGTTATTGCTTTGTCTAGAACACAGGTGTCAAACATAAGGCCCGGGGGCCAGATCCGGCCCTCCAAGACCTTTAATGTGGCCCTTGGGTGATTTTCTACTAAAATATTTTAATTATATTTTCTATTAAAATATTGGTAATTTTCTGCGGTGCTGAGCATATCAGTGTCTCCAGCGTCTCTGTGCGTGACCCCTCCCACCAGAGCAGCACAAATGAAGACTTGTCTCTTTCCAAACGCTCTTAAAGGACGATCGTTTTGACTGTTGACCGTGACATCAACAAAATGTCCAACATGAGAAAAGTGGACGCAGAGTGCAGGATTTTCCAAGAAAAATGGACTTATTCCTGTTTTCATACAAGTTATTTTTTATTTTCAAGTTTCAGGTTGTTCATAATATTATAATATTATAATAAGAAAGAGTTCATCAATTAAAAAAGATTTCTGTAATAGACTTTCATTTCTCTGCAGAAATATTTGAAGTTATTGTTATTTTTGGGGTTTATATGCCATGAGTTTTCTGATCCGGCCCCTTTGGGATCAAAGTAGGTTGGATACGGCCCCCGGACCAAAATGAGTTTGACACCCCTGGTCTAGAATATTTCACAATATGTTATTAAACCTTTCTATCTTCATGGAGACCAAAATAGACAGAAGACAGAAGTTACAGGTCAGATCTGTGGAAAGGCAACTCTGCTCACACCATTTTTCTAGATATTTCTGAGCTATTAAACAACCTGTAAGTGAATAAATGTAAGGTCATACTGTGGAAAATTCCAGGCAGAGCAATGACATATCCATAGAAACAAGAAAGTGAAGGACCCCCAACCGAAATGTTACACAGTGCACCTTTAACATTCAGAAAGGTAAATTTTTTGTAATTTTTCAAGAAAGTTTGATATCATCACTATACCTGGGAGCTGGACATGAGTGCAACTTTGGCAGCGTAGAGGGCCGTGGGGAATGCCATGAGACCTTCCTTCTTGAAGTGTGGGGAGAGGAGCTGCTTGTGGAGGATATGGTCTCCTGATAGTCGGTCTGTGGAGCTGGGGGAGGCGGAGAAGGGCCTGGTCAGGTCGTGTGCCGTGGTGGAGGAGGCGGAGGAGGTGTCCGGGGTCGGGGTGGGTGCGCTGGGGGAAGAGCGAGCGTCCGCCTGGGAGGAGGATGAGTGGGACACTAGGGGGTGCCCCGAGTCCCTGCCGCCGTCTTCTGAGCGGTCTTCATCTAAGGAGAAGATAACGAAGTATAAAGGTTTAGGGGAATTAGTAATATAGAGTTAAAATTCGCATGGGGCTGAAAAGAGAAGATGAATTCACAGTATGAGTATTAATCCATGTATCTTTAGTTCATTCGTTTTCCAATATAAAACCAAAAATAAGAAAACAAAAAAACAATTATTTTCTTCATTATGAAGAATGAAGAAAACTGTAGTTTTTTCATGTTCTTATTTTTGGTTTTATTTTGAAAAACAAATGAACAAATGATACATTGATTATTATTCAAAGTAACTATAAATAACATATGGTTACTGGTCACTACTGCAGCATCAAGCATCATTCTGACACTAACACTGAAAGACACTGTCACTGGTGTGTTACAGAAAAAAACAATGAAGGCTGGAAGATTTAAGCAGCAACAAAGTTCTGATTCACAATTTTGATTCAGGTCAGATGAGACTGAGGAGAGAAAACATGTGTAACTCAATAAATATAAGATAGATCAGTTTAATGCCATACTGTAGCACATTCCAGGCAAAGTAATTACATCTCCACAGAGACAAGCAGGTGGCAGACTCCTGTTGTGGAAAAATAGGATCCTTTACTGAGCCTTGGGGAGTTTTGAAATTTACTGCTTGTATTGTAGAGGCAAGAGTTTGAAAGACCCTCGCTTCTCAGTCTGCTGCACGTCTCTTTTAAAATGAGCCCATTATAAAGAAACGAGTCAGGGGGAGGGGCTTCCAGTCAGACAGGTGGCCCTGATACAAACAGTGTCCCTTCCTACTGTAGATAGGAGATAGATGTGTCTGCTACTTTTCTTCACATATGTTAATGTCTGGCATGGTTCTCGGGTTGCATGTCAGTCCCACTTTCTTTTGCATGTAGGAGGGTCTAGAACAAGATCATGGAGCACATCAGGCAACCGTTTGATACAATCTAATGTTTTTTCAAATGCGGAAGACATCTCCCTTAAATTTTCTGGTAGCATTCAAATCATAATGTGCAATTTATTTTACCTCAGATTTATAAGAGTTTTGTTGGGGGTTTCCTAGTGTCTGCAGAAATAAGTGCTGTTTCTGTATCCTCAAGATAAACAGATCACTATTTCTCTGGTTGGTTTATCCATTTGTCAGTCACAGCCTCTAAAAATCGAGGAGACAGGATACAGGTCCAGACTTTATGTCTTTAAAAAAAAAGTTAAGCCTTGTAAAAGCTAGTGACTTGGCTGGCCATGCAAGTTAAAAGGCAGAATCTCATGCATTAACACAAACAAATATGGCAGAAATCCTACTCAATCAGACCTTAAATATCCACAGATTTTCATCACAGCCCCCATCGGAAAAGTTACATAGTGCACCTTTAAGTGAACATAATACTGCCTTCAGATCTAGAGACATTTACTAATAACATTGCATATGCTTTTTTGTTTTTCAATGCAACCACAAGAGTTTATGCAAAGAGCCTTAAGTCTGAAAAACATTGATCTGTGAATCAATTGAGCCTGACCACAAGGCGCCGAACAATCAGAGAGCTGACGGCGACAAGTTTCCCTGTTTTAAAAATGCTTAATGTCTCCTCTGTCTCATGTAATACCCCTTTAAACAAATACACGGTCCTCTTACCGTTACTGTGCAAAAGCCGAGCCTTGTCCACCAGGTATTTGTGAGATGGAAGAAAGGCCTCTTTATCCAACAAAAGTGCCTCTGCAGCTTTGGCAGAATCCTATATAAAAGTAAACACACACCAAACACCAGCTGTTAATTTCAATCAATCGATATCCACGGCCGCAGATAGCCTTATAATGGATGATGATCACTGAGGCATTCAATAGCCCTGCAAACTTTCTCTCACAGCACCCAGAATACATTAGAACTAGAAATGCTAACTTTGTAACAACAGAAAACTTGTGTCGTTTTAGCACGTACCTGTGTGGAGCTGCCATTTGCTGAAGCCAGTTTCATTACTTTTAAGATACTGAGAAGAAAAACAACACTTATATAGTTAGTTACATACACATATTGTAGTGGCATTGATTCATGAAAGATCTATACATATATATATATTTAAACATACAATGAACTACACTAAGGAAGCTATATTATAATTACAATATATAATCATAAGTCATGAGTCACACCTTTAAAGTCCACTACGTAACTTTTCTGGTGGAGGGTCATTGTCGGGTACCTGCAGGTAAATAGTTGCTGAAACAGGTGGGTTTTAACGTTCTGGAATTTTACGGGTGCGGGTGGGTAGTAATTACACATGGGTGGGTCAGGACTAAACCAGAACTACACCAGGACTAAACCAGGACTAAACCAGGACTAATTTTGGAGAAACCCGAGTCCGTGGAGCAGGTGTCCGCAAAGCAGGATCGGGCAATGGCTGCCCTTACCTCTGTGCGGCACGGAGCTCTATGCCAGTCCTTTTGTCTGCAGTCACCCTACATTCTACACGATCAGTCCTGGGTTAGTCCCAGTTTAGTCCTGGTTCAGTCCGTGGTGTATGTGGCGCAAAAGTGTGGCATCAGTGTTTCTTCTGCTCAGTAAATAATGCCTGTGAAGTGAAGACAGTCGAATCGTGTCTGTCATATTCGCAAAGAAGAAAACGTAACCGTTACATTTCATTTCGTGATTGTAATTCTTGAAGTCGTAAATTTTCAATTCGTATTCTGATGGATGCTTCAGTTAGAATGCTTTTAATTTCTGTGTGATTTATCACGAGCATGGGTGGGTAACAGGGGGAATGTTACCGGGTCTGGGTGGGTGCGGGTTTAACGTTGATCAAATCACTGGTTAAGGGGCGGGTGTGGTGCTGTACTGCATGGGTGTGGGTGGGTGCGGGTCTCCAAAAATGGACCCATGCAGGACTCTGCAGTATGGCATTGTGTTGATGTACTGTATCTTGCATTTTTCTTGCAAGTCTTATATTGCTACAAAAATATCTTGAAAAACATGCTTTCTCAATGTGAGTGGGGTTGATCTCTCCACAGATCTGACCAGTAACTAGCATCACCTACTTGTCTCCACGGAAATGGATATGTTTAATGCCATATAGCGGAACATATCAGGAAAATCAATTACATTCCCATGGAGACAAGATGACAGACCCTCCATCTAAAAAAATTATGTAGTGTTCCTTTAAGGGTAAAACTGCACATTCCTACAAAAAGCTACTTAATAAAAAAGTTGGGTGGAAAAGCTTGTTAACAAATTGAAGTAACTGTTCTTAAATATAGCAAATCTGACAGTCACCTGAGTTCAGTTTTAATCTCTTCATAGTCCATCTGGGATTGCAATTTAGCTTCTAATCTCTGAAACAAATACAGACGAGGAGCACATTTAGCAGGTGTAACAAGAAAAGTTTTAATCACAGTTTTCCCATGTGTTTCCTGTAATAACCTCAATAGCTTCTGTTTTATAGGCCAACTGCCGCTCCAGCTCCACGATCTGATTGGCTGAGCTTTCCTGCACTTCCTGGAGTGTGAACTGCAGTCTCTGGATGTTCTCGAGGAGACGCAGGATCTCACGGTCTTTCGCCAAGAGAGCGGCCTCCAGCTGAGATGGCAACAGCTCTGAATCCTCACTTTTGTCCTGGAACAAATACAGAAAATGATGATGAAGGAGAGTGGTATTAACAGGGAGTAAAATGTAGAACAGCAAATTTTATTATAATGCATAAGTAAGGCAAATATACTATGAACAGGTTATTTTCAACAGAGAATGAGAGTGTAGAAAATCTCATAAATATATAAATGAGAACTTGGCATCTCACAGTTAAGTGGCTGATTTATTTTTTTTATTTTTTTTATTTTTTTTACTATAACAGAATATAACATTTAACAAAATGCAATAATCATAAAAACACAACACAAAAACATAAAGCAACACCTACAACACCCACAACAAATACAAAACAACAAAAAATGCCCCCTCCAGATTTCCCCCCGACCACACACACCAACACACATTTGGTTAAATAAAACAAAAATAACGAGGTAGTGCAGCATAAACACACCGCTAGGCCCCCTTACATTTATATATTTTGGCCAGTTTATAATTGAAATTCCTTTACTCCCTTTCTTCTTTCATTAAATAAGCATTTTTAGTCCCTATACTTAAACTAATATTATTTCCACCATCATTATTTCCTTTCATCATCTTTTACTATTTATTACAAACTCAAAGCATAATTTTAAAGGCATTTCCTTTCCTGTCCTTCCTGACCAACACACTGCTGAGACGCACATAAAACAAGAGCAAACTCCTTGATTGCTGTTATATTTCTTTACATCAATGCCACTTACCCTGGTGGCGCCCTCTGCAGGATTACAGCTGCCGGTGGTGCTGGATAACTGTTCCTTTAGCCTCTCCACTTCCCTGTGAGCGTTTTCTGCTTTCTGGAAAAAACATACATCAAAACCATTACTTTATCTCACAAGCATCTCTTGACCACTGAGTTATATATAGCTTATTTTATGATGGTAGTCTCAAGAGGGTCAAAATGTCAGTTAAAGAAATATTAGTACACTGCAGGTGAATACGGGGGAAATCTTTTGCTGTTTCAAGTTTTCATCATGTGAGTTTTCCATATAAATTACAGTGAAAAATCTGTACAAATGGCCAAAATTGCATATATTTGGGAAGTATAAATTTGAAAAATTGATAGAGTCAGAAGAGGGGATATTGAATATGTTATTTAGTATTTGAGTAAACTAGGTTTTACCTAAAATTTGTGAAAATTCCACAGTATTTGGAAGTCTTTACTTAGGCCCCATCCACACTAGTACGTATTCGAGTCGTTTTTGTTGCAGATGCAGTGTTCATCCACACTAATCCGATGGAAAACAGCTCCAGAGACGGAATGATCTTGTGCCGTCAGCTTCCACGAATTCGGAATACGAATACGGATCTGATCTGGCATTGTGTGGACGCCTGAAAACGTTGATACGCTGAAGTAGGTCTATGCGCTGCAAAGTAATTCACCACCAAAATGCTAAGAGGCTAGAATATATGTCCATTCATATATACGGTCTATGTATGACCTGCAGATGTATGATGTCTGAAAAGTTTAATATGAACCATATCCAACACGACAGAAGCACAGAACAGACTCACCATCAGCAGAACACCCGTCTGTCACAGAAAGAACACTCATATTCCACTGAGTCATGTCCTTTAGTCCGACAGAAGCTGAACCGCATCAGAGCACAATTGTGAGCCGTTTTTTGAGCTCTCAGTTTATGCAAATTAGCCATGCGGTTAAGTTTTGTTTCTGTAGAATGTAAACAAATATGCTCAAAGCTGTGTGGATAGGGAAGGCTTGTGGACACAGACATGCTTGTGGACACAGACATGTCTGGACACAAGTCACTTCCGACACGGTGATATGGTGATTCGTTTCAATATAAACCTAGGTCTTACTAAAAATTGGTGAAAATTCCACAGTATTTGGGAGTCAGCACTTTACTTAATCAGGCATAGAATTTAAATATTAACAAATCTAAATACAAGATTGCACAGTTCGGTGTACAAAAAATGTTAACGCTCTACCTGCAGTGTCTCCCCTTAAATGAGCCTTAAATAAAACTTTATATTGTTTCCTTTTATTTGGATCAGAAAGCTTGGCTGTTAGCTCTGAATATTTTCTGAACATACACTGATGCAGGTCAAAGCAAACTGCTGATAAGATAGTTAGACTTCATAAAGGTGAGGCAGGGCGTGCACATAAATCACAGATAGTGCCCTGGCTCTGAGGGGGAACCTTCGCAGTCACCGCTCCATTCTGCTGAAAACGCTCTTTAGTTCGGCCCCACTTTATTCCCCAAACTGTTTACCTGCTCTGTCAAAACGTGGCTGCCTAATTAATGCTTCATATTGAGGACATTTATCCACAGAGAAGCTCGAAGTGGAAGCATTAGCGTCGAGGTAGAAAGCAATCAAGTGTGTGAGCGAAATGAAGGCTTCAGTGAATGGATAAACTCTGGTGCCTAGACCCTGGTAAGTTTCATAAGACTCAATTGATAAAAAGGAGGAGAAGGACAGACTGAGGTGGCAGAAGGAGCTGCTGCTGTGCTTGAGTGAAAGAGGATACGTGAATGAAAGAGAGCGTGTATTTCTAGGAATATCTTGAGATGTTATTAGTTGAGAGGCAAGGTAGAAAAACTGTTGTCTGGTTGAAATTTCACTACAGATTTCAATTTAAAGTCAATTTAAAAATATCACTTTTATCGTCTTCTTGTCTGCACAAAAATATTATTGCACTGTCTGAAATGTTCTACAGTATGGCATTAAAAGTATTTATTTTGCATTTATCAAATTACAGGTGTTTTTATTGCTATAAAACAAGTAAAGTTTAAGTTTAATGCCATACTGTAGGACATTCCAGACAAAGCTCATCTTAACTAAGGCAGCAGAACCTCCACCAAAAAAGTTCCACAGTGTACGATTAAAGAGTACAAAAAATTAGCATAATTATTGTGGATCTTATTGCAGTGTCTTAAAAATAGCTGGCTGAGTCACTACCAAATTTTACTGCCGGCAATAGCACTTAAAGGTCCTTTATCACACAAAATTGACTCTTATGAGCTTTAAGCCACGTTAAATGTTAAATGTTGTTACTTCATCAAAAACAACCAGCAGTTGTGTTTGAGTAATCCTTTATTATTAGTCTGTCTACATCTCTTAAGCGCAAAATCCTCTGTTCCACCTTGTGATGTCATGAACAGGGAGTTTTCAAGTTATTGTCGTTTTCATGTTTTCATGTTAACAACGAGCATGTTTCAACAGACGGTTTCACTTCATGGAAAACATCTGACCTCACAGCATTAGGATCTGTTCACTCGACGGTAGGCGGGTACTTGTTTTTATTTAACCAACCGCTGCTATTTGCTATTATATAATGCACCAAATGCTGAAGGGCAATAATGTCTTTCCCCTTGATAAAATTCATCACACATTCTCTTTATTCCGCCTTTAAATCCTCGATCTCACCAACACAGAATGTATGGCTTCGTCTGCAATTCAGGGGTGTCAAACTCAAATTCACAGAGAGCCCAAATTAAAAACTGGGACTAAGTCGTGGGCCAGACTAAATATTTATTGGAAACATCTGCACGTTTTCTCTTCTTTTGAGATATGTAATGTTAAACCTTTTTTTTTTTTATTAAAATAAATGTTTAATAATAGTTTTGCTTAAACATTGAATCCAGAACAAGCATAATATATTATGTATATTATATAATACTATATGTATATAATATTTTTCTAACACAATTTTACATAAAGAATGTCTCTATAGCCTATCTGTAGCAAGCTCTAATAAATATTTTATATGATCTCACGGGCCAAATATAATTATAACGCAGGCCAAATTTGGCCCCTGGGCCTGAGTTTGACATGTCTGGTCCAGTGTATTCCAATTCCTGACCTAGTCGCTGGAGAGAAATGAAATTGAGAGGAGGCACTAGGTGGCGCCAGCATGGCTAGTTAAGAGATTGTCAGTTCCAGGGCTGAAATCATCCAAATAATTCTAGCAAAGGTGTATGGAAACACAGTGGAGAATTTCCTGTATGTACATGACATCACAAGGTGGAAAAGACTGTTTTCTGTTTGAGAGAAGAACTCAGCCTAAATATGCAGGGTTTGTGTGTTGAACATATGTGAATGAAACAAAACACAACTCGTGGTATATTTTGATGAGGAAACAACATTGTAGATCAGATCAGAAGATAAGCGTAATATGGGTCCTTTAAAAATAAAAACTGAATCGATATTAGTTATTATCATTGCATATTTGACTAACATTATGCAGAAGCAGAGCAAAGGCAGCAGTAACATCAGACTAAGAAGCAATCAAGAAAACCAGGAGGAAACGCAGTGTTATGCCGCTGTAGTGCACCTCCTCCCAGGTTTACACAGGCTAATCACCCACTCTGAGCGGAGGGGTGGAGAGATGGAGAGAGAGGGAGAGAAAGAGAGAGGGGGAGGGGAGGGGCGAGGAGGGCAGGATGGAGGGGGTGCAATTAAAGTTCGGGCCTGATTAGACGAGTGATTGCCCTAACGAAGAGGCGTCTCAATCAAAAAACTCACCTGGTTCGCCGTCTTCAGGTCGGCCATGATGCTGTGGACCTCCTCGGCTCTGGGACACACACAGAGACCAGTGAAAACAGATTACTGAGAGCCTCTCCACTGTACACAATGAGCCCAAGTGTTGTGCCACATTTGGCTAATTCTGCCGTGATTTGTGCAAAACTCAAAGTGGGTGATTTGTGAAAGTGAAAACAAGAAGTGATGAAAGTTGGATGACCTTGTTACAGCAGATTACAGCGGAGATTAGCGGTTTAATAAAGGGGAAACGCGGGGAGATGTAATTGCGATGGATTTTGTCATGATTAGCGTTGGTCAAACACAAATGGTGGCTATGTCTTAATTAGCGTCGGGATATCTAGTTGAGTCATTTTTATTTAGGTTTGCACAATATTTCAAAAGTATTGCATTGTTTTTAGACGCTCAACGGGAGGTGGGTAAAGTATCTTGCTTAAGGGCACAACATCAGTATGTCAGACTTTAAAAACCTTTTCTTTTAGGACGTAACGCTTGAGTTATCCATAGGTTTCAGAATTATGAAAATTAGGGTCAGTGCATAGTGATTAACAATTTAAAAGAGGAGTGGGCAATTTTATTATTTTTTTTCCATGGGGCCACATGAGAAACAGAAAATATTGAGGAGGGCCAAAACGCTTAACTCAATTCTGCATAATAGTAAATGTGTTTCTTTATAAAAAAGCAGGAAATAGCAATGTTTTGACAAGCTGGTTAGACTGGTAAGGGTATATGTTATCAAAAAGTGATGCTGCCTTACAAAAAATGTGATTTAAAAAACATCTCTAAAATAAAAGCAATGCAGCTCTAGTCCATGCATGAGGTAAAATTATAAAATACTGTATGTTTATTTTGTAATTCCAAATTAGCTTAAAGGTAGTAGATTCATCAGCTGGTTTCACTTCGTGGAAACCATCTGACCTCACAGCATTAAGATTTGTTCACTCGATGGTAGGCGGATACTTTATTTATTTAACCAAACATTGCTGTTTGGTTGTGAAATTTGCAATGGTCCAGAGCGTTCAGTGATGTCCAAGTAATTGCCAGCACAACCGCCAACAAAGCAGAGAGTGAACATGTCTGTCAACGATAACTGTTGTTTCTGCGAGGTGAACTTGCGAATTAAAGCTGCAATAAAAAAATGCAAAGCTTGTATTTGCCAAAGGAAGTCCAAAGGAGGATAGTGTGTGCAGTCTGCTGTCGCAACTCGGATTAGTTCAGCTCTTCGCTGATTGGCCGGTGCACGGTCTACAAGTTCTGGGGTTCTTGCAAACTGTCTAGTGCATTCCAATTCCTGACCTAGTCACTGGAGAGAAATGAAACTGAGCGGAGGCACTAGGTGGTGGCAGCCTGGTTATCTTAAAGGAGTCAGTCAGAGTCAAATATATGGTGAGCTGTCCAATGCCCAGGTCTGATTTAAAACAAACTTTTAGATTTTTTCAGGGAAAAAAAGGGCTCAAAATCTTACCTATAAGATGTTATAGGTAACAAATGTTACCTATAACATGAAGCTGAAAGTGTCTTGCACAATGACACAGCATCAGCATGTAACATTTTGAGCAACCTTTAGTGAGCTAATGTTTATACAACTTAAAACAACATATGTCTTTTGAGAGGGGAGAAGTCCTCAAATTGTTGCATATAACAGGAAGATGAAACCATTAATATATTCTGGATAGTAGAAAGATATAAAATCCATGGATTTGGTAGAAAGATGGTGACTGATTTTGATATACTTCGTTATGCCCAGTGGAAAGAGTCACATCCTGGAAACCCCTGACTTTGACTGGATTTGTCTAATAATACAGTTTTCTCATTAAAACAGGAGCTCTTGGTGAATATTCATGAGGATTGTTTGAAGTTCAACAGTTTCCCTTCTCTCACATGGGACCTGGTTTTCAAAAGGTAGGGACCATGACGAGATAGATTCACATGCACCAGGTTTGTTAACTGTTCAGAAAATACATTATGCACTTTTAATACACTGGAAATAATAATCTCTTGAGAAATGGTATCCCTTTGATGTTTCTACCTTTTCTGAAGTAATTTTAGAAGATATACTTGTGTAGTAATAGTAGTAGTAGTAGTAATAGTAGTGCATTAGTTGTGGTTTTATTACATTAAATCAAACAATGCCCAATAACAGACGACGGCCATCACAGAAGAGGAACCAAGGATAAAATATATATATACCTGTATATAATGATTATTTTAGTTTAGTTTTTGTATTATCCAGGATGCTTAACTGTCTGAGGAGCATCTGTTTTCTGTAAGTCCCCTTCAGCGCTTTCACTCTTTTATTGATCCAGAGAAGAACTCTCCTCCACTGTTTTTGAAATAGGTAAATAAACAATGTTGAATCAATGCAATCAAAACAAATGATCTCGAAATTTTAGTTAAAGCAAACACTACGGTGCTTGGGATGGAACATCAAAAACAACGTCACCATAAAAATCCTCCATGTTTGAAGCAACAGTGCAAAATGTCCGTAGAGATGCATTGCCAAAACTATACGTAAAACACAACTATTGACCACAAGAGTCATGGAACAACCCGCTTAGCTGCTGGATCTGCAGTGTTAGAATTCATTTAGAATTTATCATCTTCAAATCTCCATAGTTTTAATATGCTGTGAAGTGTAACAACACAATCCTGAGCTCAATGGGAATTGTATAGTGTAATCAATAGGACTCTGGAGTTGAGCAGTTTTTTAAGCTATTTTCATTTGGACCAGTAAAAGAATTGTTTACATATCTGCACCAATCTGCTCATAATGTCCCATGCCCTGAAATATATGTATTATGAAGCTATTTAGTGCTGCTCGCTTTAATATTTTTTAGCAAAATTGGCAGCCACTACAATGGAGTCTTTTGGAGTTACCAATATGAAATAAACAGTACAACTTCAATAATTACACACCCATTAGCCTTAATGAGGTAAACAAAGACTCATAATGAACAAATAGTTTAAATGATTTTGACTTATTAACTACTTAGTTAAGGGGTTAGTGTCAGGAGTGAGAGTATTACGGTCTTTGTTCATGCTTTATTCAGACTAATTAAAGTGTAATTATATTATAAAACGCTACCAAATAAACAATAAACAAACACCATTTTCACACCTAATTACTCCTAACTAGGACTTTGTTAAGAAGTTGCCAATATGATACATACCTCAATACAGGGAGCTTTCGATTCGATATATGATATATTTCAAAACAATTCTATCCGGTTCAATAAAAATAAAGGCTAAATCATGGCTGTGACACTAAAAGTCTTTGTTAAACCACATCTTGTGCAAAGTGAATATGAAAAAAAGCCATTTTAATCATCAAAACAGTGAATATGTCAAATGTGTTGCATAAATATGTTTCCTTCCTCTGAACAAACAAGAAAACTGTAGCACTGAACTAAATAATTTCATAAAATATACCAAAAAGTACTCTTGGTGATACAGCAACCCACGATATCGATACTGTATCATCACATTAAATGATACGATACATCAATATTTAAATATTAACGTCTCACATATTTACCACTAATCCAAAAATCCAATCCAAAGCAATTACTTAAAAATGCATCGAGTAACTTTTGTGGTGTAGGGTCCGCTACCTGCTTGCCTTCATAGAGATGTTATTGCTTTTTCTGGAATGTTCCATTGTATGACTTTAAACATATCCATACAGCATTTATTCATTACGGTTGTTTCTATCGCTCAAAAATACATGAATTTCTTCTGTGAATGGGGCGACTCTCCACAGATCTGAACTGTAACTTAGTGCTGTAACCTGCTTGCCTCCCTCGTTATAGATAGGGTTAGTCTATACTGTGGAACATCCTAGACAAAGCAATAACATTTCCATGGAGACAAGTAGGTAGCGCACCCTCCACTAGAAATGTCACACAGTGCACTTTTAACATACAGCAGAGCTTACAATACACTATCCCCACTACTATCACCATTAAACCCCCTACGCTCCTCAGGCCTGGCCCGGAGCTGCCTCGGTGCTGGCCCTGCTCCGGGACGTTGACGCATCTGGGACAGATGTCTCCACACACTGTCAGGAAGAACTCGCAGGTGTCCGCTGCACATTTAATGAACTCACAGACTGCGCAAAATGTTTTGTATTGATTATCTGCTCAGCGTCTCAAGCCCGACTCCACAAATGTAGTGTTTTTATCAACGCGCAGGAAGCAGAGACAGAGACAGGTGTGGCAGGGTCAGTGCTGCAGACAGGGACTGAGGCAACTGGAATGATGTTATAGTGTTCAGAAAAAAAAGAGTGTATATCGCATTGACGACAACACATCTTAAAGGTGCACTGTGTAACTTTCTTTGTGGAGATGTTCCTGCATCGTTGGGAATGTTTCACAGTATGGCATTAAACATTTCTATCTTCATGGAAACCAAACCAGAAGTTACAGGTCAGATCTGTGGAGAAGCAACCCCACTCACAGTCAGGATACATGTTTTTAGGAATTTTTGAGCTATAAAACCACCTGTAATTGAATAAATGTAAGGTAGGGCAGTTTAATGTCATACTGTGGAATATTCTAGGCAGAGCATCTCCACAGAAACAAGCAGGAGACAGGCCCCAACAAAAAAGCTATGGTAGCCATAGCACACCTTTAAGGAATAGGGAAAGCTAAAAAAGCTCCATAAAATGTCTCTTTTAAAATAAATGACTCAAAATTACTCATTATAACTTGGTAAACAGAAAAATTTTAAATTAAAAAAATCTATTTCAGAATGTGTCGTGAAGAAAATATATGGATTAAAGTTTGGGATCTCACTTTGAATGTGCATTTTGATCAAACATGTATATAAACTGCAAGTCCCAATGTGTACCTTTTTATGAAGTAATAAGGATAAAAAGGTAGTAGAAGTAAACAGAGGTGTATGACATTTTAAAGATGCACTATGTAACATTTTTACAGCATAACACATAACTTTCAGTGAGTTATTCTATTACAGGGGTTTTCATTGCATTCATTCTTTTTTTGAGTGCAGCCACCTCTCCACACATTTGACCTGTAACGTGGCCTGAAGACGTCTTCTGCTTGTCTCCATGGAGATGGATAAATGAAATGTTCTTCGTTATGCCGAACATTCCAGGTGGCGGCAGGTGGCCGACCCTCAAGCAGAAAAGTTACAACTTTAACGGGCTGCTATTAAGCTATTTTCTGATCTATCTTATAATGTCATTTCCTCAGCAAAAACAAACCTGGAGTTGTGTTTTGTTTCATTAACACACACATATTTAGGCTGAGGTTCTTCTCTCAAACTGAAAACACACTTTTCCACCTTGTGATGTCATGTGGTATTATAAGTTTTAAACTCCATACTTCTTCACTAGAATCATTTGGATGATTTCAGCTTTGGAACTATCCAAATCCACTAAAGGTAAAAGGAGATGTTCACCTAAAAACTACCAGTAAATGACATCACTAGGGAGAACACAGACAGACTAGTAACCTAGGTTTACCTAAACATGTATGAATGAAACAAAACAGAACTCCAGCTCACGAGAATCAGTGTAATATAAGGCCGTCAAAATCGAATCTTTGTATAGCAACACTCACTGGTTTAGCTTTGCATGTGAGTAATACTTGCAGGTGAATAGCTGTATTATTTACTAGTAGACAGCTACCGGCCTCTCTCTCCAGTTCTAAATAAGTCCCTGACAAACACATAACACGCAGTCTTCCAATACAACGAAGCGCGGCGAAAGGTGAGGGCCTGGCAGAATGGATGGTGGCTGCTCTAGAAACATCAGTTCAATCGTGCCATGGATTAAGCCTGGGAGAAAATCCATTAGCTGTGGCCGCCCGTGCTCTGGAGCTCAACCCAAACAAAGAGCTGTTTACTGTGAATCGACATCCTTCATACCAGCGCGGATTCATTTGGGCCCTGTGCTGGATACGTGGCGCTCAAAAGCCAGGACAAGGTAGAGTGTTTTCTGAAGCAATCTTTAAATGGAGCAATTCTTCTTGAGGGCTGTCAGGGCCCAGCTACCGGCACAGAGCTCTCTCCCTCATCGACCTGTATTACGGCCTCAGTCACTCTCACTCCCGGCGTTCACAATGGCATTCCTCTCAGCTGGGGTATGACGCTAAACGCACGCCGAACCCAACAATATAAATCTACGAGGAACAATGCAAGATGTACTGTGTAACTTTTCGACTGGGGGTCCATCATCTTTTTGTTTCTATGGAATTGTCATTGCTCTCACAGTATGACATTAAACAGATTTACTTTACATTTATTCAATTACAGATGGTTTTATTGCTACAAATATACCTAAATGTGAATGTTATCGCCTCTCCACAGATCTGACCTGTAACTTGGCCTTATTTGGTCTCCATGATGATAGAAAGGTTTAATGCCCCAGTGCACAGTTGGGATTTGTAAGTCATGACTTGGACTCAAGTCAGACTTGTCACTATTTTTAGGACTTGAGACTTGACTTGATAAAATGGACTAAGACTTAGGGCTCGACTTCGACTTGACGATCAGTGATTTGAGACTTGACTCGGACTTGAGGCCTGTGACTTGAGAAGACTTGAGAAGCACTTTTAATTATTTCTATTCTGACCGTAATGATTCACATTAAGATCTTGTGAAGACATTTAAAAAGGAAAAATGTACTAAATTAATTTCTACAACTCTTACATACTCTATAAATACTCAAATATAAATATACTATGATTTTTTTTTCTTTAATAAAATGTATCTTAACATTCATATAAACTGCAAAAATCTCAGCTATATTTGGTACTTTGGTTTAAAGACTTGAAATGACTTGACTTGGACTTATGGGCCAGTGATTCAAGACCTGACTTGGACTTGCCTGTATTTGACTTGGGACTTGACTCAGACTTGAGGTCTAAGACTTTAGACTTACTTAAGACTTGCAAAACAATGACTTGGTTCCACCTCTGCCATAGTGTGTAACATTCCAGACAAAGCATCAAGATTTCCATGGAGAAAAGCATTTGACAGACCCTCCAAAAGTTACACAATGCATCTTTAAGTTGATTTATTATAATTTTGCCTGCACTAACATTGAACTTATTTGAATTGACAGAAATTGTGCTAAGTCAAAAAGATGTAGCCTGGAGGAGTTGTTAAAAGCACACTAAAAGTGTAACTTTTCAGGTGCTTGTCTCCATGGAGATGTGAATGCTTTGTCTTGAACGTTACACAATATGGCATTAATTTATCTATCCAGGTCCAAGTTAAAGATCAGATCCGTGGAGCGGTGACCCCACTCACAGTAATAGTGCATGTTTTGTCAAGATATGTTAGAGCAATAAAAAAAGCATCATAGGTCATTTTAAGGCTATACTGTAGAACATTCTTAGCAAAACAATAACAGCTTCATGGAGACAGCTAGGTCATCCACCATAAAAGTTAGATTTTTAAGTACTATTTTAATTCCTGAGCTACAAAAACATCTTTGACTTTTATTTTGAAGATGTTGAAGGTGGCAGATGGATACCTGTTTTTTGTTGTCTGAAAGTACTTGACAAACAAGTAAAAAGAAAAAATGAAAAAGAAAACAAAAGCTTGGGCTGATCACTTGCATGTAGTCCAATCAGAGTGCTAAAGCATTTGAAGACAGCATGTTAAATTTTAAAACAAGTTATGAAGTTGTTGTAATAACTTACTTTTTACTGATCTCCTCATTGTATTTACACCGTAAGTCCCGCAGCTCAGTCTGTGCCGTGTCCAAAGCTGTCGAGACAAACATTGATCTAAGAACTTTATAACATTCTAATAACATTCCAACTTTCTCTGAGCAGGTCTGACAATATAATTATGTCAAGTTTACTATTACTGTTTTGTCTGTGTGCATTTAATATGACTGTGATACATAAACTAAAGTATAACATAAAAGCTAAAGTTTATTTCTGTCTAAAAGCAACAATCTTGTAGTTTCAGTAGGGGTCGCCATATGGAGCCCCAGAACCCTGGTCCAGTGTAAACACTCACATGAATGTAGAGCCTTGATCTTGTCCTCGGCTTCAGACAGTCTCTGGGTCACACTCACATCTGAGCTCTCCTCCTCCTCCCTGCAGCAAACACAGAACATTCAAAGCAGGCTATTGGTGTCAATCTATTTCACAGTGTAAAATAAAACATTCAACAAGTATTTCAATGATGATGAATATTGTAAGAATAATTTAAAAACTAAAATAGGATCATGACAACCCTGATACACTGAATGAGTGAGTGGATGATAAACAGAGCTGCTCACCTTCCGTCCTGTGCCTGCTCCTGGTGGTTCTGCTGAGGAGATCCAGGGGCCCCAGGGGCCGGGGTGCTGTTGGGGGTCATTAGGGCGCTGGGACAGGGCTCTGAGGTCTGGTCTGAGTCTGACACTGGGACCACTGCACTGTCCTCTGTGGGATAAAACAGAGGAGAGGTATCAGGCATGGACTAGACAAGAGCGTTAATTTAATATCATTAGTTATTTACCATGACACACTACAAACAGTGCACTCTTTTAGTCTTTTTCTAGTTCTCTTATGATTATTGTAGGGGAGTAAGGAGGTACTACCTGTGTGTTTAAGGCACTGCAGGTGTTGTTTCCAGAGCCCAGAGATCTCCTGGACCAGGGCCTCTCCGTCTGGAGCTGAGCTGTGCAGCCTCTGCAGCCTCTCCTCCAGACTGTGGGACGCCTCCAGCACAGGGGCAGGGTCTGCAACACAAGCATTATACTGCTTAGTATGAAGAAGAAGACCCAGGCATGTTCCCTCAAAGTCTAATATGTGTTTTTGACTGCTGCCTGTAAAGTACATGTGTACAGTGTTTTAAACAGACTCCACTGAGACTTGTCCCACAGAGTGACTTGAGACCTGAACAGTTCACAGGGAGGACCAGGCGTACATATTCAATCAGAGATCCTGTGTAATGAGCCCAGTGCCATACATGAGCGACAGGCAAGAGGCAGGCCCAGCACACCTCGCACACAGCACAAGTCTGCTCCTGAAAAGGCCTAAAAAGAAAAAAGTGTGATTCTTTAGCACAACAGAGGAGCTGTTTTGCAATGCATGCGCGGCAGCAGCGGGCCCATGGGGCCAACTAGGAGGCTGTTTCTCAGCTAACAAGTCTCCTCTGTATCATTTGATCATTTAAATTATTATGCCAGGAATCCTCAGGAGGCGCTCGGCACTCCACATCACAGGAGTGTTTTTAATCTTGCCTCGCCTTTCTTCCCCTCCCCAAAAGTTCAGCTCAGAAGAGCAGCCTGTTGTGTACCTGCCGACAACACCAAAGGAGGTGACTGTGGTGCCAGGCACAGAGAGGGCTCAGGGGAGAGAGGCACGTGCACGCCCACGCGCACATACTTCAAACTCCAAAAGAGCTGCAAAATCGCTGCTTTGCTGCACAAACTTTTCTCCCACAGCTTTCATCCACTCGTCTCCTCGGCGCGTGGAGCCCGATTGGATCGCTCTGAAGTGGCTTTATAAGAAGTTGGAGCCACAGACGCTTAAACTTTGCCAGATTCCGTTGGAAGAATGAATCCGGAGTCTGCAGGCCACAACACAGCCACTCATCACAAACAAAAGTTTACAAAGTGCAATTTGCTGAAATCCTGACCACGCATTGCAACTGGCTACATCTGCATTTTCATCAGACAAACATTTTGGGCCATCTAATTGATTGAGCTATTTTTCCCAGGACCGTTTACAGTTGTCGGCTTCATTGTTACACTGCGCGCACAGCTATTGCATCAGTCACTGGGGACATGACTATTAAGAGCACAACTCTTCTAAGACAAACAGGATGACTTAAAGCACGGCTCTCCCATTGACTCTCTGTCACAGAAATCACTTTATCAGCCTCTTTCCCATATATCCTTTCAACTTTGACTGATCAAAGCACACACATTATAGTACGGATCCCGCACTCACCGACAAGCCGGATTATCAATCAGCAGCAGGGGAGTCAAATAAAGTCAAATTTAAAGTGAAGGGATAGAACTTAAGTCAGAACACAAATTAACCCCGTCAAAGGCAGGTCTCTCAGGACAGAGGATCTGCAGCAGCTCAGCTCCGTCCACTATAAAGCTTAGATAACTTTAGACACATGTGCTAATGAATCCTCTGCTAACACACACAGCAAAGGTTTGAATCAGAACTATTGTGGTATCACAATAATCAAACAATAATGACAAACCTCACCTGCTCACAAATGTAAGGCTTACCTACCTACCACAGTGTGGGTGAACTGGAGAAAGAGGGAAAGAAGAGCAAATATAGTTATTTCTTTGGATGCAAATTGAGAAAAACTGGGACATACTTTACTATTCACAGTGACTGAATATAAAGCATTTTATCTTTAATAAAAACATTGCTCATCAGTCATGTACTGATAAAAGACCTTCAACAATATTGTGAAGGTCTTTTATCCCCCCCCCATTCATTTATAACAAGATGCTATTTTAGAGCCTGTTCCTTGTGTAATTACATTAATGTTTGCATTTACAATATCAAAAATAATGGCTGTATTCCTTATGCGCCAAAGAATTTTTAAGGATATTATGTAACAGGCTGATGAATTCACATATATCACCTACTTTCCCCCTCTCACTCCTCCAACTGGTCCACCTGTCACTCACCCAGAGTATGACCAATCACAGTGAAGTGTGAACTCTAAGAAGTGGAATCCAAAGAAAAACAAAGAAACAAACAAACAAACAAAAACATAGGATTTGATTTTTAGGGTTAGGGGTTATCCACCACAAACTTCCAGTCACCTGCAAATGTACTGGTAACCAAATATGAACTGATATTTCTATATGAGAATTTAGCCCATAACAAAAAAAATAAATAGTACCTTTATATATGTCTGCATTTTTTCATCCCATAGTTCTATATCACCTTACCACTTTGCACGAGCATTCACGTCTTGGTGCATTTTGAGTGAAGTTTGGTTTTATTTCATGTTAATTCAAAATGTTTTTTCACTGCGCTCTTTGTTCGGCGCGTCTTCTTCTTTAAAAGTGCTTTTGTGTTGATGTCAGAACTCCTCCATCTTTGCCAGTGTCAGACAAAGACTCAGCGAGCAGGTTAAGAAGTTTCTCTTTCACTTGTTGTTTTGTTCGCACACAAAAGGCGCCGCTACCTCTTTTACTTTGCACTATGTTCTCACGCTTACTGCCACATCAAGGTAAAGAGACGTGGTTCACCGACTGAATATCAAATGCCAGAAAACGCACCATAAAGACAGCTGTCATGTTTTAAAATGGGATGTGTGTTGAAAGTAGCAGAAAATTTATGGTACTAACTTAACAGTATCGTCTAAATAGTATCTTCTACAGATTTACAGATAAAAAATGAATATTGCGAGTATATTTGTGATAGATTTAAAGGTTGATTGTTAGCTAAAATACTTGTCAGGTCTGATATACCATTAGTATTTGATAAATGGCATATTCATATAAGTTTCATACGTGTGAGTCTTGAATTAAAAGTCCTATATTAAGCAAAAATGACTCTTGTGAGCTTTTTAGAATGTTGTTCTCTCATCAAAAAACATACTTGGAGTTGTATTTTGTTTCATTCACACATGTTTGAGTAACCCAAGTCTACATCTCCAATGTTCAAAATGCTCTGTTCCACATTATGATGTAGTGGTAGTTTTCAGTGGCGGAGTTAGCAATTTGGAGGCCCTAGGCGAACTTGAGTTTGGGGCCCTCACTATAATGCACTTAAAAAAAAATAAAAATAAATAAATAAATAAATAAATATTGTCTGTCTGTTTTTCCCCATTGTTCTTGAGACATGCACATCTCTGCACATTTGAATTACGGTGGATTAGAAACTTGTTTTATTAGTTAGGTCGCCTACTAGATAACCAGAACTGGAAGTAGTTTTGTTTTTTTGCTAGTACAATTACATTTTTGTTTACATCCATTACATATGACTATTATTAGTTTTTCTTATGATTATTGTTTAAAAGTAAACTACTCTCATTTAATATCATACTGAGAGAAAATCTAATTGCTCTAATTGGTTGGGGGCCCTCCAGCTTTGGGGGCCCTAAGCAGCCGTCTACTTTTTGTTAAGAACATAGCCTTAATAATTTGACATGGGATTGCGTGGTCTGGTTGCCAAACTCTTTAAGTGCCCATATTATGCATTGTTGTAATGTTAAAATGTGGTTTCCTCATCATAAACATACTTGGAGTTGAGTTTTGTTTCATTCAGAGATATTTTTAACACACGAATCCTGCACATTTAGAGTTCTCTCAAACAGAAACAGGAAGTGCATCACTGTGTTTTTAAACACTACACCATCACAAGAATAATTTCAACCCTGGAATTGCCAATCTCCACTGAACAAAAAGTAAAAGTAAACTCTTAATTTGCAAACTACCGCTTGATCACATCACGAGGTGGAACAGAGCACTTTGATTTTGGAAGATGTAGACAGACTAATGAGAAAGGGTTACTCAAACATGTGTGAATGAAACAAAACACAACTCCAGGTTTGTTTTTGAGGACGTGACAACATCATAACTTGGATTAAAGTTCACAACAGTCAATTTTGGATAATATAGGCCCTTTAATATAAGATGAGGCAAAATGCAATTTGTACTCACGGAGAAGTGAACGGAACGAGGACATTTGTACACTTTTAGCAAGAATTCTATTAGCAGATTTATAAATGAGACACCAGGAAAGGATCACTTTTCTAGTTTTGTATTAACCGACCTCCAAATTTTAGCTGGAGTATTTTCTTCAAGTCTATAATCCTTGACAAGTTAAAAGAATACTTCCTACTGTACTTCCAACAGTCCCTCTTATCTGTAAAGGTGAAAGTGGCCACTCTTGTCACTTACTCTTGCCTCTTGACAACAACATGGCACAAGTCTTACTGTTCATTGCAGCAGCGTGTTTACGAACCTTGAAGTCCACTCGGAGAATAATAAAAATAAAAAAAAAAAAAATAACACACAAGATGTTTTGAATGAAAAGAAAAAACCTTGGAGCGCAGCCTTGTAAATTAATTTGCTCGTGTTGTATGATGGGAACACAGCTGGCCTCATTAACATGCGCACAACAAATAATTATAGTTTTTTTCTCCCCCTCTCTTCAGTCGGCCAACGCTCGGCTAATGGGCTTGCTGGGTTAATTATGTCAGCGCGTAATTGCACAGAGCCCAGGGAGACGTAATGGCGCTCCCTGCCGCGCTCGCCGCCTAATGATGTGGTATCGCTGACAAGGCCAAGACGGACCGCCCCAACGCACCTGCCACACGCACCCCGAACCTGATCAAACTGCACCCCTCCTTCGCCCCTTTCTGCACCCGTCCAGCACTCATCTCACATCCACAACTGGGATAGCCAAGATAGCCAAATGACCACAATGATTTATTTATTTTTTTTTTTGTATTAAACAGACAATAAGGAAGACAATAAGAAGGACATAACAATAAGATTAGACAAATTTAGGAGAGAGAAAAAAATTTGACACAGTTAAAGGTGCATTGTGTAACTTCTCTGGTAGAGGGTTCGTCGCCTGTGTGTTTCTATAAATGTGTCACTCCTCTTCCTGGAATATTCCACAGTGTGACATTAAAAAGCTCTTTACATGTATTCAATTACAGGTGGTTTTGTTGCTCAAAAATATTTAGAAAAACAGGCATTCTGACTGTGAGCGGGGTTGCCTCTCCACAGATCTGACCTGTAAC